TGCATCATCTGAAGGAGAAAGGTCAGAAATTCCCCGACTATAGCGAGACGGGAACATGCCTTGTCGATACTGGCAGCTTCAGACCTAAAATAATAGGTGAATGAGTGAATTAAAGAGCACACAAGCGGTGGCGTACATCATGAACCACCCTTCGTTCCTCTTCGTCCTGGCCTGGAGGATGTCGATGGCCTTCAAAGTCATATCCTTCAATCCAGGTTGGTCAAGAGCATCGGTGCCGTCGCCAGTGGGGCTGTTCCTTTGGCCCTTGAGGTTCTCCTTCAAAACCTATGGGCCAGGCTTGAAAAGGACTTTAAGATTCAGGTACGAAGAATTTCTTACGTTACGATCAATCCACTTCGCCCTGAGGACATGGCATACAACCTGAGCTTCGAAGCTGAGAAAGCAAGGATACAAGAACGTACAAGTTTCCAACTAAAAATATGTATATTCAGATTAGCAAGAGACAACAAGTAATAAGGATAAGGGAAGAACGACCCACCGGAGAAAATTCCAAGCGTTTTCGCCTTGGAGCTCGCGGCTTGGAGCTCAGTATTGCTCAACACGACGTTGTATCCCTTGTCCCGGAATGCCTGATAGTAGTCGGACCCATTGGGTGAGCCCCTGCCTGGGAAGAATTGCTCTGCACCGCCTCTGCACTTTCCATCAGCAGACGAAAGAGAAACGACGAGGTTGAGAGCTGCTTACCCGAAGATAACATCAGGCTCCTTGCAGCTCGTAGGCCAAGCAAACGTAGAGTTGACGGCTTCAGCGCTGGTGAGATATTCGGTGACGACGGTTACATATTGGCCACCTAAAGATTTTGAGGTCGGAGTTTTGCTAGATGCAAAGTCAGGATCCTGGACTTACGATCACGAGTGTGAGCGCAGAGAGCAGCTAGCAGGGAATCAGATGCATGTTCGAAAGGAAGAGCGAAAGTTGAACCGACCTGGTGTAGCATCGGCAATGTATGCAGTAGAAACAATCCCCAAAGCACCACCGATGCGCCTGCGGAAGAGCTCAGCGATTGTCTCGACCTTGGGGTCATCCAGAGAGTTCGCAGACTGTAGAGAGCAAGTGGTCAGATAGAACGAGGAATATTCGGCAATGCCTTACGCTATCAGCCCAGACGTTCAAAGTGTTGACCGAGGATTTCTTGCCCGTGTAGAGAGCAGTGGCTGAGTTTGCCGAGTCGGTGATGAAGGAGTCAATGGAGTGTGTCATTTGACTGGGTTACAGGTCCACGTCAGAAAGATCACACAAGGTGAGAGGATGTCCACATACTGTCCAAGGGCCTCCATTTGGTCCATCTGCATCAAACTTTGGTATTTTCCATTGATAGACTTGTGAGCGATCAGGCGAGCGGCAGTAATCATGGGCTGAGTCATTCCTGAACATATTATCTCAGTAAAGAGGCGCCAAACCCGAACGGAAGGGCATCACCATCTCCGATGAAAAACAGAACATTCTTCGCCTTGCGTCGGGTGGCAGGTTCACGTACAACCCAGTTAGCGACTGTCTGGAAACCACCATTATAAACCAACTTGGCTGTATAAGCTCCAGGCTGGGCGGGCCATTTTTTGAGCACACGACCCAGAATAGTAGGAAAATGGAACCCGAACCTTGCTCAACGAGAGCTATAAACATCCTGGTCAGGCTTCAGTTGTACACGACAATCCGACTTGCGACATACAGCACGATACGCTTTGGACGCAACGTTAACCACAATGGGTGTTCCCGCATCCTTCGCGAACAGGTCCTCGTAATAGCTGGGATGCGGGAATAAGCAAGGAAAAACTTGATGAAAGTCATATCACACACGAGAAAGACCATTTTTCGATGGGAGAGTCCTGGACTGTGAAATACTTTGTTACATCCTGACAGGCACCCTTGCCACTTTGAATGCAAAAAGTGAAATTCTCGTCCGGAACTCCTCCATTGGACGCCTCACTGCCGTTCACTGGTGCATGGATTTCGAGACGAATGTCGAACAGTTGCCCAGCCAAGAAGTCGGTCTGGTCAGGTGGAAAGACACATCCTAGGGAGGGGCAGGTGCCGAGACGTTGGAAGGTTTGAGCAGAGACGAACCCAAGGTGAGTGAGGGCAAGGAGGAGGGCAGAGGTGCCGAACATGGTTGTCAGACGCATCTTAGGCGTCGAGGGAAGTAGATGCGAGCTAGAGCTGTCGACCATGGGGTGAATTGTTCCTACGTGATTTATACAAGGCGCTAACTGCTAGCACACGTTGTTTAGGTACGGGAGACGACGTTCGGCCCTCTAGATCTGCAGAAAGTATTTGATAAAGCCATATAAATTCCGCCCATCCACGCGATAGCATTGCATCGAAGCGGAATGCACGTTTGTGTGCGGTTCGGGAGGGTGATGGACTTCGCTTTTGAAGCTTCTAAGAAGGCGGCACACCCGAGTATTGACCCAGCTGACTTCCTCTCACTTCCCCATAATTACTCGGTCCTTTATGTTCCATGAAAGCGCCTGGAGGCGCTGCAGAGGCTTAAGAACGAGGATATTAGCTTATCGATTCCACTGAGGAGGAGGAACTAAGTAGGTGGTACCATGCGGGCGCGACGAACGTGCTTGGATCCCTTCTACCGTTGGGTGACGATGGATTGATGGGCTTAGGCTTTCATGAGGTCCGTGGCTCCGAACCTGAATGGGAGGCGAAGGACAAAATGTCCGATATCAACATCTTAGCGTACGGGCTGACAGGTGATAGCAAGTAAAGGCGGCGATGACGGGAGAAGTCTATTTCTAATGCATGTAAGTAGACCTGCGCCAAGGATCCGATAAACCCAATCATCAGGTGATAGATAAGTAAAAGGTCTATGATTCTGATGAAGAGGCCTTCACGCGGGCTTCCAGCTAGAAGCAAGCTTGGAAATAAGTGACCTGGAAGAACATAAATACGCGCTACCCACAGAGAATGAAAGTTTGGGGCAACTCCCGAAGCTCACTTCTCCCCTGTCGACGCACAACAAAACCTCTGCGCATTGGCACGATTTGCTGCTGTATTTTGGGACGAAAAACCGACAAGGATGCAAGGTGCACCTGTATACCGAAGGATGACGTTGAGTTGGCGTCAAGTTGGCGTACGAGGATCCACTGACAGCAGGCACTCTGGTTAGCTTAGGTCTTTGCTGAACTTCAAGAGAATATCGCTACCTGAGGATAAGGGGAAGACACACGATAAGTATGTCGTATTTGTAGATGGTGGCCAAGAGAGAAGCATGCTATGGTTGGGCAGAAACCTCAGGGCGGGACAGATGTTTGGCAGAGTTGCGATAGCCAAGCATTGAATATCCATATGAGCCCCCGATATGGCAGTTCTCACTCGATGCAAAGGACCTCTAACTCAGACTTGATCTCCACACTGATCAAAATATCTCGAGTTGAAAAGGCGTAGATAACGTCTTTTGTCTTTATCATCGGTGAGCAGGACTTGGCATACAGAACATCGCACGGTTCGAACTTCGTTCAGAATCATCAAGAGTGAAATATTGTTCAATTTCGTTGGTTTGTCGATCTCGTTTGTGGCTTATTTCCAGCACCTGCGGTGAAAAAAAATCAGTAAGAAGGGAGTATCCTCGAGCATCGTATCGTGTTAGCTACGCACAATATCTCATAGTCATCATCTACACAATGCTCTACACCGCCGAAGGCAATTCTAGAGCCACCCCTACCGACAGCGCAATCATGATTAAGATGTAAGCGATAGGGAGTCGAGATAAATGGACGTACAGGTGCTCTCCTGTCTTTCCAGGGACCTTCACGCCATCGATGAGGGCAGCGGCGTGATACAGCTGCGCACCGTCATCCTCATAACCTCCTTCAACCGGCCGGCGCCCTTCAGGGATCGTGCCATGGGAAGTGGGAACCCATTCCATCTGGTCGTGTCTGAACGGAAGTAGATCGAAGCGCCCATGATGTCCATGCTCTCCGCCGCCATACGGAACGGAAGCAAATGGCTGGAGATGGGGGCCTATCTTGCACGGGTGGACCGAGTTCTCGAAGAGGGCAGACCCGATGAAGACGGGGGAAACACCATCGGCGTCGTAGAAGGCTGGTTCACCTGCCTGCTCAGGTGGAGGGAAGGGCGCGTCTGTCGAAAGAGGTACTCGGAAGCCTGATGGCGGGGGCTCCTGGCCCTGGAAGTTCTGCTCCCCATCGTATCCGGGCTCAGGCATGTAAGACATGATGGGTTGCTGGGGAAAGACGCGGCTCTGAGGAGGTGGGAAGGTGTGAGGTATTGTAGGCAAGGCGTGGGTCGTGCTCCCGTAATTACCATGCTCCCCATGGCCGGACTTATGTTTATGATCCTTCTCTTTCTTGCCCTTTTTCTTGCCCTTTTTCTTGTCCTTGTCCTTCTTATCTTTGTATTTCTTGTCCCGAGATGAATCGGAATCCGAGGAAGAATCTGACGAGTCTACACTCTTGTGACGGCCCATGTTTAGTCTAGAACAGCTCAGCAAGGGAGAACCAAGAACATGATGGACAGGAATACGAACGGAGTGGACAAGAGCAAGTCGACGTCCATATAGATGTCCTTGAATATCTTATCATTCTGGCACAGCCTCACAATTATCAGAGGCGGTATTCCAATCGTTCTATATATTATACATACACTTATAACAAATGCAAGATCCATTCTATCGCATCTTCACTTCCTGCTGCTGGGCCCAGGTGGAAGCTTAAGCTCCTCAAACTCCCATTCACTCGAGTTAAGGGCTGGGAGACCAAGTGACGACCTTCCGGGCGGTGGTCTACGCGAGGGAGGCGCGGTCGGGTGAGGCTGTCCTTTCTTTTGAGGTGTGTTCTGTCGATCATCTCCTTCGCGCGAAGGGGCAGATTGCATGGAACGGGTAAGGAGGCTTTAATGCGCAGCACATAAGAAGTGATAGTGGAGTGCGCGAGTGAAGCACTCACTGGATCTCATGCTTCCTGTGCAGGCTCCAGGTCTTGCACACCTCTTTGAATTGAACAAGAATTCCAGCGAGGTCGTTGTAAAACTGACGCACGTCCTTTTTCATTGCAGCGTACTCGGATCCAAGCACGCGACGTACCTTGAATCCTTCGTCGAGATTTCGTGTAATTTCCCGATACTTGAAATACGCGAGATCCAGGGATTGCAGGGCGTGTTCACGATCCTTAACTACCGGGTCCTCCTTTCTCGAGTCCAGGAATTCCCTGTTCCGTTTCTAGGAGGAAACGCATGCAGTTAGCCCAGGATAGAATTAAGCGTTCCATGCCTACTCGTACCTGGATGTCTTCCAGGATTTCGGTCTGCTTCCTACGGAGCTCGGCAACTTCGACTAAATATTTGTCGAATTTAGCCAGTTCCTCGTCTAATACATCTTCAAACATCTCGGGTGTAACTTCTGCCAGACGCTCGAAGCCGGACGAAGCTTTTAATATCCGAGGTTGAATGTCATCGGCGGCGACAAGAGAACGTGCGCGGTGTATCAGCTGGTCACAATCGCGGTGGAGGATGTCGAGTTCCTCCAATTTAACTCTAAGAGCCCGGGCGTGTTGTCGAGTTAGTTTCCCTTGCGGGGTAGATCGTGCAGCAGTTGACACTGTCGTTGATGGGACCGATGCTTCAAGCGTTGCCTGTCCAATCATCAGCGAGAATTTCTGACCACGGGTGCTTCATTTTACCTCGTCTAAAGTCAATTCTGTAATGCTTTCTTCCCATTCATCCCATTTCTGGCGTACCGACTCGTCGCTCTCACCAGCCTGTGTTAAAATACTGCGATAACGGTTGGCTTTGTCGATGAGTTCCACGTTTGCCTCGTGTGACTTCAAACGATTGAGCGGTGTCTCCTTTCTTGCGGCCTCATCTTCTGATGCCTCGCTGTCTAAGATGTCCAATGCCTGGGCAAAGGTAAAAATAGACAAACACGTCAATGGCAAGAAATCCATACCTCTTCCAAAATCGCCAAGTCCTGATGAGCAAGTCGCTGAACATCTTCAATAGATGCTTCGATTTTGGCAGGCCCATCTTCCAAGCGGACTTCCTCAGCCTTTCGAAGTAAACTAGGAGGCAAGCCGATCGGCCGTTCAAGGGCGTCCAACGAAGACGGAAGGTTTAACTTCCGTAATTCTCTGGGGTGGCCGTTAGTCTCTTTTTGGACCCCAAAATCTTGGCCGACTTACTCATCTGCCTCGTCGTGCATCTCCTGGGCAACATCGACGAGCTTTTCGGCGAGGAGATTTTGTTTCCGATCATTGTAGATGTCTAATTGGCCCCGTTAATATTGGTGGAGATCGAACAGCGTCCATCAGGAACGTACTGATGGCCTCCCGAGCACCCCATACAACCAGCCCACTAAAGAGGGCATTTCGACCTAGTTCTTCAAGAACCTTCGTCGGACTTAACAGCTCTAGAGGAACAGTTGGCGAAACAATCTTGGTCTCCTCGATGGCAGAAAGCGCCGATGAAGAGGGGACATCCTGGTGATAAATGAGGTCATTGTCACGCTGCGCCCTGACTTCACTCGTCTTGACTGTCTCTAAGAGAGACTGGAAGGGGAATTGAAAAAACACCGATTCAAGGGAGCGCGAAAGGCGAACCTGAACGTCGTGGAGAACCGGACCTGCGATCTTTCCCCTCCGTGCGATATCATACGCAGCCTTCGCCTCACGTTGGGCTTTGCCTAAGCGACCGAGCTCAAACCCATATCTAACAAAAAATATCCAGGTTGTAATCGAATGGCAATCTAAAGAGAAAACAACCCGGACCTACTAGCCTCGTATTCCACCATGCTTTCACGATATTCGGCGACGGCAGCGAAGTGGCGTCCCTTCGCCTCTATATGGGGTATCCAATCCTGAAATCTCACATAAATCACAGCTGAGTAAAAAAGGGCTTCAAAACCCACTCACGGCTGGGAAAAGACCTATTATGGACGGCCTCGCATCCCGGACTGCATTCACGGCTGTGCGATAGAAGTAGCTGGTCTAGTGTGGAATTAACGTCGACCACATTCTAGAGCTGCGAAGACGCACCCCGGCAGCTATCTTGGCGATCAAGGAATTTCTGTACTGGTCTGCATAAATTTAAGAGATACTGGTAAAGTGCTATAGAAAACGACGCACTCAATTTCGCCAGCTGCCATGAACATTCTTGAGCCTGGGCCAACATAAGCCATTCGATGGCTTTGATGAAGTCGCTTGATAAATCTGTTGGCCGTTCTTCGTCATCCGGGGAGTAGATTAGTTTTGGGAGCACTGAAGAGTGCAAATAGGACAGGACCCCTGCGGCTCGCTACGAAAGAATGTAAGAGATAAAGTTCACGATGCGAAATCGGAAGATGTACTCGAAAATTGGTCCCAGCACGTGTAATCCCATCGCTTTTAGACCGATCTTCAGCGGCGGCGAGTTGGGAATAAAGAGCTGCGAGATTGAAAAGCACACAGGCACGTTCAAAGACCAAATTGCTGAGGGTGATTGGAATTGCGGAAGGCTGAAATACAGGAGCATATGAGATGGCTAGACGAATCTATAAAACAATGAGTGGCCAATCACGTCCATGGAATGCTGGGCTCACATCCGTCGGCAACTTGGTCAGGACTGAGACGAGCTGAGCGTGATACCTGCGATCTGATCTAAGGTTCAAGGATCCCCAGAGGAGAGGCATTGAAAAGAGCTTACAGAAGAGCAGCTTTGGCTCGGTCATCGTGTACAACGCCACCGACACCCTCCTTTCTGAGATCCTGCCAGGACTTTATGTCATCCCTGAATTCATCAGGATGCGCGCCTCCGTGGTCGGAGATGTACTGACGGGCCGCTTCCTTGATATCAATAGAGTATGTCTTCTTGAAGGGAATGGATAAGAGATTCGACATGGTGGTGGATGTCGATCCCGCAGGTGTAAATCCAAGTAATTGCCAACGGCGAACGCTAAGCAGCTGCCTGAGCCAAGCGGTGGCGATTGTTAATATTTATTCACGTGATCGAGCTCGAAATGGCGTCAATGGTTCGAACCTGATTGTCAACTCAGCACCGAACAACATTCTTTCAGTAAAAACGTCAAACTGGTCATCATTGGAACCCTCTGGCCGTACTTCTCAGCTCGAAATTCTTTTGCTCACAAATTCATCCTGTCAACCTCATTTGTGGTCGGGGCTTGACTTGGGATTCCGACGACGCAAGGCATCTTCTGGTACAATTTCTAGCCAGGTTTCAGCCCGGTCGGTACTCTAGATCTCAACCGCACCCACTTTTCCAGTGCACGAAACCAGATCTCTCGGCTAAACCCGGATGGCGGCCAACTGTTGTTGGTGGGGCAAGGGTCTGAGGGACATCCCCGTTCAGCACAATGGACGCAGTGTTTGTTGCCATCCGAATCATCACTTTTACCACTATTACTAGCTTCTCTTCCTTTCATGCTTGATCCCTTCATGATATCTGTGTGAGCCGGAGGCTGTCAATGGCTAGTTCCCACTTTCCGCGAGCATGTCTCGGCCACAAGTCAAAAGCAAAAAGCTAATCTTACGGAAGCTCCCATCTCGTCGAAAGACACGGCTGTCGATACCCAAAATATCCTGCTGTCCACATTCCTGACCTCCCCTTCTTCGAGATCTCGCCGATGGACTAAAACGCGGCCGCAGCTGGGAGCCTTGGCTACAGTGAATAAAGATGTGATAGTGTGTTTTGCCCGAGCGGGCCTGAAAAAAAAAAGCGTGCTCTGCATTTTTGCTGACCACCATGACAATGTGCGCGAACGGCAGAAGCATTGCAGGTCTCATTTGGTGGGCCTGACCACAGCCTTAGTGTTATCCAGATCGACTAATTGCCTATCATCTTCCCCCATTGGAACCAGGGTCACATTATCTTATTTTCTTCATCAGTCTCGACAAATCACAATCCAGATCCTTCCCGACTATCATTTCTATTGGTTCACAAGATCATGGCCTACATACATATCTCCAAAGCTCGAACTGCCTATAAATATGCCCGCAAAACGAGTGACGAACCCCAACTAGATTTACATCCCCACTGCCCACATTTCTGCTACCGACGATGCCTTCGAAACCCAACACCCAGCTGCAGCCGCCTCCGCCGCCTCCCGTCCTCAACGATGACCCTCAAACACCAAGCCGCCGAGAAGGATGTCACACGAGCAGCATTCGATACGCTGCTCCTTATAATGGTGGCTATGGCGGCTATGGCGGCGGCTATCCTCCCAATGGTCACGGCAATGCCGGGACATTAAGGGAGAAAAAGTCTCTGGACTTTTCGCTTGTGAGCCACCTCTGTCAACGGTCCGGTACCTAACACTGAACTAGACAACGTCTACAGCTCAGGAAGTTTGCACTGGCGCGTCGCTGTTGATCCTTCTCCGTTGCCCTGCTTGACATAATTTCTTAGAACCAGACCGTTCAGATCAACGTCCAGGGCAATGGATGGCTACTTGGAACTGTCGTCGCTGTCTTGAAGACTGTACGAGCTGTAAGCTATCCACTTCTCCACTGTCCCTATTTTTTTACTCATGAACCACACAAGCTGACCGGCACGCACGTCAAGGTTAGGTATACCAACAATGGCAGGTCCGAGGAGGATGTCTTCGAAAATGACCCGTCGTATATTCTCCCATGCAGCCCGTCCAACTAGCTAAAGTAACTAGAAAGCCAGCTATTGTTTTGTTCGGCCCTCCATTTCTCCACAACTACGTATTGTATACAGTCTTTCAACTGTCATTGTCATACTACTAGTCGCGTCTCCGTCCTGCCTCAGTTAGCACGATATAAATTTTCCCGTTTCAACAACTGGGCGGGTGGAGGCGTCCACCGATGTCCAAACCCGGTCTTAATCTAAGTATGACTCGGGACCTTTACACACGAAAATCATCCGAGGACATGGAGAAGACGAAGTGTACGTATACAGCCTGGGATGGTATTGTCCTTCATACCCTTGATAAGTGCAAGACACGTTCCCTGATATAAATTTAGGTCTCTATGGCTCCCGATCCCCAAAACGTTAACCACGACACGCGGAAGTTTGGTAAAATGAAATGCTGGATCTGCTTTGCCATACTTAGGTATTTGCTCGTTTGCTCGTCATCGCCGGTGGGCCGGCCTGCCTTTTTCGTGTACTATGGAAAGGGACTACGGCGATGCGCCCAGGTGACGGAGTGAAAGTGTCATCCGTGATCTCGAGGCACTAACTTATTATGTACACCTTCTGCGTAGTGTTATCACCGCCCACTGTCTGCGGCCTGAGACGTGAGCGCGCGAAGCCAGAGCGGGTGCGGTTCTAGACCACGTAAACATCGTACCAGGTCCATTTCCTTTCCCTGAAGCATGAAACCTAGGGTCTGCTTGATTGCAAATCATGTTTTCAAGTCCGCGATGGATCGCTTCTGTCACACTAGATGTGAAAGATGTGAAAGAAGACATGAATCTTAGCATGATCGTTAAAGTTTTTCGTCACTGTGCACTGTTGGAGGAGTACGGACACTGTCCGTTTCATCCTCCATCGAATAATGTGCTATTTTCGAATGATAAGATGACATCAAGGTGGAGAACGAGATTGGGCGCTTATTTCAAATTTGCCGCGTGGCGTTCTGTGACGCTGGCTGACAAACAACTCCACTTCCAGATTTGATTGCCCTCCCAGTAGCCGCAGTAAAGGCGATGCGAATAACAACTGGCAACGAAGGGCTGGACTCAGCCACTGGAAAGTATTGTCTGCCTTAGCGAGTCTTTGGGCGACGAGGTGACACTGAGATAACTATTACTCTACTTGTACATGTGCCGGCCCTTAAAATCGGGGAGTACCTGTCGAGCGGTTGAATGCGCAAAGGCGCCGAAGTGACACAACCATAATAAGTTACTTGGAACCGTCTCGCCTTTCGACAATTGCGTTGGACCAGACAGTCGTATATTGTCAGTTACATAACCTACTAGGGCCTCGACCTCAGCGTCATTGACAGAGTGGTGGGTCTGACCTCACCTTGGCAGCTCACCGTAGACAATAAAATGAAGAACGGCGCCCGCAACAATTCCCGGTAGGCCTCTGCTCGATTTACGGTTTGTAACACCAAGCGGCATGGCCAATGACATTTGCCCTGTTACTAAGAAAACCTTGGAGCCAGAGGCGTCAGCGCAAGTTAGCACGCAACCAATGTTTCGAAGGTAATGACAATTTGCAACGGTGGAGCAGTGACTGGCCTGAGCCCTTTGGTTGGTTAGATTATGTGCGCTATCGAGACCGTGTTCGTAATCCACTGTCATTCTTACTTTAACCGTGGAATTCTGAAGCCCGAAGTAATGCATTAGAGCCGTGGGACAAGGATACTTTCACCCATTCCTTCCTAATCCTCCGGAGAAAGGTCTCGGAAAAAGCAGCGATCGGAGAGGGCAACGATGTGGCGGTTTAGTGTGGGATTCTGCCTTCTCCCTCCGAGATAGGTCGTCTGCTTGTCGAAGGTGGGCCCCGACAACCTGGAAAGCTATAACAAGGCGAAATGTTATCTCCATCGTGGCGTGAAGCAAGACTGTGAACACAGTGAATTACAAATAATATGGCGTTATACAGATCCAGAAGAGCACGAAGAAGTTCACTTATCGTTTGCGGATTGTACGAAAGCTTCATGGTTCTTTTCGTCAGGTCGACGTCCGATATTTTGAACAAACCCGTCTGGCACCAGGTATTCGCCTTGGTGTGGCGGATCCGGTCCCGCTGTGTGCGAAATGGCGGGCGGCGGGGCGAACTTGTGAACTGAGCTGTCTTGAATATTCGCCGACTAACTCCCCCAGTCCAGTTCTCGTGCTCCTTGGGCAGGGTTCTCCGCTAATAATATATTTCATCGTCAAGGAGATAGCGTTAGCTCTTGACACAAGCAGATCTTCCGCGGAAAAAATCGATCCTGCTAAAGGATTTCGAGGGGCCTGATAACCGACAGTATCTCGAAGGTCAATCGGATCCTACGCTTTCGAAGGAGCTGATAGAACTCAGACAGCAATCCAGGTTTCTGCATAGATTTGATGCGCGTGAGAGTGGGGGCCAAGAGAAATGAACAGATATATCACCCTGGTGGTGATATATATTTTCAGATCGCAGCCTGGCTCTTTAGGACGCGAAGAGACTGGATTGGCGCCATCAAAGTGCCCGCATGCCCCTCGGAAAGCAGGACTCGGAGGCCGTTCAATCTGTTCTGCTCATCAGAAGGAGCGGGAGGTCTGAGCATAGAACAAAAGGATGTGTATGATGGGTGGCCATGGGTGCCTCTATAGGTTGTGTAGTTAGCGATAAGTCGAGGACAAAGTGGCTGTGCCGCGTTGCCGAGTGCTGGGCACACCTGTGGACGTCCGATTTTGGCTCTTTTCTATCATCTGAAACTCACAACGCCTTTTGGCTGCAACACACCCTTCTTTTCACTCCACCCTCATATCGATACCCTCACCCTCACGCCGCGCATTGTATTTCCTTGCGAACGCCCTGTAGCTCAATCCCTAGCGCTGGCCTCGTTTTGGGTTATCAGTAGAACCATAACCCGCCCTTTTTCAACATCACGTCGTTTCGTGTGCCCTCTCGTTTCTAACGCTTCCCAATACCCACAACCCACGACATACGACCATAATGTCTTACGCTGATCAGCCCTCGTCGCCCGGCATGTCGTCGCCCCGTCGACTGACCAACAGGAACACCAACCGGTACAGCGTTACCGCCCTGTTTAGTATGGCGGCGGAGCAGGATGTTGAGGTTGAGGATGAGTTGGCACGAGGTGCGTGTTCAGCTGTGTTGTGGAGCTGTGATATTCAATGATAACAGCCCAGAAACGCCTTCGCGATCTCAAGGGCAAGATCTCTGCGCAGTCGAAGAAGAATTTCGTTCTCGAGCGAGATGTGCGGTACCTTGACTCCCGTATCGCTCTTCTCATCCAGAATCGAATGGCATTAGACGAAGTACGTGTATTACCTTCTCCCCGCGTCGTATCGTTAGAGAGCTCACTGTCCGTGTGTAGCAACGAGAGGTGGAACGAACCCTTGAAGAGGTTGATCCGACAGAAGGCCATTATCCCGACGACCGAAAACTCCAGCAGTACTCCAACTTGTTTTTCCTTCTCCAGTCGGAGCCACGGCATATTGCGGCACTATGTCGTCTCGTCTCACTCTCCGAAATTGACACCCTCCTCCAAACTGTTATGTTTACCCTTTACGGTAACCAGTACGAAAGCAGAGAAGAGCACCTTCTCCTCACGATGTTCCAGAGCGTACTTTCCGCTCAATTCGAAACCGCCACCGAATTCGGCTCCCTGCTTCGCGCCAATACCCCTGTTTCTCGCATGATGACGACTTATACCCGCCGTGGCCCTGGACAAAGTTATCTCAAGAGCGTGCTCGCCGAACGTATCAATAGTTTGATTGAACACAAGGACCTCAATCTCGAAATTAATCCCGTGAAGGTGCTTCAATTAATTCTTACTGTTGTCGCTTCCTAAAAGCCAACTTTCCATGCCTAGGTGTATGAACAAATGATAAATCAAATTGAAGAAGAAACGGGCTCTCTGCCGCCCAATCTACCCAGAGGAGTCGCTCCGGAAGTGGCTGCAGAGAATCCTGATGTCCAGGCCATTATTGCACCTCGTTTGACAATGCTCATGGAAATTGCCAACAGTTTCTTGTTGACCATCATCGAGAGTATGGAGAGCGTGCCTTACGGAATTCGGTGGATTTGTAAACAGATTCGCAGTTTGACACGAGTGCGTTCTCTCATTTTCCATGACAAACTTGTTACTCAGACTCTGAAAATCCAGCGCAAATATCCTGAAGCTACTGACTACGCCATCTGTTCACTCATCGGCGGTTTCTTCTTCCTGCGGTTCATCAACCCAGCAATTGTCACACCTCAAGCATACATGCTTGTTGAGGGTGTTCCCGCGAAGCACCCTCGTCGAACACTTACGCTCGTGCGTCGTCTAGATCTTTAACATGACATGCGAAAGCTTAGTTGTTATAGATCGCGAAAATGTTGCAAAATCTAGCAAACAAGCCTTCTTACGCCAAGGAGGCCTACATGATGACTCTCAACCCCTTCGTTGAAAATAACAAGGCTCGCATCAACCAGTTCCTCAACAACTTGTGTGAAGTCGGGGATTTCTATGATACTCTTGAGGTACGCCGTTCATCGTTCTTCTCGAATACAGACTTAGCGTTATTTATTTATAGATGGATCAATACATGGCCTTATCGAAGAAGGATTTGATGATCCACATCACAATGAACGAGTTATACAACACTCATTCGCTGATCCTCCAGCACATTGAAACATTGGTACGTATGCTAGCTGTGAAGGTGTTCCTTATCTCATAGCCTTCCTCCTCTTCCTCAGTCCCCGAATGACAAGCAACACCTGCGTATCCTCACGGACGAGCTTGGCCCTGCACCGGCGCAAGTACCGCGTAAGGAAAATCGGACAATCGAACTCAACTTATACAGCCGATGGGAGACACCAGTCCATGACATTCAGAGCGCGCTCATGGACTCAGTATCCTCCAGCGACATGCTCTACATGGAGACTAAATCCATCTTCGTGCAACTGATCCGTTCTCTTCCCCATGCCGCCGAAAAGCGACCGTACAACCTCGCCGCCATCGCCGAGCGCGCAGCTACAACTAAGGATGCTGTTCTCGTCCGGAAGGGCATCAAGGTGAAGGAGATGCTTCGGGAGCTGGAGGAGCAGAAGATCGTCGAAGCTACGGATGGATACAAGCTTATGCAGGAGGAAGTTGCTGCTGAGCTCGTCCATCTTGGAAATCTTCGCGAGAAGGTGTTGCTCGAGACCAAGTCGCTGGAGGCCGTGTACAAGACGATCTGCGACCACAACAACTACCTGCGGTCACAATTGGAACAGTACAAGGCGTATCTGCAGAATGTGCGTCTCACGGCGTCGAAGGATAAGGGCAGCACGACGGGTGTGGGTGTTGTCACAGTGGGCGGCAAGGAGAAGAAGCCTTTGAAGGCAGTAGTTCTGGGCCCTTACCGATTCACGCATGCACAGCTCGAGAAGGAGGGTATCATCGTTGAGAGTAATGTGCCTGATAATCGGTGAGTTCTTTTGGTCTCTCTGATTGTAGTAGGTTATTAAACCAATCTTACTTTTGCCCCAGCCGTCCAAATATCTATTTCAATATCACATCTCCCACCCCCGGAACCTTCATCATCGCACTGCACTACAAAGGCAGAGAGAAAGCTATTCTGGAGATGGACTTGAAAATTGATGATTTGCTGGAGAAGGTGAGTATAGCTTGTTCCTGCCCGTTGTGGTATGAAGGTGCACTCCCACCATGGATGTGCTGACACTCCTTTCCCTTGGCAGCAAAAAGACAACAAGCACTTGCTGGACTTGGAGTATGTTCAATTGAACGTGCCCAAAGTTTTGGGCCTCCTTAAGAAAGTCTTCGCTAAGCGATGAGCTACTCTATGCACATTCACGTCTGTCTCGAACTATCCTTAAATTTCTCTTTTTCAGTCTCCTCATGTTCTGTTTCTTACGGCGCTACCCACGAATTTCCTCTTTTCTGTGCTCCTTTATATCACCTTCGTTCATATTATACGTATGTCAGATTTCATTATGCCTTTACTCGCTCCTTCGTTCTCGATTCCCTTTATATTGGATGTATCAATTCTATCTGTGTAGTAGCCTCAAAACTGTGTTGTCTCCCTCTCTTCTTGGTTTATTATAGACCCTCCTCGATCCTCACTCCTAAGGTTGTGTGACTGCGCAGTCGGGTGTCGTGGTGGGTCACCAAACCCCTGAGGCCTGTGTTCCAGAAATGGAAACCGATCAAGCCAACTCTGGGGAAAGTGAGCGGGCAAGAATGCCCATTTCTTCCTCTGCTCTCATCCTTTACCGTGGTCCTTGCTGCCCGTATCTATTTCTTCTCGTCTTCTTTCGTTCGTCTGCCCGTCCAGACTCCGCCGCTCGTTTCCTCTTAATCACCCACCACTTCATAAACCAAACGCAGCTCAGCACCCACGCCTCGTATTCTTTTCTCACCAAGTTGCAGCTTGCTGCACTGAACGGAACGCAGAGCTCACTCTATCTCTGTCGAATGTTGCCGCAATCATAGCAAGTCCGCGAGAAGGTTTACAGTCATCTACATGCGGCCCTCACTGCGACTTGAATGTGCAGGGTGCTTTGGTCCCCAGGAATCGTTTTGGGTCTTCATTGTTCTTCTCGTGGCTTTTATCCCGCCTGCCGTGCTAGCAAATGAGGAGAATTACACCCACTCCTTCCGCCGAGCTCGCCCAGATCCGATGAATATCCCTATTCGTGTTCTGAAACGGCGCTCGCCTGCGGACAATACCACGTTTGGAGCAGGGGTGAGCCAGCTTTCGTTCGCAAGTGACAGGCAGTGCGTACCCTCGCTCAGCGTTACATTGATCTACTTATCGGGAGGGCCATTATCTCTTTTCTTTTCAGATCGTATTTTGCAGTAATCAAAGTTGGAGGCATCAACTTTCGAGTTGCACTGGACACAGCTTCGTCGGACCTATGGCTTGCGTCTTCCTCCTGCGAAACAGAGACGTGCAAGGAGATACCCCGATATCCTCTCTCGTACCAGAGCCCTACCTTCATTACGCTCAACGACAATTCGACCGCCTTTCGTGCCAGCTACGCAGATGGGACTTGTGCGTGAGGTCTCTTGAGCATAAGTACGACTGCTAACCGCTGATGCCATTTGTGCCTTTGACGTCCCAGTCGCGTCGGGATTTGTTGCTAGGGAGACTCTCGAATTGGCCAATATTACACTTGCTAATCAGACATTTGGTATGCCCATAATCTTTCGAACCTGTCGGACCAAGCTTATTATGTCTCGTCTCTTGATCAGGTGTCGTCACTGAATCTAATGTCACACTAACTGACGAGACGACTGGAATCATGGGCCTCGGGTTTCCTCGATTGTCATCTATCACAGATGTAGGAGGTAATTGGCTATTCAACCTGAGTTCTCGACGTCAACTGAGATGTGATGCCTTCCAGCCTTGCCATTCTTCTCGACGCTGGCTGCTAAGGGTCTTCTGGAATACCCACTCTTTGGCCTGAGTTTGACAAGGAATTCCTCTGGATCACTAACAATGGGTAAGTGACGATCCTTGGCTCGCATGATTAATTTCCTCTTATGAAAAACCTTTCTTAGGTGCTATTGACGCCTCGGTCGTCCACAATGTCAGCAACATAGGTTGGAATAAAGTCGCTCAGTTCCCACCTTTTGCGGCAGAAAACAACATCTCGAGCTACCTTCAATGGGCAATCCCTATTACAGGTGTTGCGGTAGGATCTTCCCTGCGTTCAACCTACGGTTTGCTAAAATTTACCAGTTCAATGGTACCCAAATTTCACCAATCGCTACGTATGCGAACGTTGGTCGTACCCAGTCATTGGCTTTGATTGATGTGTAGGCCTTATTTTCCGTCTCCGTCTGCATTCTTAGCTTATTCTAACGTAACAGAGGAGCGCCTGGTATCTACGGACCATATCAAGACGTGAGCAAAATTAGGACAGCATGAAAGTGAAGGCATCATTACTGATCTATACATTAGGTTTCACGCGTATACTCCATGATAGATGGCGCTCGTCTCGTTGATTCGACTGGGCAGTGGGCTATACCATGCGACACGACCGAGTCATTATCTTTCACCTTCGGGTAAGGATCACGCAGTCCATTGATATATGACATTACTGACTTCCAACAGTCTCCGTAACTACACCCTGCTCCCCACAGACTATCTCATTGGACCGGCGGACGGCAATCCCAACCTATGCTTATCCTGGCCCATGGCACTACCCCCTAGCTCAGATGGAATCGACTGGCAAATGGGAGCAGCGTTTCTCCGAACAGTTTATTCTGTCTTCAGGTAAGCTCCTCGCCAATGTTTGAGCAATGTACCCCTCACCTGCTACGTTTTATGCAGCTATGGCATCAACAGGAAAGAACCACCGCTGATCGGCTTTTACTCGCTCTCCAACACCACTAACACCACCACTACCCAACCCCCCGATTCTATTCTCTCCTTCCTCTCAGCCAACACAGCTACGGTGGCTACGACATTACCCAACTTCCTCTTACCAACACCATCGTTTACTACCCCGCCGCTCGCCCTGAACACGTCCGTCTCGGCTTCGGTCGGCGGCCTTGTGTCGTCAGGTCTGGCGAATGCCACGTACAGCGCGCTATTTGCCCAACGGACCTCATTGACAAATGTCTCAGCATTGCCCCGCATTACACCGTCTGCATCGGTCATAACCCTGGTTGTCACTGGCAGCGCAGGCGACGTATCGACGACGGTCTCTACAGCGTCCTTGGCCGCTGTGACGCTCGGCCTACCTCCCGGGTGGAGCGCAGGCAGCTCGCTGACTACTCCCGTGGTTGGTACGATGGTCTTGCCGTGTATACTGGTGATTTGGACATTACTCTCGAGCTGGCATTGAACTCTATACCCGAACATTACCACTACGCATCCATACACGCACGCTAACAATTGCATTTTGACCTGATATTCGCGTCAGCCTTCGTCTGTACATTAATGTTAATCTTTATTAAATCTGTACGTTGATGACTGCTATTCGTTTGGATTGAGGTTTGACCTGCGGTTGGGTTGGGTGTCAGGCTCAGCAGAGGCACATGAGCAGTATCCCAGGAAGAGACACGAAAGTAGCTACTCAATCATCTTATAGCACGGGTTATGACGCGGGCGAACGGTTGCCCAATTCCCACTCAACCCACCAACCCGGTTTGGCCTCCCTTTTTTCTCTTTCTAGCTCCTCCAATTTCGTTTTGAGAGTCACCTGAGCTTGATTCGCCATCTCAAACTTCGGCGTCGAACCTAGGGAGATGGAGATCACTTTCTGGTTTTCTGAGGCAGTTGATAGGCTCTGTTAACCGGTATAGCAATATTAGCGACGCGTGCAAGTGTTGAGACGGAAGGTTACTGGCCTCCATAATCCGCCGCACCATCATCGTCTCCAGAGAGATGTCAAGGTACTTGTCAATCCCTGCCACTTCACCCGGCGTCAGCTCACGAATCCGGGGGTCGTCGTCGTTCTCAATCTCTCCAAACTCGGTGAGCTTGTCGATATTTTGGGAGTCGCGTAATGGTTGTTCGAGGTACGTGTCGAGAGCCCTTGTCACGTCCTTCTGAGGAGACAGAGAAACAGAGGCCACTTGGACGGAGTCGTCGGCCATACCAAATTCTAGGACCTCTGAGATGATGAGTGTGGGTGTCAGCACACATTACCTTGGGTAGTGCGTAAAGGGTAAATGGACGTACCTGTGTCATCTGCCCATCCCGTATTTAACAGAAGCCCCTTCAGCGACTCGAATGCGGCCAATTGAGGCGTATCAAGCTTTCCCAAGAAGTTCTCCGACATAATCATTCCCTGAATCATGGCACTATGAAAAAGGTATATACAAGGAGGAGAACATAGGACGTACCCCGTTCGAGTGTGCTTGGATGAAAATGTTCAGAGAACCCTTGTGACCATTGAGATATGACATCTCATACTGCGCTAGGTATAATGGCAAGAGGATGGGGTATGCGGAGAACTAGAACGAAGAGGCGCTCAGGTGAAATTTGGGACGGAAAGGATTGGGATCTACAATGTGAGGTTTCACAGAGGAAGGGGAGAACTTGAGGTCTGCATTTATTGTTGCTTGACTGTATGATAGGGACTTGGCGATTTCAAGGATGGAGAAAGGTGAAATGTTATATGGTATGCAGTTGACTTCTAGCCCATGTTGTTCCATCAAGGATTGCGTGAACAGAGGAAGTTCTCGGTCGTCGACTCCTTGTGGAAGAAGCCTTGCAGCAGACAGAAGCGGAACCGAGGAACCTAAGGTTCATGAGTATAGTTGGAATAGAGCCGTCATTGACCATACCTGGAAGATAACTTTCGACTCCAGAATCAGACAGGGTGACTCAGGGTAGGTTACGCAGCAAGACAACGCACTTGCTTTTGAGTATAGCTGTCGCATTCCGCTGTAAACGCATCGGAAATGTATCGCAAAGATGCCGAAAGGATCAAAACGACGAACCGTCGAGCCTTGATATGTTACCTCCGCTTCGACTTCGGCGTTGATTATCCAGGCTGGAAAGTAGACAGGCGAAAAGCGGACAGGAAGCTTGTATTTCACAAATGGAAGAAAATTGAACATGGAGGAGAACATTTCTTCACCACCGCACAGGGGCGCTGCCCATCTCGCCATAAATTTCTGGGCATCCTGGGGTGTCACCACGAACGGGAGTGCTAAGTGAAATATTAGTGCTGTCTCTGGATAGATAATGTAAGGCTGGCCACCTCTGAGCTTTTTGAAGCCGCCATAGGGTGTGTTCGAGTAGTGTCTATGGAAGCACGGCGAGGGCGAACGGATGCGCCTGAGCGCGAGCATCGTTCGGGAACTGGAGACGGAGGAGCCGGTCCCAAAACGGAAGAACACGCCGTCACGTGGGTCAATGATCGGACCTAGCTCTAAGCTAACTTGAACGGACCGGATGACACGTATGTCAGAAATTTATGGAAAGCAACCAGCACAGCGATCGTCATTAGAACCTTGTCGCTTCCCCATACCCCTTGTTTTTCTTTCTCTCTCTCTCTCTTCTTATGTTCGCACCAACATTATTGGTGATTCTCTTCCTGGCCGCCTTCAGTGCAGCGGCCGACTACTACAAGATTCTCGATGGTGCGATCCCGAAGCATGTCTTCAAGATAGGGAATTGGACGCTCATATGCGTGTAATATAGTCCACAAGTCTGCGTCCGACCGAGATATTAGAGCAGCATACAAGAGACTAAGCAAAAAATATCATCCAGACAAGAACAAGGCTGCAGATGCGGAAGAACAATTCGTGAACATAGCTCGAGGCGAGTGCACTAGTCCGTAGCAGCAGCCACGTCCGCTCAACCTTCTCATCTACAGCATATGAAGTCTTGTCGGACTCTACAGTGAGTCTACACGATACCGTCTAGTCGAGGAGGCAATAACGCATGCTCAGAAACGGCAAATATACGACCGACATGGAGAAGAAGGGCTAAAAGCTCATGAAGGTGGCCAGCATCAGCAGAACCCATTCGACGTCTTCTCAAGCTTCTTCGGCGGTCGTATGTGGCTTCAAAATTTGTATAGACGCGTCTTTCACTGACCTCCCTTCGCATAGACCAACACCAACAGGCACGACGAGGTCCATCCTCTCTGACCGAATTCGAAGTGTCGTTAGCGGACATTTATAAGGGTGCCAGTATTGACGTACGTTGTCGCGCATGCACTCTATTTAAGACTCTAAACAACGTTGTCCAGTTTATGATCAAGAAACGCATCCTGTGCGACCATTGTCGAGGGTCTGGCGCAGCCTCGGATGGCGATATACACACATGTACTGGCTGCAATGGCGCTGGCGTTAAACTTGTGAAGCAACAAGTGTGTTTCTCTGTTTGCTCGCCTCGAACCTTGTCTCATATCCATTATGCGCAGATCTTCCCGGGAATGTTTGCTCAAAGCCAAGTGACATGCAACGAATGCCACGGACGTGGCAAGGTTATCAAGAAGGTCTGTCCTCATTGCGGTGGAAGTAAAGTTGTCGATCATACCGCGCACTATACTTTGGATGTCACACCCGGCATGCCCGAGGGTCATGAAGTCGTGTTTGAAGGCGAGGCAGACGAGAGCCCTGATTGGGAGCCGGGCGATGTCATCTTACGAGTGAGAAGCAAGAAGGAGATTGGTGGCTTTAGGAGGAAAGAGACCAGCCTGTATTGGAAGCAGACTATCGGGGTCGATGAGGTGCGGTGTCTCTACTGGCCTATAAGAGTTTTATTGCTCAGACGTGATGACAGGCATTACTGGGCTTCGAGAGGAATATCACGCATCTAGACGGCAGGAATATTCAGATAAAGAGGAACGGTGTCACGCAGCCAGGCAAGTTGACATTGTCTCCCCTTGCTTCACTCTTTATATACCGTTTTCTGCAGGCTTCGTTCAGACTATTCAGGGAGAAGGAATGCCATCCTACGGAGGTCATGCGAAGGGAGACTTGTTCGTCGAATACAGTGTGGTTCTACCGGTAGAAATCACACCCGAAATGCGTCGGAGTGAGTCTCCTCAAATTTTTTACGTTTGTCTTCTCGGAGAGGGCGTGGTGCTATTTCGTAACCGGGGGACCACGTTCCCTTCACCAACCCTCCTTTCCGTCTTACCCATACTTGGACACGGGATATGTTTTGCTCACCACCGATTTTGGTCTTGCAGAAATCATGGAGGCTTTCCAAACACCATCGTCGACACACGACGAACTGTGATGTAACTATTAGAAATACCTTAATCATGTGGACCCTACTATATTATTCAGGCATCCTATCTACTAGAGTACAAGGACGCGAGCCATCTAGGTCGGCGATGTCTCGGACTCCAAGGAGGTCAACAGCTTCTTTCTCATTCAAAATCTCAAGGGGACTCTTTCCAGTTCTGTCTGTCCGTTGTGAACAACTCGCTGGGGTCTCTACGACAACGTATAGCTGTTGCGACGCATACCACTCAGCGCCCGACCCCGTTGAAAGAGGTCTTCTGCGTGAAAACACGACCGTAATCCGCCCGTCCTTGCGTCTCTGATATCTGACATTGCCCAATCCCGTCGCCTCGAGGGACAGCCAGCGGGCCTTGGCTCTTCTCTGTCACCTGCAGATTGTTCTTCCACCACCTCCGTGATCGACACATTCCCTACGTCCACGACCCCTCGTGCTTTTATTCCATGCCACTGCAGGGTAGCACACTAGAAGTTTCATTTCCTGGCCTATTTTCATGATCCTTGCTTTTTTGGCAGATCGACGTTCTGGCATTTGCGACTCTGAGTTGTAACGGTGAGCGGCGCTGGCGCTAAAAATAGGCAGCGCCAAGAGATTGATTGGAGTGCCGACCCCGAGGCTGTGCCACTGCCCGTTAGGCAGCGCGCCACACTCGTCGGCTACTGATCCTTAACTGAAGGAACAGCGGGATACCAGATGACTGCAGTTGGCTCCGAGTAAAATGCAAGCTACGACTGAATAAATCTCGGCATTTGGACGGGGCGCGGTGTGCGCCCGTCATACAAGATGCTGAGCGTTCAGCATTCTGTCAATGGTCTCGAGGCGCGCACACTGTCTTCTGTCTGATTTGACTGTCAGGCGCCGCTAGTAGATATGTCAGAGTTGTCGACAATGACCTCTAGGCTCTGTATAAATGTGCGCCTTCTCTGACTGGGGAGAGCATCTGCTTTCGTTCTACTTTTCCCTTCGTCTTTCGGTCTCTCTTTTTGGCCAGGTTGCCTCCTTACAGTCTTTATTTTTTTCGATTCGACGCTATAAACCAACTATAACCGACTTTCAAGTAAGCTCTGGTCACTTTTTTCATTGATCCTTGAGGACGAGGCTCACGGGGATGTTTATAGACGACGACCACCTCAAATTTATCGTCCAAGACCAACGCATTCGTCGTCATGATGGCCAAGTTCATTGCCACCTTCTTTGTCGCCGTTTTGGCCTTCGCGCCAATTGTCTCTGCTGCTCCTGCTGCCATTGAGCCCTCCGATTTGGGTTTGTATACTGATTCGTATCGGTATTGAAAACTTAAACTTACACAACTCCCTCCATAAAGTCACTCGCGGAGGATTCAAATCCTTCAACAACTGGGGAGGCTTCCATTCCTTGAATGGTTTCGACAACTTCTACGGTGTTGATAACTTTGGCAACTCGCACTTCAGCCCAAAGTCAATCACCATCGTCAAGGAGAAGCAGCTCGTTTGCCGTGCCCAAAGTATAGAGATCATTCAACAACGGCTCCTGATCATTCAGGAAATGGCCAAGCGGTAGGCCTGTTTCCTTTTCGTTTCGAAGATACCGAGGTTCTGACAGACGGAAACTAACAGCATCATCACCGAGCAGGTCTGCGAAGTGGAGATCCAGACCATCGTCTTCGAGCAGTTCTACGCCAGCCTGCACGGGTTCAGCCGCGACCTCCGACGCTTCTCTGGACGCCAAGTTGGGTACGATGCTGGCATTGCGAACCATTTCGGGTCAATAATCTCAAGCGATGGCTCGCTCACGACAAACAACTTCGGTTTCTCCGGCCACGACCTCGGAAAGTCGTATGTCATCCCTGTTGGCAATAATTGGGACAACGCACGCTCTTTCGGAACAGTCGGGAGCGCTTACCGCGCCGCTCGCAGCGCTGTTGTCTCCTTCTGAGTGCAGGAGTGCCTGGGCTTGGGTAAAAAAAAAATCACCGAAATTCATCAGAAATATCGCGACCAAGCCCTTGGCCATATAAGGGCAAGACGGTTAACTTCGGTGCCATTGCCCACCCAATCGCCTCTGTTGTTGTTAAGCGACACTTTTGGTAGTTTATTCCCATTTGTAATTCCTGGGGCGACTTGATCAATCAACCCTTGCTTGCCTTCAACACATAACTTCAAAGCTTCATCTTTGACATCTTCGGCATCTGACGGCAAGTCAATCAACGGCAAGGCGAAGTTCTCCAGACAAGATGTTCGATGCAAACGTGTTTATTACTCTCCTTACAGCCTACTCAGCTTCTCAGACAGCGCCCTGCAGCGGCGTGTTCACCATGCACAATTCATGTTGCGCTAAGAACGACCAGCCGGAAGAAAAATCAGAAAGGAACCAGCATCATCCTGGCTTTACTGCATGATGGGACTCAAATCCCAGTCCTCTGGGACATATCTAAACGACGAATAGGTCCGAGCTGTCCATTGTACCATTCCGTAGGTTCAGGTTGCGTTCTCACTGGTGCCAAGAATTCGCCAAGACCATCACTCATGACCTCCGATTCGAAGTTAAGATCAATTGTGGAAGGTGAGGGCCAGGAAACATCGCCCCTACCTACTAAGAATTCTCCCAAGCTTTTCTACGCTGCGACAATGCTTGAAAATTTGATTCACCTTCACTCAGTGCTCCTCCAGGAGATGTTGACTGAGCTCGGGAACATTGACGCGCATGGGGTCCTTACGGGGATGAGCCCTCGGAACCTTTGCCGCGAAGGCTTGTGACTGCTCAACAACTCCTCCCGAAGTGCCCGGTATGTGTGTTCGCTATTTTTACCCTCTGATCGATCATCCCCGCCTTGGCGCCTCTTGGCGCATTCAAGCCCTCTCGGTCCTTCCCTACATGCTCTAGACGCTTGGGTATGTCGAATTCTCCTGACTACATACGATCCCCATAGAAATCACGCCCGACTACCGGGAACTCCGTGAGTTGTTCAGGGGATTCTCCAGGGTATATAAGGGCCTCCCAGAAAAGCGAACTCCTCACACTTGTCGTTCGATTCAAGTCCATTCTCCCTTCTTTGGCCAGGTTGCCTTTCTCCCCTTCGTTCATCCCCTTCGATCTTCACTGCCTTTGCCGGACAATCAACTTTCCTTTTGACTTACCTGCCTTTCTTTCATCGCACCTTTCTTTCGACTTTTGTTCACCGCATCCATTCTTTTCAGCATGTTCTTCTCCGTCTCAAAGGCATTCACCCTTGTTGCTGCTGCTGCCGCAGTAGTCGCCTCGCCTGTGGCAAGGAGTAGGAGGGATTTGTCGACGAGTAAGCTTTATGTTGCTCTGTATGGCGAGTGGGTTGTTCTGACGGTTTTATCAGTTAGCAGTGTTTCTCCCATCTCATTCAACTTGTGGGGTGGTATCCAGTCCCTGGCTGGCTTCGATAATTTCTTCGGTCTCGGAAACTTTAACGGTTTCAACAACCAACAAATTATCGTTGTAAACCAGCAGCCCGTTTGCCAAGTGCAGCAGCTGCTCATCGTCCAACAACAACTCGCAATCATCCAGGAGTTCTCGAAGCAGTGAGTGCGCTAAGTGTTATTATTGTCGACGATACTCAGATACGTTCACAGACTAATCCTGTCGTCCATCTGCGACGTTGAGACCCAGGTCCTCATCCTCGAGCAGTTCCGTGGTGGTCTCCGCAACTTCCGCGGCGACTTGAGGCGCATTACCGGCCGCAACGCTGGTTTCGACGCCAACATCGCCCTGCTCTTCTCCCAGCTCCTCAACCAGGACGGCTCGATCAACTTCAAGAACTTCGGCTTCAACGGCTTGGACATCGGCAAGCAACTCGTTGTCCCCAGTGGCTTCAACTGGGTCGACAACAGGACCCCCCAGAACATCGACGAGATCCTGCGCATCCTTGCTCCGCAAAGCAGCAGCGTGCAGGTCCCCGTTCAGGGCAACATCAATGTCACCTCTTCCGAGTCCGCTTCTGAGTCCTCTTCCGCCGAGGCCTCTTCCGAATCTTCTGCTTAAACGACGCTTTATGTTGAATTAGACATGGACACGGACTCTAGGTACTTAGGCAGGTACCGGCAACGAGCATATACCACCATTCCCTTCTCCCATAATGGACTTTTCTTGTAGCGACTGGTTGTCCGTTTGTAATCTAGCGTAGAAAACAAACGTTTTTCATCTGAACGATGGTGTGATTGTAAGGCCGTCTCTGTCGCTGGCCTTTTCCCCTTACGGTGCGTGGAATGCACCAAGTAATAAAAAATGAAGATGCTACCAAAACAAGTCTTCTGACGGACGAAGTGAGTGCAGCTGTTGGTCGTATACTGTATATCACCGTTTGAGACTCATATTTTCCCCTTCTGTTGTACCGTAGATCCCGAGTGCATCCTGAGGGTGTATTATTATGCTCACATATGTATATAGCCTTCGAACTTGAAGTAAGCGGATTTGGACAGGAATAGGTAAGAGCCGGAGGTCGAAGAGGTCGAAGAAAATAATCAAGAACTTGCGACCAAAGCAGTTCGGCGTATAATACAACATGGATAGTATACAAGTTTCATATTACGCATCATTAAGCCTAAAGATATTCACTCAGTCAGGTCGCTTTTTCAGGAGACCAGGGAATCACGCACTAAATAATTGTACGATTTGCGATCCTCGCAACGCTCGAGATACTCCCGCTAGGCGATGTCTGGTAAGCCAACACATGAAGAATAGACAGAGGCACCAGCGCACCTCGATTAGCTGCTCTATTCGTTTTTTAATTGTAAGGGGTTCTGGGTGGAATTTGCTCGTTAGCTGGGCTGTCACTTCGTTGATGAGATCGTTATGCGTCATATGTTTTCGGTTCTTCATAATCCGGACTATGCAGGCCTGTCAATAACCGGAAAATATATAAGTCTGTTGTGAAACGGAGGTACTGGAAGTCATACCTCCATCTGGTGCTTCCGTTCCTCGTCTATTCGGTCACGCGTCTCCTTCCTCTCTGCCTTGTTCTCTACCTTGGACGAGATCAAACCGATCTTCACCTTCTTCATGGGACATGAAAAGCCGTCGTTGAACGAAAATGTGTCATCCAGATTTATGTCACGCCCTGAAGGGTGCTTCTTCAGCACCTTCCACTTTGCACAAGCTAATGACTGGAGCTGCCGCTTCAGTTCCACCTCCTCTATCTCTGCGGCGTCCTTGATGTCCTACAGGGAGGTCAATGACACATAGTCCGCCGAATGAGATTGGCATACCTGATAACTCAAGAAGTCACCGTCGCCCAGGTTTTCGAAAAGCAGGAGGATGACGAGACCGAAGGTCGAGACATTCAGTTCGTGCGAGCGAGCTTTAAATTGGACAATGACATCCGCATTCCCTAGGGAATATTGCCAAGTCAAACGTCGGCCAGAATGCCGTGAAAAGTAGAACTGTTCGAAAGATTTAGTTGCTTTCGACATCACCGATGGCAGGATACAAGATGACGGAGAATGAGTCATTGGCCAGGCGTTCGATGTCATAACAATGACGCTGAGTTCGATTTCGGGTGCCTACCAGGATGTCTGCATCAGCCACCCTCATACTTAGCATTTCTACCATGAAAGAGCAACGCACCGTAGTTTTGGAAACATGGTCCAAGTATGCCCGTGTCGTGTCCGCTGATATCCTCATGTCGTTAAACATGCCCTCCATCTTTTGCGTAAACTGGATGCCACATTCAACTTTGAGCTTCGCCAACATTCCACGTTCTGCATCGTCAGAAACCGAGCGACTATAGAGTAAGCGCTTCGCAAGATGTCCTTTGTAATACTTCTCGAAGACATCTTTCTCAGCGATGAAGCGGAAGACGGTGATGGTTTTGTCGAGAATATCGTCCACCTCTGTTTCGTTTTTCTGGAAAACTCTGAGTACGACGCAAATATGGCAGAAATCGCCCTTACCCCCTTCAAGCCTCTCTTCAAATGGTCATCGATGAAGAGGGAAATGAATTCAGAGCACTTCTCGTTCATGTTGATGAAAGAAGAGAATGCCTATTTCGTGTTTAGATCTATGCTGAAGACAAGAAACCAAATGCTTACACCATTAATCGCACTTTCGACTTCCCGATCCTTTTGAAATGAGGCCTCCCACACTGCGTCAAACTTATCTTTGAGACCGAGGACGGTTTCTACCCAGGTGATGGCAGGTTGAATTCCAGGTGCAGGTCCCCGGGCCTTGCCTTTTCCCTTGCCCTTCTTGTCGGTGCTTTCGAGGTCTCCTTCAACGTCGATGAAGTCGTCTTCCACTGATCCGCCGTTGATTTCCTTTCCACGTCGAACAATGGATTCCTTCAATGCTGATTTTAGATAGGGCAGGCCTTGAGGCACCATAACACAAAGACGGTACAGACGGGAAAGATCGTCGGTCTTGTTGTTGTCTAGCATGGCATCCAGACCCGAATTTTCTTTAGATATAACAGCTCGAAGATGTGGGGATAGCAGGTTATCCTGTAGGATTTGCAGCAGATGTGGTTTGGTATGGCTTGACAAGTAATGGTGTACTCTGTCTTCTTCTGCTTTGAGCCGTTGCTCTACCTGAACGAAGTAAGAATTGAACCATCGAATACGCGCCACTGACTTACAGATTGAAGAAATATTGGTGCTGTGGAAGAGTTCAGCAACTCTTCTCCCTCGCGCTTGTAGAATGTTTCGCTCTCCTTGAGAACGGCCGGTTCGAGATCAAGTTTATAGATCGTCGCGCCATGGGTGTCGCCTTCCAGACTCAAATAAACGTCTACACAACCCTTCATCGTTGACCGGTCGATCACGTATCCGTTCCGTTCGTGTCGAATTTGATTGAGAATTGCTGCCATTACATTTTCCTTTATTGGGGGTCGGATGATGTGCTTAAGGAACAATTGTAGGCCGAGATCATTAGTAGCTGGCACTTTTGCTGTCTGTGTATAGACGCGATCCTTGGAGGAATTCCATATCAGAACGAGAATATAAATGAGGTGAACTTACCATATATTTCAAGATTTGCCCCAACCTAACCATGTTGTTTATATGTCTAGTCCACACAGCTTTCAGTGACGTCAGTAACAAATCATCCTCGCCACTCTGAACTGAAGGGTCTGTCGTGCCAGATGGGAAGTGAGGGACGATGTTCCGTGTGGCTAGGGTTTCTAGATCCTCCGCGACAAGTCGCTTCAGCCCGTTATAGAGCATTTCTCCGTGTTTATTGAGAACCATGTTGTACGCAAAGCGATGGTTTTCCTCAAAAGACAAATTCGACGCGTTTTGGTCTTGTATTTCACGAATATTCCGTGCGAGTTCTGACCATGTTTTCTCCGCTGAGAATTCTGGGCCATGCTGCAAACCGGATGAAAGACCGCAAACAGAATATGAAACTGGCAATCACCTTCCGAGGCGCCATCTACGTTTCCGTTCAATATATTTCAGTATAGTGTCCCCGCCCAAGGTATGAGCACGACGCACAATCTTGGCTCGCCCCCGCCGGGCACTTGCTAACAAGGTGTTCCGTCAGAAAACAGACAGTTCCAGAGAATACAAAACTCTTACTTACCTCCGGTAGTTGCCATGATGGAATATGTGTGGATCAAGTATACTGTCGTCTTGCTGAGCCCAAGCAGCGAATCTACCAACTAGATCATCTCAGCAAGACGCTCAAAGCGCCCTGAATAATCAGCCCTTTGCGCTTATTTAGGCTGATGATCCACTGCCACACAGATGATAACAGCGCTAGCAAGACTTAAAGTTAGGCACCTCGTCATGCCTCTGCGGACACCTCATACTCGCGACCCTCCGATAACTGGGCCTTTATGTAAACGATGGATCATAGCTGCCAGTGCATGGGGCTCAGCACTCCGTTGCGCATTCAGTGTTAGCCTCTGTTGACTTCCGTTCACACTCATGAAGCGGACCGGTTCACAGAAGGGCGTATTCGGAGTGTGCGTGTATGGGCTGATTCGTACAGACTTTCCTCGGGCTTCATCCACTACACTCGACCCCCCCCTTCTGGCCCTTCGAGGTGAGTCGAGGACTGGATACATATTGAAAGCAGGCATATGCGCATCTAATAAACAAATTGCTGTTAGCAGGGAATTCTGCCTCTTCAGTCAGTTACCACCCTCTTAAACCAGTACACCGTCGGACAACAAGTCATCAGCAGATTCCTTTTCCCCCGAAACCATGTGATAGAACCGGTATGAACGAATGAATGTGGTAGGCCTCTACCAAATGCTATCTATGCTGAATTCCGATGAGGATCGATCCACCACATAAACATTCTTTCTTTGCCTTGTATCTGACGAGACATCAAATTTCAATGTCGTACTCACAGGACAAGACAATAGGCCGAGGATTCCACTGCTTTATCACAAAGGACAAGTAAGCGACCCAGCAGGACGGTGGGCTCGGAGGACCAAGGGTCTTCAGTGTTATTATCAGTGGTAACCCGGTCACATTATGAAGATGCATCATTTGTAGCAGGTAATTGCAGCGGCAGAGAACTGGAATGACAGTCGACGAATCTACATATAAGGATGTGGGTTACAAGAATAATGAGAAACTGCTATGATGATGCACGTGAAGAGCGAATCAAGTCTGTGAAATACTTTCGGAAATTCTTGCCGTCTAAATCTCGTAATTTGGTCGTGAAATCTGCCGCCATATCCGGTGGCCAATTTTGCGAGGGAAGGAAAACGTTGATGAAGAACGTGTATGCCTCCGTTCCCCTGGTTTTACAGATAATTTGTAGCAGGTTGGCGATCTCGTGGAGAACCTGTTAAGATCACCCACGTCAACTTGCCCGAGAAGGAAGTGGGACGAAGAAACTCACCACAACCAACTGACCATCCTTAAAATTGAAATTGGGTAATGAGGGGACTCGGAAGGCAGTAGGAATCAAGCGTTCGTATATGAACCGCTCGAAACCAGGCAACCTTTCACCCGCATCTTGTCCATTAGTCGCCGTTGGGGCACCGGCAGGTTGACCCCAGACTGTGACGCAGCGGCTGAGGAAGGTCAATGCAACCTTCTCGCAAGCGGGATCTAAAACATCTTCTGCTATCTGTTGCATAGTCTGGATGAGATTTTCAAAACCGGCCGAATTCCCTAGAGATTTACTGTCAGCGCCAACAAAATAAATTCAAAGACAGACTCACGATCTGAAATGAAAATTCCCTGGAGTCTGGAGGCCATAACGTTGTTCAAAAGGGCAAGATAAGCCTTTTTCGTCTCGATATGAGCACGTTGGTCATCTGTTCCAGAGATTGGTTGGGAAAGAAGCGTGGTGATATGTGTGCTCAGAGGACCAATTAACTGGTCTAGTACATCGAACATGTCTTTCTGATAATACAATAAATTGACAATCCGTCCCAAGTATCTCCTGAAACTGCGACATACCTGAAGTTTGTGGATGAGAAGGCCAATGAAATTCATGAAGTCAACTAATTCTGAAGGTTCGAAATGTGCCAACAAGTTGCTCATAAGTGGAGGAATAGAGTGGGTGACAGTCGGGCCAGCAGTTGCCAAGATTCTCGCAAATGCATATCTTGTCTGGCTTATCGTTACTGTCTGTTGGAGGAGGCCAAAAAGAATTACTTACTGCATCACGGATTGGCTTAAACACATTCATGGCCTCTAAGCAGACCAGAATCGCCTGTGCCATTTCCGCAAATACTTCAAGGGGCGGTAGAATATAGTTTGGCGGTAGTGGGTTAGGATAATCGGGGAATCCCTTGGCGATGTTTCCGAGGGCCATAATGATGTGGTGCACTTTGACGATAGGGACAAGATCAGAGGTGTCATTCGCCCTGACAGCCTGAAAGTTGACCGAAAGGTCGTCCATGAGAGGCTTCACCAGTGACAAGAGGACGGTGGATTGTTGTGACGGGTCCTTAAACATGAGAGAGCACAAGATGCCCGCTGTTTCGAACAGGAAGAGTTGTGACTCGAAAGTTGAGTTCTTGACGGCTTCTGTCAGGACATCTTGCTCAGGTTCTTCTGGTTCTGGAATCTCCACAGCGATTGGCAATAGATCGCGCATGCTGTCGATGATGGTGGGCGCAATGTCGACGGGTATCTCGTTTCTAAGCTCTTTTATGAATCGGTGGAAAAGGTAAAATAGTCGAGAACGATATTGTGAGTTGTCGTTATGTAGCCCCCTAGTCACACCAGATGAGTACCGGTCATAATTAGAGGCTGGAGGACTCACCGAACGTCCACTATGGCCTCTAGTGTAGGAATGATGCATTCTTTCCGGACTTTGAAGAAATCCGTATACCGTGAAACCGTCTCAAAGACCTGTAGGGCGACGCTTCGATTTGGAAATGAAGCGATTCCAGATTGAACTAGGGCTGCAAGCATCTCGCCATGAGGAGTCAAAGGATATTCCGAGTAGTTTGTCTCCCTTCGTTTATCTTTATCGACAGCAGGAGCTTGACAAAATGCGGCGCGGCCTTTTCCACCAGCTTGAAAAACAGTAAGTCATCGTGAGGTGCAAGGAGTATTGCTCATACTTTTGTTAATTTCGCCGAAGATGTAGACGAGATACACTCCGAGTTCCGCGTCATTCCATTTGATCGAGACTCCCGACCTGTACGCTGAGATCGTATTTGACGCCAGAGTTCGTACAGCGTCTGTCACGAGAGCTTGGTCGATTGAGAGAATGGAATCTAGGAAAGTACGCAAATCCTATGGCTGTCTCAATACTGTTCCTGAACGGTTGAGAGCGAAAGAAAGACTTGCCTTGCGCATCTTCTCGAATTCAGCGATATCATCTTCATCAGCTTCATCGGGGTCTGAGTCTACATCCCACTTCATCTTAATTAGGATAACCTCCAATAGCGAAATAAGGAACGCCCGTTTCGACTCGTCCAGTGGTTCAGTTGAAATCTTGCGAGCGCGTTTATACTACAGATAAAATGAGCGAGTGAATGGCATGACTTCTAGCTGTGCCTACCGCAGACAGAATAGTTTGTAGTAGTGGGAAAACGGTGGAGCACGTATCGTCGTAGTCGTCGGCCAAGAAATGAAGCATAACTGGCTGAATATGAAGAAGGTACGTTGAAGCTTCAGTGCGTATTTCTTCATTCGGGCAGTCCTAATCGGAGAGAATTTAACTGTAATGGGCACGCGACCATTCCAATGTCGTGTGAGCACTTACATCGACCAGTTTTGCCAATTCTTGACCGAGGACATTGAGCAACTTCCCCAATGCTTCGCGATACGACTCCTCTCCTTCATCGGTGTCGTCTCCACGTTCTTGCTGTTGTTGACGCGTTTTCGCCTCCAGGGCTTCGAGCACTTGCCCCAAAGACAGGACTTTCAGAAGTTGCAGCTTGTCGCTCGGCTCTTTGAGGCCTTTCGAAACAATGCGTAGGAGGGCGACAGACGTCGCTAATCGAATGGGTAATGAAGGATCAGCAAGCAGATTGAACAACAGTGGGACGGTTGTAGGGGTAACAGTAAGATTGATGTCTATCCAGCCTGCGGAAAGTAAAGCTCGTCAGGGAAGTTCGCTCGGTTTGTAAAGAACCGAAGAGACGCACCGACATATGACCCAAAGGTACGCACACCCCAATCCACCACCTCAACCACGTTATCCAATTCTTTTGGATCTGAGGTCGCAGTTGGGTCTTTCCTGAGCTCCGCCATCCTCTCTGCGCCTTCTGCCACGATGGTCAGAACAGCCTCATTGATTCTAGAGGCATCTCGCTCGCGCACTCCGTCCCTAACCCTTCCGTCGCGTGCATGGCGCGCTGCGCTGAACGTTCTCGCAGACTTGATGATTTGGTCTGCTACCTCGCCTGAGATCTCTAGCACGATGTGAAAGAAGAGTAGCGACACATGTCGGTTGAATCCCTTTTGCGAGCTTTGTTCCGTTGGCTGGATGAGAGTGAAGAGATCGGAGAAGAACGTTGGCCACTGTCCATTGTACGTGCAGAGGAAGAAGAGGGTGAGGGTATGGGAAAACTTGTTGCGAATGACTAGGAAAGAAACACCACTTAGTTGGTCCGTGTGTCACTTGGAAAGAAAAAGGATCGGGCGAGATAAGACCCTCACAAGTGGCATCAGCTTCCGCAGGACCCAACACGTATTCCGACTGAATATACGCGATCAACGCTTGCTGGAGGGTTTGGAAGGATTCATGGTCAAATCTCTCGAATCTATAACGAAGTGACTCGTGAGCAGAGGTTTAGAGGGTGTGCGGAACGCGAGAGCTTGGCTTCGCGGTGATAAGGCGTTAGAAATGAGGCGAATGAGGGGGGTATGCTTTGAGATGACGGCTTGGCCACATCCAACGCAAGGCGAAAGTCATTTGGCTTACCGGTTGTCCAAAAACTCATCTAGCACCCGAAGAGCAAAGAAGCGCACTTGCGCAGGATACTTTCTTGTCCCATCGGCGTTCTGATCGACAAAAAGTTTCAACACGAGCCTCCAAGTTTCATTCGAGTTTTGCTGGACGGTCGACAGATACGCCAACGCCTGCTGGTGAAGCGAAATCTGACTCTGATCAAAGGCAATGTTGATGGCCTGAACGACCTGCTCCATCTGCTGCTCCATAGATAGCTGTGACGTTCGACCACGACGCGTCTTTCCGAGGCCAGGCAGTGAGTAGAAGGGGAGTTAAAAGGTAGAAATTCGAAATGACTCTTTCGTCTTTACAAGGGCCATTCGGCACGTGGTTATCGCCATTTGTGGCTGACGGCCCGCTGTCCCGCTAAGCGCCTGGCTGGGTAGAAAAGAATTTGTGATCTCGACTCGAATACATCTTCTAACTAAAACTCTAGAATGTAGATATCCCCTGTGTGCACCCCTATCCACACTCTCCCACTAGATTCTTCGAACGCCAGTGACCTGCAAGTGTGAGGTTCAAATGGCAAGGCCATTTCCGCAGGTCGAAGCAGGACGGCGTGGGGCGGCGCGTCCCCGGTAGGAATGAATGAACCCTTCATGAGCCGGAAGTCATCAGTGTTCCATTGGTGCTCCAGCCATACTGCTCGACGACCGGTTTTCCCAAGGCATGTTGGTTCCAAAGTCACATTTGGGGGTGTTGTGAAAGTGTAGTCAGGCTCCCAGTTAGAGAACCTCTGATCTCTTTTCGAGGTGTCGACTGGGAAATGGAATACATTTACTTTCCCCCTCTGCATCGTGGAGAATGGCGAATGGGCGACCATGACCGAAATCGACTCCAAAGACGTCTGGTATAGTGGCTCAGCTGTCGTATAGATCTCAAGATTGCGATCTCTCGGAGTGTCGTAGTCCACGACGGAAGATTTCCAGTCTTCCACTGGGATCAGGTCGGTGGGAGAGAGATGAGATATTGGTTCTCCTGAGAGGATATTCATTGGTAGTTCCCGGACTTGAACTTTCAATTGCTCGTTGTAAACTCCAACAAGAGCAATGAATTCGGAATATATCCTGAACTGAAGTCGGCCACAATCGAACTTCTGGAGCAGAGATTGGAAGTGGACGCTGGATTTGAAATTGGGATAACGTACCGATAAACTGGGTGAGTCGATAAGAACAGTAACATTTGTTCGTGTATTGAGAACAACGATTTGGTGACTATGGGCTGCTTGGGATACATGGACGACGGCAGCTGCCACAATTGGGCCGGCTATTTCTGAATAGTAAAACACCCCAGGGTTCTCCACGACCCAATTGTTCATTAGGTATGGCGTCCCATTCTGACTGCCGCTTTCTATACGGCCCTTTAAATTGAGATGGTAGACAGTCAGCAATCTTCTAGGCAGAGCAGTAAGTGTAAGCCAGCAATAGTGCAGCCATGTCTAATCACCCTTTATGTGTTGGCGAGGCACCAAGAACAGAAATGAGGACACTGTCTCCGTCATCTTGCAGTGAAGCAGCAAATTTGAACGCGTGCAGAGGTTCGAATAACGCAATGCAGGTCGGTGTAACGGACGCGCCAGCAGCTTCTTCTAGGCGCCAAACGGAGAGATGGATTGAAGAAGCTGGAGACCGAGATAGAGTTACAAGCCACCGATTATCCAGCGGCTGCATGTGGATCACAGTGTTTCGTGAATGAATGCGTGTTATCCGTCGAATTGTTGAGACCTTTCGCTCCCAATTTCGGCTGAGTTGTAGCGCCCTGATTACACTTTGCTTGATTACGGGCCCGGGGATATGCGCAAGTTCTCCGCTGCGGATGTCAAGTGGAAGGTTATGACTGATATGGTGCCAAACATAGTCTGAAGAGGCGAAAGCGTGTAGGACACGACATGTCTGCGTGGCCGCAGCGGACATAAGGTTACGGTCAGCGTATACGTACCAAGGGTTAGTAATAATTCTCACCTGTATGAACGCGAGAAAACCCTTTGGTTCGAGGTTAATGCAGATTAGCAGTATTATGTCGTATGGGAGCTCCGTGAGGATCATGGGTAGCTGGGGGAGAGAAGATCTGATACGGGAAGGCGAAGTATTCCGTGACCGATAAGATTGCGGCACCGTGCAGTGGATTGATTACGAAAGCTGGGGTGTTCTTGTGTGCTACTTAAAGGTCACCGCCCGCTTTGAGCGTCTCACACCATGAATCTCCCATCTTCTACCCCCGCAGATCTCCCGACCCTTTCACCAATGTCTGAGCTCGACGTCTTCTCCGACTCAGAGTGGCTCGACGTCACCGCTGGACGTGACTCGGACGACAATGACTCCCTCACCGACCAGGACAGCGATCGCGACGATCTGGCTTCTATGCCACGTTCCCGGCGCTCGTCGTTCAGCAGCGAGAGTGCGATGAATAGCGACGTCGATGCTTGGGAAGGGTTCGTCTCCGATAGCGGCGATGAAGTTGCTCCTGGCATGTACCCTGTGCCACTTCCTGCCGCCCTTGGGGCTGAACCAATTGCGGTAGGGTTCAACCCGACTGCCACCGAAGCTATGGACCCAGCTGTCGCCGAGGAGGACCAACGCGTCAGGGAAGCCCTCGATCAGAGCTTTGTCGGCACTCTTAGTGCATCGCGTTCCAGCACCGGTGGCCACCTCTCCAGCACCCACACCTCTATTCGCGATCTTCGGTTGTCCTTCCCCGATCCTTTGACCAGTTCGCGAGATGAGTTGAATAGATCTTTCGAAGACGTTTCTTCCCCTACAGAGACCACTGCCAGCTCTACCACAGAGGATGAAGTCGAACCCCCTCAGACTGCTGCTCCGATAATCACAACCCCTCCGCTTGAGGATCCGGGTTTGTTATCTACTACACCCGAGGTCCAACATCACGAGGTCGGACATTTTGAGTCTGAGGACAAGAAAGAATTAGAGATTGTCCTCTACGGCGCTCCTTCTAGCATTATGTGGAGGTTTGTCCAGGAACTGGTCCAGAAGGCGCTAGTCAACTCAGGCTATGACTTCATTAACAACCTTCGTGACGATGAGCAAATTCAGACTCTCCGGCTCATCAGGAAGTCCGATGATGCAGCACCGTTCTTCAACATAATAACCATACATGATCGAACCCTCGGGTTTACTCCTAAAGCTGAAGTCGTAAGTTTAGTATCGTTTCTTTTCGTTCTGCCTTTTCATTCTACTTTCCGTCTCCTAGGACAATCTTGACTTTGCTGACCACCCTTCATTGGCAATTATTTACCTACCGACGTCCAAACTTCCAATTCTTCCATGGCACACCGCTTTCTTGCCTGTTTTCGTTCCTCCTTCTTTCATCACAGATGACGAGAAGAATGCAGCACTCCAAAGCGCCGAAGACGACTGGGATCTCCTCGCAGTTCCAGCAGACAGAATCCTCAAACTTGGAACAGGGAAGTCCATCGTATTTGACAGCCAGAGGCTTCAAGATGTTAAACCGTCGAATGCCCATGACGTTCTGTCTTGCATCGGGCGCGAGACGAAGAAGGTGACTGCGTCGAAGCCATTGACCGAACAGGTCAAATCAGTGAACGCTGTCACACTGTGCGTTTCACTTATTCGTTCCAAAGAGTTTTCTCTCTAACGATTCCTCCAGATTTGCCTTGATGTCTATCATCGTGGGATTCGCCTGCAATACCGCATTCCGGCCAGCATCACCAGCGCCGACACCCACTGTTAATTCATCCTCATCTTCATCGGGCAACGCAAGCTTATGGAACATCGTTGCTCAACCAAACCGCTCTGTCGCCGCAGCTTCAGGCGCCTACACTCACGGAAAAGGTTGCAGTGTTGGAAACTCCGTTATCTCCAGTCCCACTTTCGCGTTATCGGTGGTCAACACTGGCACCACTTCGCTTTCCGTGACGTTGCCGCCTTCTTCGTCTTCGTTGAGCCTCATCGTCGCCAGCAGCTCCAAGGCTTTGTCTGCAGTCACGACAACCACTCCGGCCAAGTGTTACAACTGCAAGGGCAGCACTTCCGATAATACGGCAGCAACAACAGACGTTGTCCTCCGAGCGACGACTACTCTCTCAGAGATCCCTCGGCTGAAGCCTTCCTCTTCCACTGTAGTTTCTCGTGCCAACGCCGCGTCGGTATCCTCCGTCCTTCTCACCGAGGGGTCCACTTCCAAGTCTACCATCGCTTCTGCGGCGTCGGCAGCTGCGAACCTCAACCTCAACACCGTCTCTGAGGTATTCGATGCCACGGCCAAGGCACTCACAGAAGCCGTCAGCAGCGACCTCAACGAACTGGTCGAGGCCGCGGATGAGCTCTTCAGCTCCATCATCCAGCAGACGGACATCGTGATCAAGCAGTCCAAGGGTAAAGCCCGTGCCCTCGGCGAGCAGCTGCAGAACCTGAACGAGGAGGTCATCGCACGCAATGAGAAAGCTAAGAAGCGTGCAAAGGAGCTCAAGAAGAAGGGCGAGGATATGATGCGTGGAGCGAAGGAGGAGTTCAAAGAGAGGTCGGATAGGGCTAAGAGCCGCGCCAGAGTGCTGAGGAAGACGATGATGGACGGTGGAACGGAGGCGTGGAAGACATATGGGAGGGCGCAGGGCGAGTGGGAGGAGAAGCTGTTGGGGAAGGTTGGTAGGAAGGAGAAGCAGTCGAAGAAGAACAGGAGGAACGAGAGGAGAGCCTCGGATAAAGAGAATGTCGCCACTTCAGGCGGCTCTCAGAGGAGGATCTGGAATCCCAGAGGATCTCGTCGTTCCAAGGTCTAATTCCCAGCCTGTCCCTTTCCCTATCAATTTTACGTCCCCCTTCTGTTTTCTGTTCCTCTTGCCCTCTTTCTGTCCTCCCTTTATAAGTTACCCCCTTTATCGATTACCTTTCCGACGGAAGTTCACTATGTAAATGTTAGTCCTGCATATTATGTATAACAAATAAACCATATCAGATTGTAACAGACTTGTAGTCGTGTTTATGCACTACACTCATCTACAACCTCGTTGAATGACGCATACTCTACGTTGCAACAAGATAGAGAGTAGTGGGATTGTACGATAAATTCGCAGATTCTAAATAATGATGCGTAGTTGTGTGGTCAACTCCGAGTCCATTTCTCATCGCCTCTAGAATATGATTTTGTCCACCTCTCGGTGGACTTCGACCACGAATGGTCTTATTTTTTCCGCCGAACCCGTGTCGAGGGTATGTAGAACTTCCTCGGCATGCGAAATACCGTCCTGCATACCGATAGATTTGGACTGATCCAGACTTTTGTAGAGCAGCTGACGAGCCTTTTCCTTGTCACCTGCAAACTGACGTGAAGAAGAGATCAGGTTTGACCGCGCAGCTCTGAGACTTTCAGACACTAACCTCACTGATCATAGCAAGATTGTAGAGCATAACGGCATATGCTTCTTCACAGATGGAGTGCTTGTATGGAGATCGTTCGCGAGTCGTGGTGGTAATATCCAAACCCTTCTTCGCCCACGACTCCGCTTGATGGAGCACCTCAGGGTTAACGTTGTTGCTTGGGTGGTTTCTCAGGATAAGTTCGGCCACATTGGCCATGAGTTGTGCACCTATGTGAGGTCACCATTGGAACCCAAAAATGATGCAATGCAACCTACCTCGGCATTTATCCTCCGCCGGCACTACAGCAGGGGCAGGAGGGATAAGAATGGCAATAGCCTGCAGGTAAAGCGGCATCGCATAACTGAGAATAAATGAGAACAGTTCCATGCAAAGGAGAGAATGCATATCACTTAATATTCCCGTGTCTCGCGTAGAAGGAACCCAAGGCTTCAAAAGGAGCTGCGAGATCATGCACCATGGCCCAAGGAGGGAGCCCGAGGTCTTGAAATTGCACCTTCGCGTGAGCGGTGGTGTCATCCGGGCCTTGACTATTACCAACCTTCCCAGACAATGGTGGGGTCACCAACATGTTCTTGAGGGTGGCCTCGACAGAGAAGGTGAGCCATTTTTCTTCTTTCTCATGTTTCTGCAGGGCATGTGCTAGTTCGCCGAGCTTGTACGCCAGTGCAACAGCGCGCATCCTCTCTGCGGCATTCAAGACTTCGAGTGCCTCGAGATCTATATCCGGATGATCACTAGAGGAAGGATCAGGGTAGGCAAAACGGAGCCTGCGAAGAGTATCTTCATATGCTTGGTAGGCTTCATCTTTCTTCTGCCCTTCTTCGAGCACGCTTGCTAGGGCAATGCCAATGCCAGTCAATTTAATCAAAGGTTGGTCCCCGAAAGCATCGAGTGGTATTGCTATGGCCTTGGTCCAAGCTCTTAGAAAAGGAGTCGGACACCGAGCACAAACGTTGAGAATGTACTCACCTTCTGAGATACTGTGATGCCACGTCAAATTCACCCTTACGTCTGGCGAGCAGACCACTGCGGAGATCTTTGCGAACTTCCGGCGGCCACAATGTCATGGCGCTATACATTTCGTACCTAGTGAAGTGGTAGGACAGAACATGGTCGAAATCAAGGTAGAATGTACTTACAGGCCATAGGCTGTCAAGCCTACCCCGACAGCAAGAAGGGAAGTCAAGTATGGAGATATACTCCATAAAGCTGTGGTGTCTCTGATGAAACCTAGCCGTTGGGTACTTTCTGTGTTTGCATACTCTTCTCCTGGTCGCCTATCATCAGCTTTTTTACTTTTCTGTCGGCGCGCTTCCGTGGCGAAGGTGCGGTGCACAGTTTGAGTGACAGAATGAGAGATTGAAGCACGTCTTGCGAGAAAAGTTGCACATCTGCCGGCAGGCGACGCTGTCCTCAGGATGACAGGTAGTAGTCGTGAGAAAGAACGTATCTGCATGGTTGGCTGCACAGAACGGTTCAGAGGTAAGGCCGGTAAGGGATGGACGTCGACATTCAACTTAGGTGGTTGGAAAAGTAAAACTGGGATTGAGTTGCATGTCGTCATCACGCTGTCCTCGCGATCTCGGCCCGTGTATTCCGCTCAGTCATGATATTCATCGTGATCCATGAATTTTGTCACGGCGCACGAAATAGTCTCCTCCTTCGACAGTAAACGACAACAATACAACCGCTGAGTAAAATAGGTCGCGGACCAAAAATTACAAACAAAAGAGCCCTACAAACGACAGTTCACGGCAGCCAGTATTACCCTAATTCATACGATGTTCAGATCAGAACCGAGGGTTACCATTGTTCTCCTCAGACGGAGACCAAGTGGGGGGAGGGGATCTCGACACAGGAACGTCCATTTCTCGCTCGATACTACGAATCTTCGATCGGAACGACCACCCTCCTCTTGGGTTGGCAGGCAGCCCATACATAGGAGGAGCAGGAGGAGCAGGAGGAGCGGTGCTACTAGGGGATGCTCCTGATGGGTTGGTGATGAACAACCTACGAGGACCTTCCAAATCTGTTTGGAGCTGTGGTAGAGGAGAGCGGATCGAAGGTGCAGCGCTGTTTACATCCACCCGGCTTCCGTGTTCTGCTTCCATGCTCACTGCCGTCGGGGATGGGACATATGTCGAGAACACCCTGAAGGCCCTTGAGAACCGGGAAAGGGGAGGCAGGATTTGCGAAGGAGGTCCAACGGCAGGAGGAGTAGCGGATGCTTCTGCTGAATCTGGAATGGCCACAAAGGCTTGCTGTGCGCCAGACCTGTATATAGGAAGACCGCCGGGTCCTCGCTTCTCGTCCCGCCTGTAGCTGTCCACACCTTGGGCGTGAAGGGGCAGTGGATAGTCCGGAGGGGGGCCATCTTCGAATTGTTCACCGTCCTCTGACTGCTTCTCAATATCCTGTTCGGGGTTGGGTGGGCGCTCAGGAGGATCCTGGTCGTCACGGCTTCGAATGTAGACGGGTGCGAAATCCGAGGCATCGAGTTCCTCGCTTGAGCGGACTGTAAATACTCTCAGCATAATCCCCTGGCGTTAGTGAGGAAGCACTTACGGTAGTCAGCGAGTCCCTTTCCGAAATTGAAACGACAAACAACTGCCAGAATAATTGTAGCAACGAGAAGAACGTAGGATGTTACGGTAAGCGTCGCAAAGAATGGCCAGGCCATGAAGATATATCGATACACTAATTATTGAAATAGGACTGTCTTGAGTAAGAGAATGAGATGGACACAGAAAGGGTGCTTACATTCGCTGAAGAACATAGCAGTCGATATGCCGATGAGGAGAACAGATATGATACAGAAGACCACGAAGCGGATGTTAGACTCGCGTCGGAAACAAATCCACCCCTAGAAAAGAGATAAATGCCTGTGAGAACAACTGGTAGAGAATTTGTTCTTACTAGGATAATCCATGGGAGCTGAACCTGAGATGATAGGCGAACATGAGTGAAATACGAGTTGTCAACGGCGAGTGACTTACAATGAGCGTAACGATAAAGGCCGCCAAATATAACTTGCAGTGACTAGCAAACTGACTGATAGGTGCATGGGTGACTTTATCGATCCACACGATTGCGGAAGAGATTGTGAAGAACCATGCGAGCTGGAGGCCGACGGAGAAGACTAAAACGAGCTAGATGTAGTTTCGTTTTCAGCTCTGGCATTACGACAGAAGGGGTGCCATAGTAGCTCATACCTTGTAAACCTTGTAAGCTCTTGGAGATGCCCCGACGCGTGCGAACGTCTGGTCAGCGTAGACCTGTACGTAAGACCAATTCCATATGAACGAAAGGGGGACGACAATAGAAGACTGTGCATACCGCGAACAACCGATACGAGAGGTACCCAATTAAGAGCAATGTTATCGCGTGAATGACACCACCAGGGATCTGGAAGACAACGTGTAAAAAGACAATCGTAGAGAAAGGAGGGATAACAGGCATACCGACTGTTCAAAGCGTTCCGTCCACCAATCTCCCATTAGGTCAACGCTGTTGCACGCCTTTGGGATAATGTCGTTTCGATACAAGCCCATGAGGTTTTTGACTGCAACTACACGATAGGCGGACCAGGCAGTGCCTAGGACATGCCCAAGGAAAGCTATCCCCAAATGGGGGATGGATTCGTTCAGAATCTGCGCAACGCGGGTTGGATTTAATCATCACACTTGGGCACGGTCTAAGCACTTACGGCGAGGAGTGAAACGACGAACAGCCAGATTTGGTACAAAAACGTGACAACATCCTCCCGTTGGGCGTCGTGCATCCTGAAAGATTGACGAGGTCAGGACAGAAAGAAGAAAAAAAGCAGGGACACTCGAAGGACACTTACACGTCGTTCAGCCACTTCAGAGAAACAATGCAGGCATCAGCCAGATCGACTTGACCGTTGTTGGCAGAATCGGCGGCGGCGGCGCCTTCGGTCGAGCTCGTAGCTCCTGAGCCTGACGACGTGGTTGTAGAGGAGGGGTTAATGGACGTTGGAGTAGGTAGAAACACCGTGGTAGATGTGGCGCTTGCGTCACCCTCATCGTCGCCTTCATCGTCACCCTCATCACCCTCGTCATCACTCTCATCATCCGAACTATCGCTTTCTCCTCTGGGTCTTCAGGAAAGGTGAGGTCGGGAAGAGACCCGAGGCCAGGAAGCCGTGTAGGCACTGCAACAGTTGGAAGAGGCACTGAGGTCGTAACGAAGATCGACGTTGTACTTGGTCCAACAGACGTAACGGTGATCGTTGTTGCTTGAGGTGCGTTAGGAGGGGGGGTTCCTGCAATCGTACCGGCATCGTCATCTTCCTCGTCCGAAGAAGAGAATCCCTCCTCGTCGGAGGATGACTCGGAAGATTCTTCATCTTCATCTTCCAGGCCTTCTTGTCGTCGGGAAAGCTGCATCGTCTCCAAAATTTGATAAAAATTATGAAGCAGATGACATCAAATCGTACCTTAGTTGACCTCTTTGCAAGTGCCGTGTTGAAATTTATCATCTCCACACAAACAATGCCTGACTTAGTGGGAAGACTGGGACATAGCCGGAGAACCTTGTCTTGCAGCACTGCAAGCCCGTCGAGATCGGCGTCGGCGTCGCGGGTGATAGAAGTCAACGCAGAGACAGCCTCCGAGTTGTACATGAAGGTGACACCCTCGATAGCCATAAGGACGACGCAGGCAACTAGGGCAACGAAGAAATAAATAGCGGTGAAGCGTGTCAAAGTAATTCTTTCATACTGCGTCGGTGTCAGCTGGCGCGGTCTATCTTCTATGTGTTTTATGACGCACGAGTATCCGCACTCTTGTCAATGAAAGAGTGTGCTTGAAAAATTGACGCCTCCCTTGTGCCAACATTATAAAGAAACGACGCAGAAAAAGGATAGAAAAGGGGCGCAGCCTCCAAAGGGATCTGTTGGAGTAGCAGCTGGAGGTGCTTGTGGGTGCAGGTCTTCAAGCTTTCCTAGCAGATCGGTGTAGCCAAAGGAGTGGACGGGACCAGCCTGATTCGCGACCCAGTGAGAGGAAGTAGTCCGGGAAAAGTGGGACAAGCCCGAGTCAAAGAGTTATAACGTTGGCGCAGGGGAGGGTTATAAGAAGTGGGGACTGTCTTCAAGGGGTCGAGAGACGTTAATAACAAGATTTTGGTTACGATCACGCCAAGAGAACGCGAACACCAATGATACTGCGAGCACACGGCCCGTCCCCCTATCAACAAAAGTGACATTCGTACAATTCGGATCGTGTCAAATTTCAATGGAGGCTCCAATAATGAATGCGAGGTCGTGTGCCGCAGCCTGAAGGTGTATGGAACAGCTAAAGGCTAGGATGAGGCGTCCGATTTTTTTAGAAAGCCTTTGAGCCAAGACGGTGCTTTTGGAGGCTGAAACCTGCTGAAATTCCATGCTGTGTTCTGGACAGTAGCCGCGCGATGCATCGAGGAACGCTGCACATTCGACTCTGGAGCGAGGACACAATTGAATGGAGGGTGATGGCATAACAACGGAAGCGGTAGGACTTTTCCCGAATCGGAAGACAGGATCACGTGAAGATCGCTTATGGACGTTGCGGTTACCACCTACGATTCGAGAGTCGAGACTTCCAGAGACTTCCTCTTCACCTCAAATGCCTGAACTCAATTGCACGCTGTCCTCGGGCGCCTGTCTTGTGCGGTAATTTTTTTTTGCTTGTCGGGGGCCGGGATCAGCACCGTCGAGAATTTGCATCCCTCATCCCTTAGCGGCGCCATGGCGCCAGTCCCCCTGTCCATCGCATACCCACGGAATTACCAGATCTGGCCATGCTGGCGATTTCTTTTTAACTTACCTTAACTCAGGTATTCAGGTAAATAATTTATCTACAGTTCCAGCCACCTACGTCCTGCACATCGAGCGGACGAGTTTCGAGAGATGAGTGGAGACGATAACAGCACCTCAATCTTATCTTGATCTTGCCTTTCGAATTTTATCTGCTCGGGAGTTGACGGAGCACCTTTATTCTCACACGTCTGATGCAAGTTTTCTGGCAGACGGGCGTCATGATCTTAAACCACAGACCCTGTCCTTCGGACAGAGCCGGGGATCTACTTACGGCGACCTGGCATCGGCCTCGTGGATTTAGAACTCCCTTCACTCCGAGAACTCCACTGATGCCTCACCAACATGCCCTCCACAGTCGTCATTGTGCGCGGAACGTGCACGTTTCACCTCAACATACCTTTACCTACTCCCTAGGGTCGCTCTCCGCCTATAGCTTGCCTCTCTATCTTCACCATCGATAACGGAAGCAAAGCCGGCGCCGGAAAAGTGCATCTTCAATAATGCTCCCAGTCCACCTACTCTTGTTCTGTTTGGAAACGACTGTCCTCTTCTCTGTGACGTCGGTCTACGCCAGGAAGCAACAATGCAGGCTACAACCTCCTCGCAACCAAGCCGTCCTTCAACCACCGGTCAACCCGGGGGTGGGAGGAGGCTCCTCCGGAGACGACATCACAACCCCGTTCCCTTCTTCAACCAGCTCTGTTGACGCTACTGCTACTGGCCCAATTGGAACAAGTGCAACCGGGACTTCTTCAGCCACTCCCACACCGTTTAGATACGGAATTGACAAAATCCGTGGGGTCAACTTGTAAGAGCATTTTCCTTCAGGCACTATTCATAATGTCCTTACATCCGTTGCAGAGGTGGCTGGCTCGTCTTAGAAGTATAATCAGCATCTTCAAACCATCATCAGCCCTTACTTACGCAGCCGAATGCAGCCGTGGATTACACCCAGTGTCTTTGAGAGCACTGCGAGAGATACCATTGTCGACGAGTACACCCTTGGCCAACTTCTCAACCAACAAACGGCCGAAACGATTCTCATGCATCATTGGGACACAGTACGTCCATTTGATACCCATCTTTTCCGCGAATCTTCCTAACGCATGGTTCATCACGCAGTGGATAACAGAGGACGACTTCGTCCAGATCAAAGCTGCAGGGCTAAATCATGTCCGGTGCGTTGGTCCGCACATCCCACATCACCCACCTCACCTATCCATCCCTCAGGTTACCAATTGGATACTGGTCCATCCCTATAACGTCTGCCGACACCTCCACATCGACCTCGCCGGACCCATACGTACCTGGAGCCTGGACTTACGTCCTCCGTGCGCTATCCTGGGCGAAGAAACACAACATCAATATAATCCTTGACCTGCACGGAGCGCCCGGCTCGCAGAATGGATATGACAACTCAGGCCAAAGGACAGCTAACCCTGTGTGGGCAGTGAATCCGGCGAATGTGACACGCACGATAGACACCTTGAGGTTCCTGGCGAAGGAGGTTGGAGATCAGGTGGCCGTGATCGAGCTATTGAACGAAGCTGCGGGGTTTCGGGGCGACAATTGGGCGGCTGTGACCAGGGAGTTCTGGCAGGACGCGTACGATGCTGTGAGGGAAGCCGCTGGAGATCAGGTGTATATCATGATTGGAGATGCTTTTTTGGGTGTCAACGTGGGCACCAGTGCTTCTCTCGCCTCTCGATGCTCATTCCCTTCTTTAGAGCTGGACAAACTTTTTGACGCCTCCGAGAGGGCACGGAGTCTTAATGGATTTCGTATGTATTCCTCTCTGCATACTGTCGCAGCAACGACTAACAGACAACATTTCAGCACGAGTATCAAATCTTTAGTGACCCGGAACTCGACAGGTCGATGGAGGAACATATCAACGTAAGCATCCTCACACCTTACTTTAACTCATCCCCAGCTTAACTCCCCCCCAGTTCGCCTGTAGCTACGCCCAAATTCTGCCAGCGTACTCGCAGAATAACCTCTGGACCATCATTGGCGAATGGTCGAACGCCATTACTGATTGTGCAAGATGGCTCAACGGGCGTGGTGTCGGAGCGCGGTGGGATGGGACGTATGCGTCTACAGGACCAGGAAGTCAGGTGCATGGAGATTGCAGTCATTACACTGGATCGTATCAGAATTGGACACAGTCTTATAGGGACTACTTAAGGAGGTGCGTCATTCTTTTCTTTAACACTCTAGTCAGTCGCTGCGTGGGTGCTAACCGTGACCTTTAGGTACTGGGAAGTCCAAGTCCAAGTCGGCGAAATGGCTGAAGGTTGGGTCTTCTGGACGTGGAAGGTACCTCGCCTCTTCCGTTCATTTGCTACCCGCTGTATGGTACGAACTGACGTTTGTCTTTCTTTCATCTCCAGGCCGAGAATGCCGATGAATGGAGTTACCAGAAGGGCCTTGAGGGCGGCTGGATACCGAAGGATCCAAGCAATTGGAAGTACCCTAACATTTGTTCCTAAGCTATGGTTTGGGTTGCTTTCAGTGTGTCGCGCGGTACTGTTGGGCTGTACGGTCGATCGGTCGGAGAGGAAGTTCAAGATGTCTCTATGGCTCACCGACATGACCACTGTGCAGCATCACTCCTACGGTACGCGACCAATCGCATCAAGATGACGGTGCAGTAAATTATCTGTGTGGTGTAGTGTATCAATTTTATGTATTCCGACATCCCCAACGCTAGTGTGATGCTGTAAAATGAAACGCTGGGTGATCGGGTGCTCAGCTAAGTATGAGTATGCTGATAAGATATCAAGTTTGGGGCGGCTTGACTAGCAAGCTGCCGCCGCAACCTTCTTCTTGGTGATTGGGAAGTACTACGCTGGGGGCTTTGAATGGGTTTGCTTTCCTATGAGCGATCATGATAAGCTGATCATCTAACGGTGACTCGGAGGGCTACCAGCTTCCTCAAGGGAGAAGTAAGTCGCAGTTAAGCACGATAGAAGCACCGTAGCGCCCGACGGCGGTAATGGTGCTGGCAGACCTATAGTATAAATCTCGGTTGGAGAAATCGCTCATCTGAAATGATTTAGTATAGTATCAGTGCAGCCTCTACAGCGAACACTCTGGTTCGCGGCCATGCGGTGTTTCAGGAAAAATAATTGGCTTAGGCGTAGTTCTTCCTCAGGATAATTGTGAAATGCGATGGATCTCCGAGCAGGTCTGATGATCCGTTGCGCCACAGATACCCTTTCGATGAATTTTTTACCCCGCAAATACATGCGCATTTGAAACCCTCGGTTCTGTGGGGTACAGGTCATCTATTAAATCACTTCAAAATTCGGACTGCCTGGGATTTCTGGAGTCAGAAGCAGAAGCCTTCAGAGCTGGTGTCAAATTTGACCAAAAATGAAACTTGAAAGGTCGCCGTGAGGCCAGCACTGGGTAGGATACAAGACCATTCTTCGCCAGTCCATATTGTCATGCGCTTCACTTCCCTCGTCCTCTATTCCTCCCTTGGTTGTCCCAAATCTAAGCGCGCCAAAGACATTCCTGGGTATAAATATCCAGACCATGATCAGCAAGGATGTGATACACCTGAACCGTCTCGCTGCTATCGGCGCTGTACTTGCTCCCATAATACTTGAAAGGCTAGAATCGATTGGAACCCTCAGCCCTTCACATCGAAACCTTTATCCAGCAACAAGGGAGGCTTCATTGTGAACTCACCTGCCACTGCTTTGATTGGCAAGGGCCCGTGCTCGTCCTCTGTCTAGAGCACCACCCAGAGGTCTCCTAGCGATTAAAGACGGGGATGTCATTCACGAAGTAAGCGAGGATCGGTTACAGATGACACATATGGAGTACTCGAGCCATCATAATTGGCTAAAGTTGCTAAAAGGGGCTGCATGAGCATCCGTCGTGCAGTTCTAGCCAACCTCCGCTTGAGCGACATATGAAGTACGTGATGTCATGGAAGTGCGATATTATCGTATGTGTGTAGTAGGCATGCTTTCTCGGAAGCCAGGCCTTGTCGTCTCGATTTCGACATTTCACATCGATGGATGGATTGCACATCGAACATCCTTGATCGAAGGTCACTTGGATTGTTGGAAACACGACAAAGGAGAGCCCATGGCGCCCGCGACGTTTGCATGATGAGACCTACTTATTACTGCGGCTGGCATGTCGAAGGAGGCGGGGACTTGTCCAAGCTGATATGATAGATGGAGAGAACCCAGCCGCATCATGACAGCCCGTGTCTTGAAAAAAAACATCGAACGACGCATGTATCTGGCGTGTATCATGATCAGAAAGGCTAATTACGTTGCAAGTGGAAATGAAGGACGCCAACCGAGTCTCGAGGGAGGATCATCGTAAGTGATCCGAGATAACATGGGTCAGCAGTTGTGAATTGTCTGGGTTTCAATGCCTTCGAGTAGCAGCACGGAGTGTGGACAGGAGAGGGGTTTGTCATTTACAGAGCTATCACGAACAGTCTGGGGTAGATTTAGACTCTGGGCCGGAGAGGCTATATTTAAAGCCGGAAATGGGTCCCGCGCAGCCGAAAGAGGCAGTTTTCTGCAAAAGACGGCCGCATTTACGACGCGCGTACGGCCACGTGACTCCCTCCAAGCAAAAATTCGTTGGGGGAGCCTGGTTTGGGGTCAGGGACATATATAATTTCTGGTTGGCCCCAGACCATCTTTTCCTTCGCGTCTACGTGCTAGACATCCCCCTTCATAGATTCCGCTGTCCGAGTTGTCTCTCACAGCGTCCGCCCCGCAAAGATGTCCGTACCCAACGGACACGCCATCGCAGCTCCAGCTATTGCAATACGTCCCCTAATCATCGCTGTTGGCCAAATTAGAGTCCGTGCTTTTCTCCACCCGCCGCGTATCGTGCTGAACCTGTTTCCCTCTCCAGGTCTCAATCCCGGTGTTGACCCAACCCGACGAATGGATTGCTGCAGAAGTCCTCCGAGACGAGTTCACGCATACCCAATCACTATTAGACGCAGTCGACAGCACCACTCAGCTTGAAAACGAATCGGAAGCAGCTCTAGAGCTCTCCGCCCGCTTCCTCGCCCATGTCGCGGACAGCATCCCCAAAGACCCACAATCCACTACTGCACGCACCGCGTTGCTCCTCAACGTGCTCAAGCACTTTACGTCATCATACCTCGCCAGCAAGGATATCCATGTCCTCACATCCACATTCGACTCAGAGACGCGCCAAGTTGTCCTCTCGTCCTACTTCCGCGCCGTGGCTGCTCTCCAGGCTCAACACGTCGCCGAAATTCCAGCCCAACCTAAGTCTACGCTCCTCGAGGCAGCGGTCTCCGGTAAAGCCTCTATTTTCGCCCTTTTCGGCGGTCAGGGCACGAACGAAGTCTACTTCGACGAGCTTCAGAACTTATACGACATTTACACACCTTTTGCTGCGCCATTCCTGCAAACCATCACAGAAGAAATTTTGATCCCACTTGCGGAGGAAGAGGAGGATTCCACCTTCTACACCTTCGGCCTCGACGTCGTGTCGTGGCTCTCCGGCGCGGCCACTCGCCCTGCCGTACCATACCTTGCGTCCGTTCCCGTATCGTTTCCACTGATCGGCCTCACTCAACTCCTCCAATACCTAATCGTTTGCCGTGTCGCCAACCTCAGCCCAGGCGAACTCCGAAGCCGCCTCGCCGGGGCTACCGGGCACTCCCAAGGAGTCGTTTCTGCTATCGCCATCTCCGCATCAGGCACCTTCGATGAATTTACGGAGAACTCACGCAAAGCCCTCAAATGGCTTTTCTATTGCGGCCTTCGTGGCCAGCAAGCCTTCCCCGTCACCTCGTTAGAGCCTAGCATAGTTCAAGATTCCGTCGAAGGCGGAGAAGGTGTTCCTGGCCCTATGCTATCAGTCACGGGTCTCAGCCTCATAGAACTCGAGCCTCACATTGTCAAGACGAACAAGCACCTTTCAGCTGTCTCCCAGCTCTACGTTTCTCTCCACAATGGACCGAAAGCTTTCGTAGTCACAGGCCCTCCCAAAGCACTCTTTGGATTGGTTACCAGCTTGAGGAAAGTGAAGGCTACTAGTGGCCTTGATCAGAGCAAGATTCCCTTCTCTCAGCGCAAGCCTGTCTTTTCCGTCAGATTCTTGGTCGTAGGCGCTCCGTATCACAGCGAATACTTGGCTGAAGCTACAGCGCTAGTTGTTGAGGAAGACTTGGAAGGGGAAGACTTGTGGGAGGCGAAGGAACTTCAGGTTCCTGTTTACAACACAGAAGATGGTATGTAGTCAGTTGTCGTTGCGGTTTCACATAGGTGGCTGATGTATACTGCATAGGATCCGACATGCGCGAGCTCAAGACGTCCATCGCGCGTTCGCTCTGCGAACAAATCTTCACGTCGCCGATCCACTGGACGAAGGCCACAAATTTCCCCGAGACGGCCACACACGCCATAGATTTTGGTCCCGGAGGTTTGAGTGGCATTGGTCCATTGACTGCTAGGAATTTCGACGGCCGCGGCGTTCGTGTCGTCGTCATCGGCGAAAAGGGTAAAGGTGACGCGGAGCTATATAGCTCCATCAGTATCAAGTACGAGGAGTGGTGGAGTAAGAGGTGGTCTCCTAGCCTCATTCGGACCAGGTACGCACTTCGCATTTCTCTTTCGTCTGCACCTTCTGAGCCGTTCTCAGTGATGGAAAGCTCCATCTCGACACGCCATTCTCCCGTCTCCTGGGCAAGCCGCCCATCATGGTCGCTGGAATGACGCCCTCTACCGTCAAGGCAGGCTTCGTGAGCGCAGTACTTGACGCCGGATTCCACATCGAACTGGCCGGTGGTGGCCACTACAATGCAGCTGCTCTGCGTGCCAAAGTTGCCGAAATTCAGAAGAGTGTTCCTGCCGGTGTCGGCATCACCCTGAACGCCCTCTACATCAACCCCCGCCAATTTACCTTCCAGTTCCCCTTGTGGCAAGAAATGCGAAAGGAGGGCCTTCCCATCGAGGGTTTCTGCGTTGCTGCTGGTGTTCCGACCACGGAAAAGGCTGTTGAGATCATAGACGGCCTGAAAGCCGCAGGCATCAAGCACGTTTCCTTCAAGCCTGGCTCCGTCGATGGCATCCGTCAAGTCATCAACATCGCCGCCGCCAATCCCAGCTTCCCCATCATCATGCAGTGGACCGGTGGCCGCGCTGGTGGTCACCACTCTTTCGAAGACTTCCACCAACCCGTCCTTGCGACCTATCGTGCCATCCGTCAACACCCTAACATCATTCTTGTCGGTGGTTCTGGCTTTGGATCCGCTGACGACGTGTGGGAGTACCTGACGGGAGATTGGTCTGTCGAGCGCTTCGGTATCCAGCCCATGCCCTTCGACGGTTTCTTGTTCGCCAGTCGCGTCATGGTCGCGAAGGAAGCTCACACGAGCTCTTCCGTCAAAGACTTGATTGTCAGTGCCTCTGGTGTCGATGACGGTGCCTGGGAGGGCACATACGTCAAGCCTACTGGTGGCATCTTGACTGTTCGTTCGGAGTTGGGTGAACCGATCCATAAAGTCGCAACAAGGGGCGTCAAGTTGTGGAAGGAATTCGATGACACTGTCTTCAAGTTGCCGAAAGAGAAACGCACCGCTTGGCTTGCAGAACGCCGAGCGGAGATTATCGCCAAGTTGAACAAGGATTTTGCAAAGCCCTGGTTTGGCTGGAAGAAGGATGGTAGCGTTGCTTCTGATTTGGGTGACATGACCTATGAAGAAACCGTACTAAGGATGGTGCGCTTGATGTTCGTGGCGCATCAGCAACGTTGGGTGGACGTTTCGTTGAGGAATCTCACTGGCGACTGGCTGAGGCGCGTCGAGGAGCGTTTTGCTGGAGTCAATGGGGATGGAAAGAAGCCCTCGCTGCTTCAAAGCTTTACATCTTTGGACGATCCTTTGCCGTTTGTTGAGAAGTTCTTCGAGAAGTATCCCCTCGCGAGGGTACAGCTTCTCGCTGCTGAAGATGCTGCATATTTCCTCGCGATCGCACAGAGGCCAGGGCAGAAACCTGTTCCTTTCATCCCGGTCCTGGACTCCAGCTTTGAAGTATGGTTCAAGAAGGTACGTGATTGACATGTGATTTTTGCCCCATATGTTGTCTTTTCCTTTTTGCAACCGATTGCTCACGATCGTCCAATAGGATTCGCTCTGGGCGGCTGAAGATATTGATGCTGTATTTGATCAGGATCCCCAACGTGTGTGCATCCTGCAAGGTCCTGTCGCCGTCAAGTGGTCGGCAAAGAAAGACGAGCCCATTAAGGAACTATTGGGCAACATCAATGACGGCCTCATCCAGCGCCTCCTGGAGCGCAAGTACAATGGCGATGCCTCGGCTGTCCCAACCATCGACTATCTCGCTGTCGAGCCGCCTTCCGTCAACGAAAATGTAGTTGGCATTGCCCGCAGCCAGAACGGAAATCTCGTCAGCTTCGAGTTCGGGCCTCAGCTTCCTGATACTTCTGCTTGGCTTGAAACCCTGGGGGGTTCGGGGCTCAGCTGGCTTCGTGCGTTGGTCTCTTCAACTACTATCGTTCAAGGTACTTCCTACATCGACAATCCTCTTCGTCGTATCTTTGCCCCTCGCGTTGGCCAGAAGGTTGTTGTCAAGTATTCCGACTCTCAGCCTTCATCTGTCACCGTCTACGGCGCCGCACGCTCATATGGCGAGCACATCTCCAGCTTTAAGGCTCTCGAGGTTGTCTATGTCCCTGAGACCAAGTTGATCAACCTAACTCTCTTCGAGGAGCGCCGCGGTAGCTCCATCCCTCTTGCTCTTCAATTCCAGTACAATCCTTCGCAAGGCTTCGCTCCCATCCACGAAATCGCCACCGACCGCAACATGCGTATCAAGCAGTTCTACTGGAAGTTGTGGTATGGCGACAAGGAAATTCTCCCCGAGATCGACATTCGCGACAAGTTTGTCGGCCCAGAGGTCACGATAAGTGCTGAGGATGTCGAACAGTTTTGTGCTGTTGTTGGCAATCAAGGAGAGTCCTTCAAGACAGCGAGGAACGAGAATGTTCAAGCTCCAATGGATTTCGCTATCGTCACGGGCTGGCAGGTGCGTTCATGAATTACGTCCACCAGTCATGCGTTGTCTTACATTTTGTTTGCAGGCGATCATGAAGTCCATCTTCCCAGGCGCAATCGACGGTGATTTGCTGAAGCTGGTCCACCTTTCGAATGGTTTCCGCATCGTCGACGGCGCGAAGCCTCTTCAAGTTGATGATGTTTGCAAGTCTGAAGCTCGCATCGTCTCCGTGACCAACAGCAACGAGGGCAAGATTGTCAAGGTCAAGGGCTACGTCTATCGTCAAGGCCAACCCGTCATTCAAGTCGTTTCGTCCTTCTTATACCGAGGCCGCTTCGCTGACTATGAGAATACATTTGACACGACCGACGAGGCCGATTACCTAGTCCCCCTCGAAACCGATGCTGCTGTTGGGGTGCTGCAATCCAAGGAGTGGTTCGAATGGGAGAACGAGTCTTCCCCTCTTCTGGCTGGCACTTCCCTTCTTTTCCGTATTCAGTCCCAAGTATCGTTCAAGGACAGGACTGCGTATCGCAACGTCTCTGTGTCTGGTGACATCTTTGTCCGCAACCAGCTCAAGGTGCTAGTTAAGGTCGGATCTGTTGACTTCCAACAGGACGATTCGCAGGGGAACCCAGTTCTTGCCTATCTCCAACGTCACGGTACTCCCCAAGGCTTGACCACCCCACTTGCAAACGAGGGATACTCTCTTACCACTTCCGACATCAACACTGTCTTCACGACCCCACTTACAAACGAGCCGTACTCCAAGATCTCCGGGGACTTCAACCCGATCCATGTCAACCCTTACTTCTCCGACTTTGCGTCATTGCCTGCCACTATCACCCATGGAATGTGGTCCAGTGCAGCTACTCGCCGCTACGTCGAAACTGTTGTTGCCAAAGGCCATCCAGAGCGCGTTATCGCGTATGTATAATGCTACACTCTACTTTTTCCTATGATTGAACTGTTTCTGCAGGTACGATGTCAGCTTCGTCGGGATGGTCATTCCTGGTGATACTCTCGAGGTCAAGCTTCGACACATTGGCATGTGTGACGGCAATCTAGTCATCAAGATCGACACAACTAATAGCCAAGGCGAGAAGGTCTTGCAAGGCTCGGCCGAAGTATCTCAACCAACCACCGTTTATGTTTTCACTGGCCAAGGTTCGCAGGAGCCCGGCATGGGTATGGACTTGTACAACAACTCTCCGGCCGCTCGCGCCGTTTGGGATGGAGCCGATGCCCACCTCCTTGCTGTGTACGGGTTCTCTATCGTCGAGATTGTCAAGGACAACCCGAAGGAGAAGACCATCTACTTCGGCGGTATCAAGGGTCAGGCCATTCGTCAGAGGTACATGGACATGACCTACGACGCAACGGACAAAGATGGCCATGTGAAGACCCTTCCTCTCTTCGCCGACATTGATGTTCGCACCCCCAAGTACACCTTCAGCCACCCGAATGGTCTTCTGTTCGCGACTCAGTTCGCCCAAATCGCCCTAGTTGTCACCGAGAAGGCTGCATTCGAAGACATGCGTGTCAAGGGCTTCGTGCAAAAAGATTGCGCTTTCGCCGGCCATTCTCTAGGAGAATATTCCGCTCTTGCTTCTATCGCTGACGTCCTCCACATTTCCAATCTTGTCGACGTTGTCTTCTACCGTGGTATCACCATGCAGCGTGCAGTAGAACGTGATTCGGAGAACCGCTCCAACTATGCTATGTGCGCCGTCAACCCTAGCCGTATTTCGCCAACTTTCAGCGACGCCGCTCTCCGTGAAGTCGTGGATACGATCGCGACTGTCACTGCGGCACTTCTCGAGATCGTCAACTACAACGTTGAGGTATGTTGCATTCATATGATCCTTGGTGACAGTTCAAACATGGTTCCTAGGGCCAACAATACGTGTGCGCGGGAGAGCTCGTTGCCCTTCAAACTATGACCAATGTCCTAAACTTCCTGAAGATCCAGAAAATCGATATTGCGAAGGTCTTTCCCTTGCCTCTTCTCAATATTTTTGGGATTATAATTGTTGCTTTTCTAGCTAACTGAGACGTACACCGTTGAGAAGGTCAAGGAGATGCTTACGGACATCGTCAAAGAATGCTTCTCCAAGGCTCAAGCTCAGCAGAAGGCCGAGGGTTACATTAAGTTGGAGCGTGGTTTCGCAACGATTCCTCTTCCGGGCATCGACGTGCCTTTCCACTCGCGCTACCTGTGGGCGGGTGTCCTACCTTTCCGTGCCTGTGAGTCTCATGTCATACCTTTCTAAGTTCGGCAGACTGACGTCTTGTCTAGACTTGTCGAAGAAGATTAACGCGACGAGCCTCAACCCCGACATGCTCATAGGCAAATACATCCCCAATTTAATTGCGAAGCCGTTTGATGTCTCTCGCGAATATGCTCAGATCATTTATGATCAGACATCTTCGCCCAAGCTGGATAAGGTGCTCAGGAAGTGGGAGGAAGACCAATGGGCCAAGCCTGAAAAGCGCCAACAGCTCGCATACATCATCCTTGTGGAGCTTCTTGCGTACCAATTCGCGTCTCCCGTACGATGGATTCAGACTCAAGATCTGCTCTTCACTTCTTTCAATTTCGAGCGATTTATCGAGCTCGGACCTTCGCCCACGTTGACAGGAATGGCCACGCGTACACTGAAGGCGAAATACGAGCACATTGACGGCGCCCGCAGCATGACCCGTACTATTCTGTGCCACTCCAAGAACGTCAAGGAGATCTACTACCACTACGAAGATGAAGCCGAAACCCCAGCTGTTGAAGAGTCGGCATCTGAAACTCCGACACCTGCCGCAGCCATTTCAACCCCATCCGCACCAGCTGCCCCCGCTGCCGTCCCATCCGGGCCTGCCGCCAGTATTGAGGATGTGCCCATCAAAGCTGTCGATATTCTCCTCGTTGTCGTTGCTCAGAAGCTCAAGAAGCGTGTTGACGAAATTTCGCTTTCGAAGACCATCAAAGACCTCGTTGGGGGCAAGTCCACACTCCAGAACGAAATTTTGGGTGACCTTCAGCAGGAGTTTGCGTCTGCACCTGAGAAAGGCGAGGAACTACCCCTTGAGGAGCTTGGCTCTGCTCTCGGTAATGGGTTCAGTGGTGCCTTGGGTAAATACAGCACAGGCCTGATCTCTCGACTCGTCGGCGGCAAGATGCCTGGAGGTTTCAATGCTTCCGCTATCAAGTCCTATCTTGCCAAAAGCTGGGGCCTTGGTCCTTCGCGTTCGGACGGAGTCTTGCTTCTCGCTACCACCTTGGAGCCTCCCAAGCGCCTAGCTTCTGAGGCGGAGGCCAAGTCTTGGCTCGATGGAGTCGTGTCTGTTTACGCGCAGCGTGCAGGCATTTCTCTTTTGGCCGCTGGTGTTGCTGGAGGTGGCAACGGAAGCGGAGGCGGTGCAGTCATCAATAGCGAAGAGTTCCTCAAGTTCCAGGCAGACCAGAACAAATTCGCCGCTCAGCATGTCGAACTCTATATGCGTTATCTCGGACGTGATTCACGATCAGGAGAACTCGCATTCGATCAGGAGAAAGCAAACAACCTTGCCCTTCAAGCCAAGCTAGACAGCATTACTCGCGAACACGGTGACGCCTATATTGACGGTATTCAGCCCCGTTTCGACCCACTGAAGGCTCGCCGTTTCGACTCCTCTTGGAACTGGGCGCGTCAAGATGCTCTTCTCATGTATTATGATATTCTCTTCGGCCGTCTTGAAACCGTTGATCGGGAAATCACCGCTCGTTGCATCGCGATTCTCAACCGTGCTGATCCCGCTCTCCTTCAGTACATGCAGTACAACATCGATCGCTGCGATCCTTCCAAAGGCAAAACTTACAAGCTTGCGAAGGATTTCGGTCAAGAGCTCATCAACAACACGAAGGAAGTTGTTGGCAAACCGCCTACATATAAGGACGGTGAGTTTAGCTGTTTTTCTCTTCCGATGTTTCTTCCTGACTATCTGGCAGTTACATTCCCCACTGCTCCTCATACCGAGGTGACTGAGAAGGGCGATATCAAATACTCTGAAGTTGTTCGTGAAAACGTTCGCAAGCTCGAGGCCTATGTGGAAGAGATGGCTAGAAGCGATACTGTTCCTGGCGCTGTCAACATCCAGAAGGTCCAAGACGATGTTCTCAAACTCTGGACAGTCGTGAAATCTCTTCCCGAAATAAGTTCTGATCAAAAGAACCGCATCAAGGCTTTGTATGAAGGTGTCGCCAAATCACTCCATCAATCGCCTCAGTCTCCCGTTTCCCGCAGCCGTCGCTCTTCCTCGCAATTCCTTCGCCCTCAGGTTACTGGCATTACTCCTGTGACCGCCGTATCATCCGACAAAGTTCCCCTTCTTCACCTTAAGCGCAAAGTCGGTGGTAACTGGGAGTATAGCAGCAATCTCACCGCGGTCTATCTCGACATTTTGCATGAAATTGCCACGTCGGGCACAACGTTCAAGGACAAGAATGCTCTTCTTACGGGAGTGGGCAAAGGCTCTATCGGCGTCGAAGTCGTCAAAGGCCTTCTCGCTGGTGGGGCCCAAGTCGTTATCACAACATCTAGCTACAATCGCAAGACTGTGGAGTACTACCAGTCTATTTTCCATTCTATTGGCAGTCGAGGCTCCTCTCTTACTGTTGTCCCTTTCAACCAAGGTTCCAAGCAAGACGTTGAAGCTCTCGTCGACTACATCTACACCACTCTTGGCATGGATTTGGACTACGTTTTGCCATTTGCTGGTATTCCTGAGAATGGCCGCGAAATCGACGGTCTTGACGATAGATCTGAACTTGCTCATCGCATGATGCTTGTCAACTTGCTTCGACTTCTCGGTGCCGTCAAGAACAAGAAGGCCAGTCGTCATTTCGTAACGCGCCCGACCCAAGTTATTCTTCCATTGTCTCCCAACCACGGTTTGTTTGGAAATGATGGTCTTTATTCAGAGTCAAAGATTTCCCTGGAGACCCTCTTCCAACGTTGGGCATCCGAAAGCTGGGGAGAGTACCTTTGCCTTGCTGGCGCTGTCATTGGGTAAGCTCGTCGTTGTAAGTCTGATTTTCTCTGTCTCATCTCACTTTTAAGATGGACCCGCGGAACCGGATTGATGGCCCCTACCAACATCGTCGCCCATGAGCTGGAGAGTTACGGTGTACGAACATTCTCGGCTAAGGAAATGGCCTTCAACATCCTCGGCCTTATGCACCCGCTCCTCTTTAGTATCACTCAAGTCGAACCTATCTGGGCTGATTTAAATGGCGGGATGGATCGCCTCCCCGATTTGGCTGATATCACGACGCGCATCCGCACAAAACTGCACAAGAAGGCAGACCTCCGTCGTGCCATTGCCCGCGATAATTCAGCCGATTTCACCGTTATCAATGGCGTTGAGGCTGAACGCCTCCTTCAAACCGTCGACGTTCTTCCCCGTGCTAACTTCCGCTTCGAATTCCCAGTTCTCGAGTCAGCCAATTCGCTGAATGAACTCTCGCATCTCCGTGGCTTAATTGACCTCGACAAAGTTGTTGTCATCACTGGCTTCGCTGAAGTCGGTCCTTGGGGTAGTTCACGAACACGCTGGGAGATGGAGGCCCGTGGCGAGTTTACCATCGAAGGTGCCATCGAGATGGCGTGGCTTATGGGTTTCATCAAACATTTCGATGGTCGTCTCAAAGACGGCTCGCTTTACGTGGGCTGGGTGGACAGCAAGAGCAACGACCCCGTGGACGACAAGGATATCAAGGGCCGTTATGAGAAAGACATTCTCACGCACGCTGGTGTTCGCCTAATTGGTGAGTTTCGCGTGTTTAAAATTTACTCATTCCATTCCTCACACAACTCTCCTTTGCAGAGCCTGAACTCTTCCGCGGTTACGACCCAAACAAGAAGGTGTTCAACCAGGAAATCGAACTCATCCACGATCTCGAACCCATCGAAGTGTCGGAGAGTGAGGCGCAGAAGTTCAAGTTGCAGCATGGCGACAAGTGCGATATCTGGGCTGGCGAAGGCGGGCAATGGTTCGCCAAGTTCAAGAAAGGCGCCTGTGTCTACGTACCCAAAGCCTTCAAGTTCAGTCGCACAGTTGCTGGCCAGGTTCCGACAGGCTGGAACGCTGGCCGTTACGGCATTCCAGACGACATCATCGCTCAGACCGATCGTGCGACCTTGTGGGCATTAGTTTGCACCGCCGAAGCCCTGAATGCCTCTGGCATCACAGACCCGTACGAGCTGTACGAACATATGCATCCTTCAGAAGTCGGCACCTGTATTGGAAGTGGTATGGGAGGTGTTACGAGCATGGCGAAAATGTTCAAGGATCGCCGGGACGAGAAAGAAGTTCAGAATGATATTCTTCAAGAAACGTAAGTGTTCGGCTTTCCTTTGACTGGTTCATTGGCTTATCTTTAACTGTTCAGATTCATCAACACGACTGCCGGTTGGGTTAATCTCCTTCTGCTATCGTCGAGTGGCCCTGTCAAGATTCCCGTCGGTGCATGGTGTGTTGCTTTGGAACTGGCAAACCTCATTCTTTTTCTCATGTTATTTCAGCGCGACAGCTCTCCAATCGCTTGAGATTGCCTCGGACAGCATCCTCTCTGGCAAAGCGAAAGTCATGATTGCTGGTGGCTTCGATGATATTAGCGAAGAAGGTTCGTACGAGTTTGCCAACATGAAGGCAACAAGCAATGCCGAGACCGAATTCGCAATGGGTCGCGAGCCAACGGAAATGTCTCGCCCTGCGACAACCTCCCGCGCAGGAGTAAGCCATTTATATATTTTTAGGGTGTCGATACTTATTCAACCATCATTAGTTCATGGAATCGCAGGGAACCGGTGTTCATGTTGTCATGAGTGCCAGAACTGCTCTTGAGTTGGGTGCCCCAATTCGTGGTATCCTTGCCTTTACCTCCACTTCCACGTATGCTGTCTATCTTCCTATTCTGACACCATGCTGAGCACCTCCTTTTAGTGACAAGGCTGGCCGCTCCGTCCCCGCCCCCGGTCGTGGCGCCCTGACCATCGCACGAGAAGTGCAATCCAAGCATCCTATGCCCATTCTTGACGTGGCTTATCGCTCTCGCCAACTTGCATTCCGCCGCACACAAATCTCGCAGTGGCTCACTCACGAGCAGGCGCAACTTCAAGAAGAAATCGAATATCGCAAGAGTCAGAATGAGGCTGCAGAAGATGAGTACATTTCAGACCGTATTGCCAACCTCGAGAAGGAGGCTGGTCGGCAGGAGAAAGATGCGCTTGCCATGTATGGGATGTTGGAGGGCCATGATCCTCGTATTGCTCCTCTTCGACGCGCTCTTGCTGTATGGGGTCTCACTGCAGACGATATTGGTGTACTATCGATTCACGGTACCAGCACCGCCGCCAACGTAGGTTCAGTTTTCTCTTTCTCTCCCTCTATTTTCTCAGCTGCTCGCGTAGGAGGAGAACGAGACACGTATTTGGAACGACATTTTCACCACGATCTCAAGAACGCCAGGCAACGCCGTGCCTATTGTCGCTCAGAAGAGTCTCCTCGGCCATGCCAAAGGCGGCGCTGCTGCGTGGCAAATGGCTGGTCTGCTGCAGACCGTTATCACTGGCATCGTTCCCGGAAATCGCAACAGCGAGTGAGTGGCAAACGCTCTCTATCGCCATCCACACATATCTAACCCTCTTCTGTAGCAACATCGATTCACACTTCCAAGACCGGCAGTTCTTGCTGTTCCCATCGAAGACTATTCATACGGACGGAGTGCGAGCAGGAGTCATGGTACGCGCTTCTCCTGATCGCATGTGTTTCTTTACTTATGCCTTCATGAAGTCATCATTCGGCTTTGGCCAAGTTGGCGGAACTGCCATGGTCATTCATCCTCGTTATCTCTTCGGCTGTTTGGAGCCCACATACTATGAAAACTACAAGCAACGTAATCGCGTCCGGGGTCTGCAGTCTTACAAGGCGATGAGCGAAATGATGATCAAGAACTCTTTGGTCAAGATCAAGGACCATCCTCCTTACATCGGGGAGATGGAAGGAAAGGTTCTCCTCAACTCCATGGCTCGTGCCTCCTTCGATCCCAAGACAGGAGAATATTCCTTCAAGGGGAAGCTTGCAACAGGGGTTTCGGTTGACACCTCCAACGTCAAGACAGTCTCCGATATCTTCGCGACCACCCCTTCTACTGGTGGATCCGCCATCGGCGTGGGTGTTGATCAGGGTCAGTCGCAAATGCGATTCGTTTCATCGTCATGCTAAAGCATTATTTCTAGAACTAATTTCTTCTGTTCCTTCGCACAATCCTACTTTCCTTGCCCGCAATTTCACCGATGCTGAGATCGTGTACTGTCGAGCGCAACCGTCCCCTCCTTCCTCTTTCGCTGCCCGATGGGTTGGCAAGGAGGCGGTTTTCAAATCGCTTGGTGTCAAATCGAAAGGTGCCGCGGCTGCAATGAAGGACATCGAGATTCTTAATGATGAATTGGGAATCCCGACGGTTCGACTTCATGGGGAAGCGAAGCTGAAGGCTGAAGAAAGGGGTATTGGGAAGGTCTTGATTTCTCTAAGCCACTCTGAGGTATGCATTTTCGATCGACCTCCTCTGCTTCGGGATTAACTGACAAGTGTCCTAGACTGTTGCCGTCGCCTTTGCGCAAGCATCATCATGAGTTTGTTACTTCATTTGTGGACCTTCTGTTTTGCTGTTTTGCTATCACTTGTCGTACCGTATTGGATGCCATCTGTATACCTCACTTTAGATTGTTAATATCGTCTACCTGCATAATAGATCTTTCATTTCTTTCAATTTTTTGGTGCATATCAAACTTTCATTGGGCTCGCCAGACGACCTGGCTATTGTATGCCAAATGTTGGGTGTTCATGTAATGGGTATGACAAGATTATCCCCCACACTACTTCAACGCTTGCTTCATTTTCTACAGACAGAAATCAGCTCATGCAGAATTCAGGCAGGTGGTCCAGTCTCTTACCTCTTCCATCTCATCCAAATCATTTGTCTCTATCCGCATAATTTTTCTTCCTAACGCCTTCTCTATTTGTTCCATCTGCAACCACGTTTTCTTGTCGTGCACGAAGTTTATAGAGATACCCTTGCGACCAAAGCGACCGGTTCGGCCTGTAGAACATGCACTGTAAAATTGAGACAGATAGGCCAAGAGGGCGTAGCTCACCGATGCGATGGATGTACGTCTCAATATCGGGTCTCTCATCGGCACCTTTGATTCGCTCGTTCATCAGCGGCAGGTCGTAATTGACGACCATGTTCACTTGAAGAATGTCGATTCCTCGGGCGATGACGTTGGTCGTGATTAACACCTACATCCAACCTACCTCAGGCCACTGAACCAGAAGAGCCGAACAAATCGACAAACCTTGTCGCGACCCTCACGAAAGCGGTCAATAATGGCGTCGCGTTCACTAGCATCTTTCGCTCCATGTAGCGAGGCCACTTTGTGCCCTTCCGCCGTCATCCGTTGCGAGATTCTGTCAGCTGTATGCCGATGCTATAAGCATAGGTAGTTTAGTACGTTCGGCACAACACAGAGCGTCGATCACGTACCTGACAGAAGATAATACTCTGACCGATCGTCAAGAGCTGATAGAGCGACACCAAGATGTCGTATTTGTGCTCCTCATTCCTGCAGTCCATGTAGAACTGCCTGATGTTGTCAACACTTAACTCTTCCTTCTGCAGCTCGATCTTGTTTGCGTTTGGCGCAAACTTGGAGGCGAAGGAACGGACGTTGTCGGGGAAGGTGGCGGAAAAGAGGATGATCTGGATAGGTTTCCGTGGAAGCATACTGGAAAGTCTCCGTTATGCGGGGTATCTTGGAGATATGATAGAACACGCACTTCTTCACGCGAAGGGTCTGGTCTCCCAACCCATCCTGATCCAACATGTTATCGGCCTCATCCAGTACGAAAACTTTGACATTGGAAGTATCAATGACCTCATGGTATACATTAATCTCGAGGTCTTATTGTGGAATCTTTTTTACGAAGCGCACCTTGCGCCTCATCAGGTCCATCATCGTACCCGGCGTGCCAACAATGATCTGTGCTGTAATATTAGTCGCATCCTTTGGTAGGTTGTCCTTGATAGCGTATTCGGTTTGGACATTCGTGTATTTTCCCATGGACGTGATAACAGACATGATTTGTCTTGCGAGTTCTCGGGATGGAGCAAGACATAGAGCCTACGCAGGCAAGGGATTAGAACATGCCGATTTCTAGTCTGAGAGAACGTGTTCTGACGCACTTGAGGCTTATGTAGATTATAGTCGACGCGGCTGAGCATCGTGAGGACGAAGGCTGCTGTCTTTCCTGTGCCTGATTGCGATTGACCAATCATATTTGTTGGTCTGCACATTTCATTCTTAGAACTGGGCTGGAAGGGACCGAGAAGAGTGCTACTTACGGGTCTGAAAGAAGCAACGGCAGCGCCTTCTCTTGGATCTTGGAGGGCTTATCAAAACCCATGGAAAATAATCCCTTCAAAAGGTCGGGGTGACTGGTAAGGGTGATATAAGGATAGCTCGGAGGTGCCTAGAATGACTGAATGCGTACAGGCCGAGTTCTTGGAAAGACTTCGCGCTATACAGTGGAGAGTTTGGGTTGCCTTGCTGATCAGCGAGCGTCACCTAAGAGGTCGTGATTTAGTTGTGGATAAACGCAGACGTGTGAAGGTCAGAAGTGGCGTACCGTTACTTCGAATGTCGACGAGAATAAATCAGAGTTGCTAGCTATAAGAGCTGAAGTTCAGGCTCAAAGGCTGATCAAGAGATCGTCTTGAACGCACCGCTCGCTGTTGGAAGGGCATCTTGCTGTGGGGCAGCCTTCCCGGCTACGGCTGTTGTTCTTTCAGCGACTCTCAACGCGTTACGTAGGAAATGAGCATACTGGGAGTGATGAAGCCTTCTTCGTCTTTGGACAAAGCAACCGACATGGGAGGATAGTAATAAGGTGTGTGAGGCGCGCGTGTTGAACTGTTGAACTTGAAATGGACATTTTGTGATCACTATCGTCGGGCAACAGATCTAATCTAATCAAGTATGGTCAAGCTCCGTTACTTACGACTCGTCTGGAACCCTTTCTTGAAAAACCGACCAACTCTGCGGGAACTGGGCCGGAAACTCAGCAATTCTCAACTCTGACACGAGTCGAAAATTTATCCTATATTCCAACCAGAGCCTTTTCTCCGAGTCGTACATCACAACTCACATGTTCCACTCCTCCGACTTTCTCTCACTGCACACAGTAATGGATCTTGGTTTCCCAAAAATCTCTTCCTCTCTTCTCCATCCTTAGGTACCAAAGCGCCATCCGGCCCCTCGCCTGAAAATATACCAAATTATACGGACCGAAGCCGTGTCTGAATCCAACCGAACGGACTCTTCCTCCTGTACTAGTAGTGGACCCATACCTATAGTCTGGCCCACTTCCCTTCCATCACCATCCACCCGTCTGGGTATAAAACAGCTTCGTCAAACAACACCTCCGACATGCATCGCTGCAGCTGTCGCGCGGTTCTGATACTCGACCGAGAATTGTTTACATATGTCACGACAGATGTTCAACGGAACAGCCAGGCCTTTCAAAAATACCCGTCTTCTGAACCACTTTCGGCAGATCGACTTCGCGCTCCTCGCTGCTCTCAATAAACCTTCCTGAATCAACTACTCGCATCCAGGATGTGGATCTCTTGAACAATGGATCGTCGAGGCGTGCAATATCCGACGAGTCGCGGCGCAGGGTCCCAAATCTCTCGCTTGCACAGTTCTTCCTTTGGACTTGGGCGTATGTGTGGTCGATATTCTTTGGTCGTGGAGCTTTGGAAAACCGAGATTTGCGGTCTTTATATTACTTACACAGTATGGATTCATTTTTGGTGATCCAACGGGAGGGACGAGGACCCCAGTGAGTTTCTTGCCCCAATAACCTCACCAGATACACTGTAGATCGCGCATCTTGACAATGCGTTCTTTTTAGTTACCGATGTTGTTACCTATGGAGCAGCCCATTTCGAGGCAACCCAATATCCACCCTCTGAAGGAGGTCTCACCTGAAGTAGATTGGTTATGAATGCCACAAGGATGGCACGGCGAGTTCAACACACCTGCGTTGGTGTCGATTATACTCCAGCTATCGGTAAGAAGCACAATCATATACTTTAAGCTTTGACAGAAATATTCATTCCCAACCATAAGTAGTTGCTTCATTTCCGCAAATGCCAGAACCCCCGCCTCTGGTCGTGTGCGCGCGAAAGACAACCTCTTTTCATGTTCTAAGCTGTTTCAACATCCCTCCGCTGCTTCCGCTTTTGACTGCCGGCGTCCTTCCGACTGGCGCGACAGGAGTTTAGGTTCAAAAAGCCTATGGTGAGCCTTTCCTACCTTCTTCGCGGCCCTACGTCCCTATCTGCCCTGTTGCAACACTTTCCGCCTCCTATATTTCATGAAACGATCGCGAACTACCAAGTCCAATTTGTATCGCGGGAGCCAATATGCGCATGCACCTCATCTAGAAGCTCTTGCTTCCATTTTTCCGCAGAGACTGTCGGTGCGTTCTTCTCGAGGACTCAACACTCTCCAGCTGTAATGTTGTTCTAGCTCCACTGCCCGCGGTGGCTTGTTTCATCCGATCTGGGTATTCGGGCCTTGAAAACCCGTACACACAAACGTATAGGATCACCGTCGCGGTCCAACTTGTCAAAATTCAACCCTGGATACGGCCGCCCGCTAATACGCGCCTTATTGACGTATGATCACTTCGCTTCAAGCACCCCGTTTGAGATTTTGACGATTTCCGTGTTATCTTTTACAACAATCCAGAGGGTCCAGCTTTAGACTTTCCAGCCCTTTCTGTTTGTCCGAAACAGCACAAATCCGCTTCGCACAGACATCCTGCCATGTCTAGGTTACGGTAACGCAATATCGTCCCCGGACAGAATGCGTCGTGCGTTTCATATCTTTCTTGTCGTTATCAGACTCCTGGCATCTCTCTCTCTTTAAGTCAGTTATCTTACCAAATCTTCCCAATCGTCCACGAAGTGGGCACGCTGCAAACTCTGAAGATGCTTGTTCAAAGTTAAACTTGAGAAAGCCGGCTTCGTGTTTGCCTGGAATCAATTGGAGCATGACTTTCGGTCCGAGCTTCTTTATCCTTGGGCGTAAAGACGTGTTTTCCGCTGCTCTTTCGAGACGCAAGACGCTCAAAGAAATCCTCAATGCAAGAGCTATTTGTTGTCGGTGATAGACACGGCCTACCGCCCTCGCTGCCTGCCGACCGCGCAGTTTACGTACCAGTGATCACTCTAGCTCATCACAGTTTTCACGACATGATGGTTGGACTCTGGCCCTTTTAGTTCCTGTGGCTGTATCAAGGTGCTCGTGCTGCGGCAGAGTTGGAAACTTGAAGTCGAACGTGCTTGTAGGTCATGGAGTGAACATACTTCTTTACACCTCTCGAAAGATGCATCTCTTTGCAGCTACAGTCATGGGCAGTGCAAATCAAGCCTTCAGCTCAAGCCCCGCTGGACACATCTTGTCTTTCCACCCATCGTCGATCTGCTTGTGGATTCCGACTACTGGCGAAAGTCGTAAATCGTTCCTTCCTACGACGTGATCTGGCTCCAGTGACTACGCATATGCCCGTACGATCCCGGTGCCCAGCCGCTGGCTTGCAAATCCGCTTGTTGAGGCGCCTGCTCGAGGATTTTGAACTCATTATAATCCTTTAACGTTCTTTAACCCTGATGTGCGCATCCTCGTCGGTAGCTCTCGGTGTTAATCTCTTTGACAGTTGGTAATATCTCTTTGACCGTCTGATTACCGCACCAAACTCGCTTGCAAAGAGCTACGGTAAAACCGAGGTGCTCGAGTATACAAGACTTTTTGTAAGCAGATAAGGTCTGGTCGAATTTCACGAGCGCTTATGGCAGATTTCTGGAATTAAAAATAGATGGCACCTACGATAGTCCCTCCACTGAACAAAAATGTAAAATGATTAATCTCTTGCTTTCGGATTTACTTATCGTCGCCCATCCATCGAGCCCTATCCTCAATCCCGCGATCCTTCGTCCCTTACGACACAGGAGGCTGCGTAAGAGGAAATCCAGCTTCGTACCGACGACTCGAGGGTGCCTTTGATGTTGTACAATGCGAACGCATTCGCCAATCCCCTGCAGGCTATCAGTTTCGAAGACGCTGCCAGAACTTTCCAGAACAGTTGGCCATAACAGCATGAACGGGCAGGAAGGGTCGATGGAAGTGGGCACAACTCTAGGGTACTCGCCTAAATACGTGTTGACAGGAGGCAACAACGCCTAAGCCTTTGCCTCGCGCACCAGCACCTGGCTTCTTATCATCATGAGGATCAGCAATCTACAGCTTCTGCATCGATCGACGTACTGTGGCCATTGCTGCTGCATAAATAGCTGCGCTGTATCAAGGAGAATGTACGTCTCTTTGAAACCTGGATACGTCAGGTTGCGAGGCTTGAAACAACAAATGTCAGAAAGTCCCTTCTGTAGCAGCAATCGATGGAGAGAATATCCAAGCCTCTCGCAGAGGAGGGCGAAAGCTGAAGCCATGAGGCGGGAGGAGGGTGGCCAGGGCTGTAGAGTCGGTTATTCAATGATGGATCACTGGCAAGTGCAGAGAACGTCAAGGAAGTCGCATAATACTGGAAGGCATCTCGATGAAATGAAGGCCGACTTCGCTGAACTAGGAGAACCCACGCCTCATGCGAGCTGTGCTATTGTTGTGAAGTCGAAGGCGCGCATCGGAACAGAACCGCGGTCCACAACCTCCAACACAGGTAGAAGCAAAAGGCGGCGTCTTTTTACGTATATCTCACCATTCGTTATGTCAGTCTTTAACCCTCGATTTTCGACTTGTAAACATGACACTTGGCTTCGTTTATTACGACGAAATCAACCATGGAATCTAGGTGGCAGGGCCTTAGGGCATCGATGAACTTGGGTCATCCCTGATTCCATTCGGAGTGCATATACGGTTCCGTTGTGGAGAACGTGTCGGCCGAGTCGCGAGGAAAGCCCTGAGGATGCCTTCCTATTCCGACGCGTCTAAGCGGTTTCTGTGAGGCAAAGATTGCGATGGTCCAGTGATATCGTCCTCGGAGATCGTCAGGAGAAACTTTGTTTGTCTCCACCAAACAACGCGTGCGCTGCAACATCATTTAGTTGCTCTCCACCACAACCATATCTACGTAAAAACCCTGTATTTCCTCTGATTGTTATCTTCCTCAGAGCGAGACTTACCTAGGTTGAATTTACAGATCAATTTCTTTCTCTTGAGGACTTCTTTAAGTTTAGCCCTGATTGAAGTCCAGAATCCAAACTATGGATTTAATTCCAGAGGATGAACCACTTGCTCAGGCGACGCGACTTTCTTTTCATCTCGGACCGCAGGTCTAGTACTTCGCCAAACAGGTGCAAGAATCACACCTATCTATCTGCCAGATTTGGTATATTTTGTCTAGTCCATCTATTCATTCCCGTCACCTCCAGCGCAGACAACATGAGGCTTAGGACTGGCGTCCTGACCTCCCACATGGGTATATGAATCCCCTAACCTCTTTTACACCGTCATCTCGCTCGAGTTGATCTACTGAAAGGCTCCTATGATCTGCCGTATCAATGTCTCCTTGTAAAGCCACCTTGAAAGTGGGGACTCAGCGGTATAAATGGCACTCTTTGAGACCAGTATCTGTCCGAATGATCTATCACCGCCCTTCTCTAAGGGTCCTGACACGCTCCTTCCACCCCCCATGTCTGTCCACGAAGCGTATCGAGTCCTGGGTGTGCCGGAAGGCTCAAGCCCAGACACTATCAGGAATGCCTACCGGATACTGGTACTTCTCTCTGCACCCTGGCTTACCCAAAGATATGTTCATCGCCCCCTAGGCTTTGAAATGGCATCCAGATCGCCATCACAACATTTACGACAGAGACACAGCAGCAAGGCACTTCATGGAGGTACGCGCGAGTTTGATGTTGACATGGTTGACATCTTGAATCTCACTTTTTTTTACTCTTCACTTTTCTGGGGGCTAGGTTACAAACGCTTATAGGACGCTAGTTCGACACGGCTATCCCAAAGCCCAACACTTGCCCCGACTTAACACCCGACCAAACCATCCATCGATACGCCAAATACCTCTAATGCCCCCCCAAAGTAGTAGCAAATCCTCAGTCTCCCTAGACTCCTTTATTCATCTCGTGGCTTCGAGCACTGAATCCCTTACAACTTCACCGTCGTCCAGTAATCGCGACAGTCCACGCTCGTCATGGAAGCAGGGCGTACGCCAGCCTGCGGATACGATGGCTTCTCAGTACCGCAACCCCGCCGTTCGACCCGCCCACACTTTTACTTACGATGGGCCACGTCGAGGCGGCGACGGACCTGCTATATACAAAGCTCCTCCCCGTTTCGCCCCTCCTGCGCCCCAGAAAGAGGCCAAGTCGAGTACGAAAACTTCGCGACCAAAGTGAGACTTCCGATGGCGACTTGTTCAAACACTGGCTTACATTTCATTAGTATTTCTACTCCCTATTGCACTCGTCCAGCACCACCTCCGAGCCGCTATCCACCCCAGCCGCTTCAATTCAGAGACCATCCGAAGCCACGTACTCAGCTACCACCCTATGGAATCCCACTCGCCTCTATCGGACTCGGTCGGTCCTCAGAGTGGATTTATTCCTTATCTCTCACTCTCGAAGAACTCTTCACTGGCAAACACTGTCGCTTTGGCATCACACGCTCCTACATCTCAAACAAGACGAAGAACGTGGTTATAGAAATTGACGTTCCTGCGGGGTGCCGGCCAGGTACCAGAATCCTCTGCCGCAACGTCGGTCACGAATGGAAGCCTGGTGTCTTCCAGGATATCGCATTTATCATCGAGGAAGCACCTCACGATCGGTTCGTACGACTCTTCGACGACCTCATTATGGATGTCCGACTACCGTGGGTCGACAGCCTGCGACGCCAGGGAGGGAAGGTGCCCTTCATGGGCATTGACGGCAGGAGCCTTCTCATCCAGATCGACTACCCGGAGGACAAAAACATGAAGGGCCGGAGTGTCATCAAGGGAGCTGGGATGCCTATTAGGGAGCGTGGACGGGTGGCCGGGAGAGGGAACTTGATTGTTCAGTGCGTATTTTCGTTTCTTTCCAACACGTTGCCCTATCTAACGACGCTCGCTGGGTAGGTGGGAAATTCTTCCTCCAAAAGCCAAAATCCTTCATTTTATGAAGCGCTTATGGGGCGGCAAGTGACCAATGACTTTTGGCTCAAGTACTTCGACACAAAAAAAAAAAGATGTCGAACGCTCTATCCTTATTGCCCGTCGGGAAATGTATCATATCACCAGATTGCTCTTTCATGCCTTTATGATGTATAAAAGATAAAGCATAATAAGATAGAATAAATTACAGGCAACTTGTAATCGCACTAGGCACCTTCAATGTAGTCGTAAAGGATCTGGACGTGGCGGTGTTAATGTTGCCACCATTTGACTGCTGACGCCTTTTTCGATGGATCGTGAAAGGAGATGTGAATTCGTTTTTGGCCTCGTGGTCGCTGGACGCGAGATTCTGAAACGCAAGGCGAAGACGCTCAGCTGCACCCGTTGTGTTTCCTTTACACACTCCCGTTGTATTCGTTCCTCTCAACGCCGTCCAACAAGTGCTCTCGACGTCAGGGACGAGACGCGGGCAATGCTCATTCTTGAATGGCACTGGACGAGTAGACTGGAACATGAAAATAAAGATCGAGATACGCTGAAATGACGCTAATTTACGTTGTCGCCATGAAGAATTCATCTGCCCCGGACTGGGACTGCAAGGAGAGCTGGCCGAGGGTGGCAGGAGACAAGGGCCGTTCTCAAACAGGCACGACCCAGTGCCAGCGAGAACCTCGTGTACTTCGGGATGTAGAAGTTCTTTATGAGAGCAAGAGGCGCCTAACAACTCCTCTTGGGCGGCGCAGCGCCGTTCTCCCTGTAAGTAGTCCGAGTTTGCGTACTCAATTCATTGCCCATGTTGCTAGTTCCAATGGTGCCTGGTCGACGTTTCAGCTTGAGACTCTGATGTTGGGCGTATTGTACTTACAGGAAACCACTGCGTTCCCTTGAACACGGTCGTGAGCATTCCAGGTCTGCCTCCCCCGGAGGCTTGGTTTGTGTTCCGTTAAAGCTAGACCCGGATAGCCTACTACCAGGATGGTACACCTTTTAAACAACGAATTGCAACGCCATGATAGAAGTGGGTTGGCCTCCCAAATTTCGAACTACCGTGACAGACTGGTCTAGACGACATTATGTACTGCCATAGAGGAAGAATTTCAGTTTACGATGGAGCGACCTGAGATGAAATGACCTCACATATTCGCATATTGTATCTGCGGGGGGCATCACTTGGCGGAGAGAGCGTTCATTGGCGTTTATCGAGGAGACTTGAGTATACAATCCGGGGAAGAGGTGCCATGGGACTCAAATCCGGCCAGTAGCGATGGTTGGTTGTTTGCTTGTGAAATCATTGGCAGTCTGGAGTGATGTCAGTTGCAGGGTTCACGGTTGTTCCTGGCAAACGTTCACACACACTCAAACCGCATTCTCTGAAAGCATCGTCTTGCTCCAAAACGCACGCAACGTTATAGCATCAAGTTGGTGACTCTCCTGTGTCCAAGATCGTCTACGAAATCAATCTTCAGTCATAAAGAATTCGAAGTCGATAGCAATGGACAAAGCGAACCGTCTCGAACAGTTGCCGCATGCCGGAATCCTGACACCCCTCAAATGACCCATATGAATGTGATTTTAGTTCCAGATCAGCTATCAAGTTCTTCTTAAGAATAGGCTAGTCTCTTGAACATAACTTAAAAGGACTGCGTGCATGGAACAAGCGACATGTCGGTCTCTCTCCTTCCGACGCGAAAAACGTCTCTGTTGGTCCTTCTAGGTGTCACCTTCATCGCCCTCAAGCGCGCGCGAACCGGAAACTTCGGCAACGGGTCAAGAAAGCTTGCCTGGTTATTGCCTCTTGCTATGGGCCTCCTTCGTCAGCTGTTCGTCGGTACGAACAAGAAATTCATCACTCACCCAGCCAAAGTGGGAGAGTCGCGAGAGTACGACATTATCATTGTTGGAGGCGGTAAGAGCCTCGCTGTGGATCCAATTCTCTAATAACACGTTCCTGTAGGCACTGCGGGATGCGTCCTAGCTGCACGTTTGTCGGAGGATCCGTCGGTTAGTGTTTTACTGCTTGAGGCTGGAGTCAGGTGCGAACGTCTTCCTCGAATGCGTCTTCGTTGGACTGACGTTTTTACTGTAGTGGAAAGAGTCTCCTTTTTACACGTATTCCGGTCGCCTATTCCCTCCTTTTCAACTCAAAACACGTTTATAATTTCTATACGGAGCCTCAAACCTCAGCACAAGACAAGAAGAAATATTGGCCTGGAGGGAAAATGCTGGGAGGATGTACGTTTTTGAAAACCGACGTCAAAGCTTTGACTTGGGATCTTAATATGCTTGTCTTTAGGTTCTGCGATTAATGCTCAAATGTATGTTTGTAACGCTACCTTCTCTCCCACCGCTTTCAATTTCTCATAGGGCACAATACGGCGCTCCTGCGGACTTTGATCAATGGGGAAGCATTATAAAGGACGAAAGCTGGTCTTGGGAAAACTTCAGACGGTGGGCGCGTCGTTCTCTCTGTTGTCGTTCCAGGCTGAATCTATTGACTCCAACGCAGCTACTTCACCAAGTTCGAGAAATATGTCGATGACCCTGCTTACCCAGATGTGAACACCCAAGTCAAAGGACGCGACGGGCCGATGCGCGTCGGTTACTTCAGTTCTGTTTCAGAAGGCTCGAAAGACTTCATCAAAACTTGTACAAAACTCGGCATTCCGTATGCCCCCGATTTCAATACCAGCGTAGGAACCAGAGGTGTGAATAGGGTATGTGCTCTTTATATGTACCCAATTCCTTCCTGACATCCTTTTATAGATTAGTAAGCTTGTCATAATGTCTGAAGAGATGATGAATACTCAGACTACTCCAGTGACTTATATGGATGAGACTCGTACAAGAGTATCATCCGAGTCCGCATACTTGACCGATGATGTTTTGTCCAGACCGAACCTAAAGGTCGTCTTGCATGCTCAAGTGACGAAGGTGCTCACCGAGAAGGTCGGTGACGAGGTCAAAATCACCGGTGTCGAATTCGCCACGAAAAAGAATGGTCAGCGATACCGAGCGAGCTCGAAACGGGATGTCATTATTTGGTAGGTAGGCTTCTTCTCGACGAAATTCCAAGAGATTAAACGTCACTTATTGCAGCGGAGGAGCCATCCATTCTCCTCAGGTATTTTGGAAAATCACCTTTTTTTCTCGGTGGTTTCTCATATTCGTTAGATCCTTATGCTGTCAGGGATTGGCCCCGCTGATGATCTGAAGAAATTGAGTATTCCTGTCGTCAAAGATCTACCTGGCGTCGGCTCTCATCTTATTGACCATCCCGTCGTGGACGTTTACTTCAAAAATAAATTCAATGATTCTCCTAAGCATGTCAAGCCCAAGGACTTTGTCGATGCTGTCAAGTTTATTGGTTCTTCGATCGAGTACTTCACGAGGCAAAGTGGCCCACTAGCTACCAACGTAGGTTCCACTCTTCTCGCAGATACTCAAGTCCTGATCTTGACCAGTTCGGAGAATCGGCTGCGTTTGTCAGAACCGACGACCCAACACTGTTTCCGGAAAGCGAATACCCCGAGAAGATCATCGACAGCACTTCAGGACCCGATAGTCCTGACTTGGAAATATTCACAACGCCGTTTGCCTACAAGGTACAGTGATAGCATCTCGAGACCTCTCCCCTGTGTGAACCCGTCATCAGGACCATGGAAAGTTCATGTTCCCGATGCATACCTTTGCTGTTCACGTCTGCTTGTTGAGGTAGGCGCTTCCTGCTGGTATGCGTTTCGGACGCTCATTGCTGTCGCTCCTTTCCAGGCCAATGAGCCAAGGGACTCTCCGACTGAAGTCCGCAGATCCGTGGGATGCTCCATCCATGGACCCTAAGTGCGTTATTAAATCCTGTTCTTTATATGCCACGCTCATTTAATGATTTAGATATCTAACTGCTTCAGAAGATGTTGCGAGAATCCTGCGCGGTATCAAGCTCATCTTCAAAATCAGCCAGACGGAGCCTCTGGCCCTGAGACTTGATCAAAATGACAAGCACCCACTCCTCGACCACCAGACGCACCTGAAGTCGGACAAGGAGCTCGAACAAATTATTCGCCAACGTGTAGAAACCTTGTACCATCCTGCTAGCACCTGCAGAATGGCACCTCTGGAGGATGGTGGAGTCGTTGATAGCAAGCTTCGGGTGTACGGAATCAAGGGTTTGCGCGTATGCGATGCGTCTATCTTTCCCGAGATCGTCTCTGGACACACTGTGCGTTACGTGTCGTGCTATTGGTTGACTTTACTAACTAGATATATAGGCTGGCGCTGTTCTGGCTTCCGCTGAGCATCTTGCTGATATCATCAAGGCTGAAATCGCAGGCGAGAAGACTGGAGGGTCCAAACCATAAAGTTTATGTGTGTATGTAATTGAAATAGGATGGACATATGTACGGATCGGATCGGTGATTGAGCTTGGATTGAGCTTGAGCTCGGCAGTCATCCGACCTTTGCACCCCTTCGTCCATTGAGGGGCCTTCGAAACACTACAGCGGCGCTGCAGTCATATCCTTCTACCAGTGCTGGTTTGGGACACAGGAAGAAGTCGACAAGAGTCTCGTTCGTTATTTCACGTTGCCATATAGGTCAACTCTAACGTTCAGCGTTCCAACGAGGAAGTCGTTCAAGTTCCTGGCACCATGTTTCAAAACAACAGTAATAGCAGGGCCCTTCATCACTTTAGGGACTTGGTGTATGCTGGGACGATTTCCCCTACTCCTCGAAGCTTGGTAACCACGATTAAGAAACACACCGACCATGCGCGTACTATGTAATTCTACAAATTCAACTTGACGGCGCCACCCGAGAGGACCGTGGCAAGACCTCGGACACAACAGGGCGCCAACGATCTGCCTGAGTTTTTCAGAGAGCTGTCGAACTTGAAATTGCCCGGGGCAACCGTCAACTTGAAGTGGATTCCTTGACTGTCAAATAGGCATCTCTTGAAAGATTTGTTTTTTCATTCTGGTCTACATACCAATTTCCGTCTGAACTTTTAGTCGATAGCGTCGAGTGCTGCACATATGATCTTTCAAATCACAATGCAATGTTTGTCTATTTCTGAGTGGTCTCGAGCATTGTATCGTTGGAAGAAAGGCGAGAGAAAAGAAAGCAAGGAAGAGCATAAATCAAGGACAAGCCCTAAAACAAAACGAAAGCAGCAAAAAGCGATGAGATTGCAACATATATATACGTGGGTTCATTCGGACAGCCAAGAAAACTTTGTGTGAATGTGTCGTAGCAAGCAGATAGCTCATTAAATAAGTACACCCCTCTAGGAAGGAAGCAAACAGCAACAGCGATATTCATTATTTCGTTCGGTTTCTTCGTCTTCATCGTCAAATCTTCATTAAATATTTCGTCAAAGTGTCGAGTCTCCATCGCTAAGATGTTCATGGGCGTCGTTCGTTCGCCATCTCGCTGTCTCTGCGGAAGCTGATCAACAATCAAACCGCATAGACTCAAGCTTCTTAGGGGAAGGCAGTCCAGGGAAGGCCTGTGCATGCACTGCAGCAGCGTAGCCACTGCCGACAGGGGCACCGAAGCCTGTAGAACCCGTACCCGGAGGAGCAGCTACCGATGCACGCTTGGATGGGGTCGTCGGCTGGCGTGGCGTGTTCCTGCCTGAGCTCGAGGCGGACGCGGAGACCTGGGGGTTCTTGGCATGTGCAGGAGGTGGCAAGCCGATGAGACGAGCGACGGTGTAGGGCAATTCATAGCCTGCACGCACGGCGTAGGCGATATACCTCGCAAGCTCAAGGTGAAGAGTTGGGTAGTAGGTTGTTGATGCTTTCCTAGAGATCTAAAGCAAAAAAATAAAACAAATAAAACATATCATTTGCCGGATCTGGAACAAGAAGAAAGGGTTACGAACAAGAATGATGCGCTCTAGGCCGGAGAGGAAGAGGTCGGTATGGAATTGATATGCAGAGTGTTCGTGCTCTTTAGGCAGATTGAGCGACTCGACACATTTCGCGATGGCGTTGACCAGTTTGAGTTGGGTGGTCTGAAGAGAGCAGGTCAGGTCAGCTACATTTTCGGTGGAAAAGTAAACCATAAATAACGTACCAAATAACTCATAGCCTCATATTCAACACCCCCAGTCATGCCGCCGGGTGCTCTCGGCTTCTCGACGCTGCTCTCGTTCGTCTCGGACAACACCCAGATCGTATTATTCGGATGACAGAACACCCAGAAGTAATCCCTGCACACCTCAGACAGTTCCTTCAGATACGTCTTATATATCCTCGGAACGTGCAGAGACTCGATGAACTCATGTGGAGAAATAGGAGCACCAGGATTCTCTGTGGGTGGTGGGGCAGGGGTGAGCAGGAGGGAGCGAATAAGGGAGAAGAATGTCTTGTGTGGCGCTGGCAGGGTGACGAGGTTGGATGTGGGGAGCGAGGTGTGGCTTTCCCAGGCCTCGCGGTGGCGGCCAGCGCCTACGAGTGTAGATCCGGGCTTAGAGCTCGTGGAGGGGAGAGATGAGGGCGGGTAGAGGTCGAAGAGGAGTAAGAGAAGCTCGGCAATGAGCTGACGCGTTGCAACGTCTCCTGGTTTCTTGTCGGAGTACAGCAGAGCGACAAGCTGCACGAAAGGTGTTGGACAGGAGCTGCGCAGTGCGAAGCACCCAATGGAGGATGTGGAGAGAGCTCTGAAACAACGTAAGAGTTCGTGAAGAACTTGATCGTCGTGTTGTTCTTCCCTGGAAAGATGTTAGTAAAAGGACGCGACAGAGAATAATGCGATATACCTCCATTCAACCTCGAGAATTTCATTTAATCTGGTCAGAAGAGCAGAGTAGCCACCGAGTTTCAAAAACTCTGTTGACCATCTGTCTACTTGTCAGCGCACGGCTGAGATGAAGAGTGGCAAAAACGTACGTAGCAGACTCGTTTCGCAGCAGCAACCTCAACTTCTTCAGATCCTCTACATCTAGTTGAGTGCTTGAAGTCCCAGTGAGGATGCTACAAAATCTTGTTGGAGAAATGTTCTTCGTGACGGTTATACCTTTCTCCTTGCTGACTTTACCCCCAGCAAGGAGATCTAAAGTAGATGAAGAAGAGCGTTCTGCAAGATTGACTTGGCTCTTGGAGAAGAAGCGTGGAGGGTCAAACGAGAGGCCACGTGAGTGTCCACTAGCTTTTCGCTCCGGCGATGTGAGGTAGGGGGATATATGGGCGGAGACAGGAGCGGCGGAGAGACCTGGATAGGGAAGTTCGGAGTTGTCATTCATAAGTGAAGCGATTGTTGCATGCCGGGGACTCAGAGACTCGGTGCTGTGTGCCCGTCGTGGCCCTCGATTAGTTTGTGGTGTGCTAGGTGGTGATGGTTCGGGCACTGGGCTAATAGCCATAGTTTGCGATGATTTGAGCATAGCCGCTTTGACTGACGCGTCCATTCCGTAGAGCTTCGGTCTCAGAGCCGAAGGAATTTGAAGATCGTCCTGCAACAGCGCGAAGTAAGAAACTGCGGGGTTGGATGATTTGAACGACGTACAAGAAGTTTATCAAATGCTTGAGGAGTGGTGTCAATCTCCTCTGTCTGAGAGTCTTTGGTCTTCTTCGGTTCAGGCTTTTTCTTCTTCTCAGTGGTCGCCATGAACCCCTTGGACGCCTTGCGGGATTTTGTGGCGGCGGCCTGCATGGTTGAGGGAAGAGACGGCTGGTTTTCCTTTCCGTTGTTGTCCACCAGATTTGTGAGTATTGTGAAGTCCGTTGAGGGGACACGACGAGCGGGGAGGATGCCCTTGAACATGGTGGAAGCAAACCAAGGTTGAACTCTTCCAAATCCGGCCATGGTTTCATTTTGCAACGCGACAGATCATGTGGTCGATTCTGTCACCTCCTGGCCACTGTCACTTTGTCACTCTTCCCGATGAGGAGCTCCCTTTGTCTCTGTCGCATATATACCTCTTGCCTGTGGCCTCACCCTCTTTTCAGTCTTCCTCCATGTCATTTCTCTCCCGGAACGCCCACTCTGTTCTCTACAAGCCAAAAGTCTCCTTGGAGCTCGCCTTTTTTCACTGCGCGGGCAACCCGACGACGGCGGTCGCCATCTCTGTCTCCTTCTCTTCCGCCCCTTGCCAGGAAACTCTCCGGGATCCGGGCCAGGTTATCGAGTGATTAGTGTCTGGAGGACCGGTACGAAGTTGAGCGGTTTATAGGTTTAGGGCCGTAGTATGTCTTCATTTCTTACGATGATCAGCTAATCTAGGCAATCCTTCCTGGACGGCTATTGGGGACCAATATTCCATCCGCACCACCCATGCAAGCCTCGTTGCCCATCCATCTGCGCCTTTACTGTCTGAATCTAGAGCCTACCCTCCCATTCGGCCACCCGCACTCCCCTCGCCCTCAGTGTCGTCCTTGGTTGAAGCTCATAACAATAGACTCCCACGCCGCATCCAAATCCGGAGCTCGCTTTTTGTTCTTCCAACTGCTCCCCGCGATGCCAGACGTCACCCGGGCATCTTATCAACCCCTGCTTATTGTGTTTGGTCGACTGCTTCGGCTGTCGCTGCCTTGCATGATGACCCGAAGTCCCTCGCTTATTGTCTTTTCCTCTCTCCTCGGCCTCTAAAGGCTCAAGTTCATATATGAGAACAATTAACAGCCCTTGGATGCACCTGTATCCCAAGCGGCTTCTGTACTTAGTCGGCTTCTTGAATTTCATCGTACTTTGCCCGTGTGGGTGTATAAAAGTAACAATCGTCTCCTCGACTTCCCCAAGCTCTTTCGCTACCAAACTCGCCCACATATCTCCTCATCCTCATTTGCAATGGACGCTTTCACCACCATCAGCAACGTTTTCGCGGCCATCACCACCATTGAGGATCCCTCTCTTCCATCCAACGAGGAGACTGGCGGCTCGGGCAACAATGCCTACTGCGTCGTCGCATGAGATGTCCATCCCTCATCGCGCACTGACGACTGTTACGCCTTAACTTTATCGTGAGTAACCCTTCCACTTTTGATCCCATCCAGTTCCTGACCTCCACTTGGCTTGCAGATCATTCATCGGCATTGTACACCAGCATCACGACCACCAGCATTTTCAATGTGATACTAGCATCAACGGAACACTTTATAGTGCACTGGCATCCCCTTTCGCCCTTCTCATTCACTTTTTACGCCTGCACTTTATCATCCACAATTCGACCTTCGCATTAATTATCATTTTTGGGGGATTTTCAGGAGAAGTAGAATTACAAATGCAATATTAATGCAAAACATTTGTAAAAGCCTTTTGTCTGATTGAGATTGAGTGGAGCACACGTCCGTGCAAATACTGAAAATAATCTATTCATTGAAAAGTGAAGAAATACGTATAAAACCCACAAAAAGGCCAGAAATCGTCCCCAACGTCGACGTCTTTCAACGTCTGGCAGCCGCATATTCGGCTTTGATATCGTCAGCAAGCTTCTCAGCGACAGCGAAGCAAGCACCAGCCTGTGGAAGAGTAGCCCAGTCAACTTTCCATATGATAGCCACACCAAGGACCGTCAAAAACAACATACCGTATGGCCAGAAATAATCGACGGGAATACCGACGCATCACACACCCTTAAGCCCTGTACACCGTACACTCGCAGATTACTATCCACAACACCTCCTTGCTCGAGCGGCGCCATCCGGCAGGTCGACGTCGGGTGGTATGCGGTCTCGACACGCTCCCTGACGAGCGCCTCGATCTCCTTGTCCGACTTGAGGTGTAGCTGGTGGTCGAGGTCGGGCCGCGTGCAGTTCTGGTCGAGGTGCGAGCGGACAGGTTCCTGTTGCGTGATGCGCAGGCCCAGGCGGACGCTCCGCACAAGCTTCGCGACGTCTTCGTGGGTGGAGAGATAGCTAGGTGGTTAGAAGATTTCTCAGTTGGATTTTAGAGCAGGCTTTAGAGTGGGACAAACTTGGGGTTGACGCTTGGGTGCGCGAAGGGATTCAAGGAATTTAACCGAATATGACCATGACTCGTCGGCCTGCGGGATTGGTCTTAGCTTAGCTTTCCTTCGATGAAAAGGTATCGCGACACCACTGACCTGAGCAGGTATGCATGAATGGCGAAGGTATGAATACCTTCGAAGAAAATACGACCGTGGTCCTGCAGCCTCTGTGAGAAACACTCTAACGGAAGGAGGCGTACACACACTTTGTAAGCCGTGGAGGTGCAGAAATACTCGATGTCGGGACTATCCTTCGCCGAGGTGCTGTCGATCAGCTTTTCAGGGAATTCCGACGGCGGGAACAAGGTGGGATTGTCAGTCCTGATGAACGCGGCTGATTCGCCCCACTGGTAGAAAAGGATGATCAAATCAGTTCGGGCTGTACTTCAACACATAAGAAAAACAAAACGAAAAAGGACAGCCCTTACGTTCATAGCCAACGGTCCACCACGCCCGAGTAAGTAGTACTGGCCCAATGCACCAAAGAGCTTGAATATGCCACTGATTGATCCAGGTCGCAGGAAAGAGAAATCAGCGACGACACCACTTTGCTTGAAGTACATGTCGACAATAGGGTGGTCGACAAGGTTGGCGCCAACGCCTGGAAGGTCTTCCACAACCTTGACACCCTTCGACTTGAGGTGGTCAGCGGGGCCGACACCCGAAAGGAGGAGGATCTGGAACATACGTGAATACGAAGCACCGAAGCTGGACGAGAGAGAAAAACGTACTTGAGGTGATTGCACAGCTCCAGCTCTGTAAACCATGAATAGAATGAGTTGAAGACTTCGTGGATAGAAAGCAATGACATACGAGATAATGACATCCTTCTTCACTCTAGCTTGGAACCGTGGTCCATTCTCGGTGTTGGCGAATTCCACCCCAATTGCCCTGCGCTGCTCTCCGGGGGTCTGGTCGATTATAACTCGAGTCACAGTTGCATCGGTCGCGACTGTAAGATTTGGACGAGCAAGCACATCAGGCGTCAAGTATGCTCCTTCAGAGGAGACGCGTTCGAATTTGCTGTTTACGTAGGTCACTGATTTGGGCATTAATTCCAGAACGATCGAAGAAAACCTGATCCTTACTGATCTGCAAGAGAGGTAGAGTTAGCCTATAATTTCCATGGCTTCCAAAAAGCAATGCTCACTCTTCCAACGCCATTTGTACCTTGCGGACCGTTAAAATCATGCGTGAACGGGATGCCAGCCGCTACGCATGATTCAATAAAGTAATTGCACCAGCCCGACACGGAGTTGTAATAGCCAATATGGACTGGCCCCTTGGTTCCTTTGACAGACTTGTCGACGAGGGGATAGTCGGGGTGGGGTTGGTAATTCTCGAATTTGCGGAAGTACCTTGGGGCACAGCTCAGGTTGCAACGCGAACATTGAGACCCAAAAATCACATACTGAGCAAAGTTCTTCCATGACCAAGAGTCATCACCTGAGATGGCGGCCCACTCGTCGAAATCGCCTGGAGCCCCATACTGTGCCCTAGAACGAAATGTCAATCTCGGCTGGCCCACAGGATAGGGAATAATCGCATTTGAGCATTGATGGACGAACCTGTGCACAAGTTCATCATCAACAAAATTGGTCATCGGGTTCAATGGGTCTACTCACATCCTCCGAGCATGCGCGCTGTTGGGTGACGATCAGGATATAGCAAACAGAGACCATTCTGGATTAAGCCCATACCTCGTGGCCAGAACTTTTTCTTGCCATCAACAGACGTTTGCGCCTCTGTGTAATAACTATGGACATGTTCTTTGTTGGCGTACAGTCTAGTGTAGCTGGCAGGAGTGCGACTGTCTGGAAGAGCGCGTCCACTGTTCTGAAGTGAGCGAGAGTTAGTGGGAGGGACCCATGATGCGAACCTTCCTCCAGATTCCAGTAGGAGGACATGGATATTTGGATCTTCTGACAAACGTGCAGCTAACGCACATCCTGAAGTGCCTGCAACGAGTTCATCAGGATGAGCATGACATATAACTTAAAGCAAAGTAGTGAACGAACCTCCTCCAACAATAATCACATCATACTCTGGCAACCCCTGGGCGTTGACTTGTCCGGCTGGTACTTGCTTCCCAACTTTCGAGAGGTTTGTTACGTATTTCGATTTCTTCTGGCGTTTCTTCAGGTAAAGCCTGAGGAACACGATGAGTACCGCGCTTGAAAGTAGGGTACGCGTCGTTGGTTTCAGGCTGGCAGCAAGCCCGTCGGCACCACCAGCATTCAATTTCTCGACAACGGCATTGAGACCTTTGGTCAACGAGGAGAGGGCTGCTTCAGGAAAGCTAGACATGATGTCGGAGCAAGAGAATGTGCCAGGGACGTTGACAGTGATTGATTTTAAACTGGTTTTAAACCCACCAGGGGCGGCGCTGGTGAATTCTCCATCCGTGGAAGACTGCAGCTGGTTCGTGATGTCGACAATCAAAACATGACGACTAAGCCTTTTGGCTGAGGCGTCATGCATTCATGTGGCAGCTCCGCTCCGTTCCTCACACCCCTCTTCCCCGCATCTCCTTCCCCGCACAATTTGGCGCCCATAACACAATTACATTCCTCGATCCAACGATCCAACCTCGAGGGCTCCTTCATCTGCTGAAAATCCATCACCTAATACTCCTAGCTTTTCGAATCTTTTACGTGTGGGCAGCACTCGCCCTGAAGAACTTCTGAACAACCTGCGCCGTGCGCGTTCTCCTCTCTCGTATATGCCCTAACCGATAGACAGTCTCGTGAAGATCAAGTCGAACCTCTACTGCCTAACAAGAGCTAGTAGCATGCACGGGAAACCCCATAATGATATGACACCGGCATTTCTGTCATGGCTACGAGTCCACGACGCCAACACCATTTTTTCTTTCTCGAAACCGCCGGCTGCCTAACATCCGTGTCCAGAATGTCTTTTCGTGTTGCAGCTAGCTGTTGCCAATTATCGGATCTCCCCTATCTGCTCCGGGGGTCCTCCAATGACCACGGGCTTGAAGTCAGAAGCAGGGCCGACAACATGAAGGAGGAGCGTCTCAATTCGAGCATGAAGCAACGGCATGTCACTCTCCGTTCAGCGCGATTTTCGACATCTCCGTTAATTGTTTCAAGGTCTATCACCACACGCTGTTGACGAGCGCGTCAATTCTCTACCTCTTCGTATAGGGATGTCTGGAGTTGAGCGAGTGCCTTGACCAATTTCGCCGATGTCATCCACTAGCGCATTCTCGCACCCAACAGAACTATGAAACTCGTGTATAACTTCAGACCTTGTGATATGCACGGTTCTCTGGTCAATCATTGTTTTGACAGTTGGTATGACAAGGGTGGCTCTAGCTGAAGCTGAAATAAGCTTTCGATTCCGCCCCACATTTCGATCGATGTTCCTCAAAGTGGTACGAAGCACCCTCGATCTCAACCATCGAGCAAACCCTCTTACTCATCGCGGCCCCTCGTGAAAGGATACCATTGACACTGTTTGTCTTCTTCCCTTTCTTTATCTCTCATTATCCACGAATAGACACAGAGCGGCAGAGAACATTGGCTTTCAGGAGCTCCGCATAAATATGCCGTACCGAAGGAGGGCGGCCCCTGGGAGAAATACTGCAAGAAGGTGAAAGAATACTGTGCGAGGGCTGGAGAGACGAGATCGACAAATTGCTGATTTTTGTGCGTTATTTTCTATCTTATTGAAAGCATCATTCAGCTTAATTTCAATAACAGGCGGGTCTCTTCTCAGCAGCCATGACTGCATATGTGATCGAATCATACCAAAGTCTGTAAGAGGATCCCAATGAGCGGAGCACTTGGCTTTTGGAACAAATTCTCATTCAAGCGCACAATGCCAACACAGGAAACATTTCCCAAACCGACCCTTTCCCTTCTCCACCTACATTTTCACCATCCGGAATCGGCATTCGCGTCAGCATCTTCTGGTTCATGAGTCTATCCCTCAGCCTGACCACCGTTTTCCTTGGCATCCTGATCCTCTGCATCCAGTGGCTCCGCGAATACGAGCGCGATGTAACGCTTGACCCACAAGACACCATTTGCCTCGCCAACTGCGTTGCGAAGGTTTGATTGCATGGAAAGTCCCCGAGGTTCTTCTGGCTTTGCCACTGCTCCTCTATCTCGCCCTCATCCTCTTTTTCGTTGGTCTGATCGACTTTTTGTGGTCTCCATTAAGTGGTCGCTTTTTTGTCACCGTTCTCCCCGGCCTCGTTCTTCTGTCCTTAGTCGTTACCACCGTCCTTCCCACCTTCCAGCTCTACTTGATCGCAGATAAGCACCTCCGCAAGCTCCAGTGCGCCTATAAATCCCCGCAGTCATGGACCTTCCATCGTCTGTGTGCTTACATGGTCCAACTTCTCGATCCAACTGGCACCTTGCTTCGACCGTCTGTCATCCCAAAACGCTTCAAGCCGTTTTCCAGCAAGAGAAACTGGGTGGAATATGATAATACCTGGCGAGAGATTCGAGGGGCCGCTAACAGTGGTGACCATGCGACCATTGACTCTGTTCGGGGACTGGCATGGGTCGACAAGCATCTTGGCCAAAGCCTTGACACGGTTTTCGCGGTATACCACTGCATGGAGGAATTGCGTCCAATGGAAGCTGCACACGTCGTTGCGTTGAATAACGAGAAGATAGACGGCCACCTCTTCTCTGATTCGATGAAGTCAGTCATGGGTGATATGTCGGATAATGATTGCCACGAAACTGTCTCGTCGTTGTTCCTCGAGGAAAACTGCCGTGCCTTCCCGCAACTTGGCCAATGCCTAATTGAATCCACTGTTCGGTTCCTCAATTCTCGGATGGTAACGAACAACGAGGACAACATTGCAGATTCACTTCCTGTTCTTCATTGGCCTTTGCGACTGCACTATATGCGAGGGATGCCGGCAGGTTTGTCGGTGATTCTTTGATTCTTGCATCCTTCCGATTCGTGTTTTACAGATCTCGTTTCCCAATCCTTCTGTGCCTCAAGGAGCTAGTTTCACACAATCACTTGCGGCCAGAATGTACTCAAGACGCTGGCTCCTTACTCAGCTAATTATCTCCACTCCTTTAGATCGACACGAGAGGCTTCACGCCCACATCGCCTGCGAGATCATGGGAGAGTTCGTCAAGCGTCTCCCAGATGTCGGGATCGATAAACTTTCCCCTGGCGATCGATCTGTTGATGATGTCGTTCGGCTGAGGACCGAGGTCAAGAAATATGCAGCAAACATTATAAGGTCTCTCCCGCTGCACCGTCTCCACGAAGTATCTGCGTACTTATGGGCAACCCATTTTACTGGACGTCCAGGCTCGCATCCAAGTTTTGGGTGGATCGGCAGTCGTTCTTTCTCCGGCGGATGACAAACAGTGGTCGGAGGTTATGCGCGGCGTTGTTACTGAGTAATTATAGTTTCCGTACATTTCCATAGCAGAGGTAGCTCGAATAAAACACTGGTTTGGAGGACGCAAGGCTGACAGAACTCTCGGTCCGGCTTGTGAACAAGATCAACACCGCCAAAGAAATGCTCTTGAACTTCTCGCTACATATCACTCTTCACTTCTGTCAATTTTTGCTTTCTGCTTCCCTTCCCACTTCACACATCCTACATTGAAATGTTGAAACGAGTTGAAAAGCGCCGTAGAAAGAAGCAAGAGGAAGAAGAGATTGGTCTTGATGAGGACATGAAGGAGATTTTGGGGATGCACGATACTGACTCCGATGAGTCTACTTCAGAGTCGGGCTCCGGTGGGTCCTCTGGACAGGAAGATGAAGAAGACGATGGAATGGACCCAGGTGTAGATGCCGAGGAAGCGTTGTCAGACGAAGAGGACGAGGAGGACAAAGATGGAGACGCAGAAGAGGATCCGGAAGTCAGTGTCGGCCAAGCACTGAAAGACCCCGTCTATGTGGTTTCTGTCATGCCCGAAGTCAGAGCGTGCATAGTGTGCCCTGGAAAGCTGCTCAAGGGCATCAAGATGGTGGACCTGCACAGAACCTCTAATGCATGTACGCTTTCGTTGGTGGGCCATCTTCTCTTATGTTTCGCTGACCTCTGCGTTTTCCTGTCTTTTCACACAGGCACATGAACGACGTTTAAAGCAATTTAAAGCAACTGCAGCTCATGCAGATTCTAACGAAAGTGCCTGGGAGGTCTTGAAGCAACATTCTGAAGAGAAACCGAAGTTATCCTTGGAGCCTTCTACCTCTGGGACCTCTAAACGAGCGGAAAAGAAGGTATCTCTGCCACCCGCTTATACGAGGTGGCGGCTAACGTCTTGTTGCCTCGTCTTTGTAGAAAGCGAGACAGGCACACCTGAAGCTGCGGCGTGAAAAGAGTCAAGAAAGGAAAGCCCAAAAGGCGTCCAAGCTGAAGAAGACACTCCCGACCCCTGCGCAAAAACTTGTTTCTGAGTCTTCCTTGTCGGCCAAAGGAACTTCAAAAGCAGAATTGACTTCAGTCAAGCCCAAGCAAACAAAAAAGCGCGCCAGTAAAGCATCAGACTCCACCACGACATCATCACCTACAAAGAAGCGAAAATTGGAAACGAGCAGCCAGAAGAAGCCCTCGTCAATTGCACCTTCTCAAACTGAAGTCCTTCAGAAGCCAACCGTCGTTGAACCATCCTCTCATCCAGAGAAACAGACGAAGTCGAAGGGCGAAGATAAAGGAAAGAACCAAGTTTCTGCAGACCCAATCAATGGTGGATCGAAATCATCTCTTGCTATCCAAAGGAAGGAAAGCATCAGGGATATCGTTCGCTCCACAGGTGACCGGGCCAAGAATGCGCGTTCACGAGCCATAAATGCGTCAAAAGGGACGAAAGGTAAATCACCTCAGAAGGCGGTAGCTGTATCGTAAATTTGTACGTTTTTGAATGGGACATTCTATCACTATTGACGCAGTTGGGTACTTTCACACAGTTCATTTAACGATTAGGAGGTATAATTGTCCATCCAGAAGGCAAAATAAAGATAGATGTAGCGAAGGAGCGAAGGAGCGACTAAGGAGTGACGAATAAGGGGCTGGGGTTTGAGACCTCAAGCCAGACTCTGCAAAACCCTGTCTGTCATCCGAATAACCTGAGATAAAGCATCAGCAATGCATTTTCGAGAATCGCGAGTATCAGTTAAGGTTACCTGGTTGATGTCTGGTCGTTCCGCGGGGTTTACTTTCAGCATACTGTCAATGAGATCCCTGAAACCTTGCGAATACGCTGACTGTGGGTGCTTGTACTGAGCATTGAGAACAGCCATGGCTATCGAGCCTCCTTGTTCTGTCGTTTGTGTGTTCTCAAACGGCGAGTGCGAGTATGCTAGAGCAAATAGAGTACACCCTAGCGACTATGGGGTGAAAAGAGGTGAGAAAAGGAAAACAATTACTATAAAATAACGTACCCAGATGTCAACTTTTTCATCTAACGTTTGCCCTGTTTTCACATCGAATAGTTCGGGTGCACGGTAAGCCATCGTGCTCTGCTCCGCAGCGATATCCTGATGGAAAGGAAAGGGTTTAAGAACCAATGAACACAAGAAGAAGAAAAAAATGAAAGCATACCTGCTGGAGCAATGCTTGCGAGCGGTTCTCGATGTGTACTCTTGCCTTCATCGTACTGCCAAAATCCATGAGAATAGGTGTCTTGGCATCATCTGCAATCATGATGTTCCTAACCTCAGAAAAGAACACTCAGGGGCTGAAGACGTGATAAGGACATGCTGACGCACCCAGGCTTCAAATCCCTATGAGCATACGGCACAATCTCCAAAGCAGGTTTGCCCTGGCCTTCCCCGCCTTCCCCTTCCTCATCTCCATCAAATACAACATCTCCATCTTCCTCCGGCCTATGTCTTGTTACAAGAGGTACATTCACAGCTGAGGGTCCGTCGTATGAATATCCTCCCTCGGAGTCACCCTCCGCTTGAGGGAATCGTTCGTCGACATCATCGTCATGGTCTGGTTGGGCATTGCTCTTCCCGGTACCTAAAGCAGCACCCGTCTTGACGGCGGAACGAGGTGTGGTTGGACGGTATTCATGCATGGCACGTACGGCGAGACATGTCCCACGGAAGAGGCGCACCATGTCTTGTTCAGGGAAGTGCCGGCCGTTGACGACATTCGCGTTAATCGCGTCTTGGAGGTTTCCACGCTATAAGGAATATGAAAGATGAGTTCTCCAGGCCGGTCACGGAGACACGACGAGAACGCGAACCTTATACAGAGGAAGGAAGAGGTATACAATCTGGCCATCGCCTTCGGGGTCTTGAACAACGGCAGAGTCCTAGAGCATATCGTCGATTATAGGCTTATTCCGCAGCTTGCAAATTCAAGTAAATTTCCAGCGTACCAGAATACGAATAATATTCGGGTGTCTACACAACATTGCTGTCAGTCATGCCATTTCGACATCAGAGCAAGAATATGGGACGAACTTGAACCGTCTGTATGCTTCAACCTCCCTCATAGCCTCCTTCACACCCTGGGAACCCGTCGGACAGCGAATCTTCTTGAGTGCAAATTGTCTCTGGAAAATGTCTAGGGATTTACATAGTCCAAACGGCAGACAAGGGCAGGATAACACACCCCGCTGTGTTCATCTTGTGCCAAGTACACGAACGAGAAGCCTCCTTCTCCGAGAACCTTGAGGACTTGAACTACAGAGCAAAAGACCAATTGCGTCAATATAGTTGGATGAGATTTGATTTGATTGAACAGAAGAAGACACCACAGCCGTTCTGCATGCTTCCGTAGCCACGATCCAACGTGAAAAATAACTGAAGTATGTCCACTCACATGTTCGACCATTTATCTTTATCTTTGGTGTCTGCTGGCAGAGACACGACGACAATGCCCACACTGCATCCTTCGCCTGGTCGCGCAAGTTCTCCAATGCGCGAAATAATTGTGGAGGTATTGCCATTTTGCTTTCTCCGTTGCGTTCAATATGCTTCAACAGGGCCCAAAAGAGAAGTGTTGGTGAATAGAGAAAGAAACAGCCAAGTCTGAAGGGAATGTTGTGCGCAGTCGCGGCCTAACAGCCCTATAGTTGGTTTCGGACTTGAATGGTGTTGATGGTGTTGATGACGATCTAATTGGCCCTATATAGTTGAGCTGGAGGACAGCGCGTGGGAATTCGCTGTACCCGAGCCGGGACACAAAATCCCATATGTATCAATTCAAAATTTACTATTTAATCGGACAATTCTATCCGGCTGTATACATGGTAAAAACCGAACTACTTGAAAACTCTAGAATTCAGGCCGGGCTACGGAAAGCACGAATCAAACTCATCCAGGTCAAAGCAACAGAACAGTAAATCCACCACAGAATCGAGCTTATTGGATGGGTGGTATAGAGTAGTCGACCAGGTTGATCGTCGGCCAATTTCGAATATCGAGACAGTGAGGTTGTATTCTGACTTCGTCTTGATGCTTCCTCTCCTGTTCCAAATCCGCCGGACGAGACAGATACGCCGTAGTCGCCAATAGTATGATCCACATCATCCTGAACATAAGATATTGATTCATCACCAAGTTTTGAGTTGGATTCAGATAAAATGTCCGGGTCCGTCGTGCTGAGGTGGGGTCCTTTCGGATCTCGAACACATTCAAAGTCCATGTTCTTCTCAGGCATCATCGTCTTAGTCAGGCCATTTCGATGTGCTGAATTCGCAGCAGATGGCAGGAAGTCGGGGAAGATATCCGCCAGGCCTGTAAAGGGTGTAGCGTGGCTATGAAGCTTTTGGGTTTTCCTGAGTAAAGATAGAATTTTCGCGTCTGTTTGGGAAAGGACTCGAATTAAACCGAGCGGGAGTTGATCCTCAGGCTTGAAAACGAGAATTTGGGTTTCTGAGGAACCATTAGAAAAAAAACCTGGAGAAAAAAGCGCGGTGAAAGTAAATGGTCTCGATTGCTTCTTTTTCCTTGTTGAGGGTAGTTGTATCTGCGGAGTCATTCGGTCGTACAATACCAGGGTCACACTTTTCTGGCAATCGTACCATAACGATGGTGCCTTGGAAGAAGCCTGAGTCAAGGATGATCTGCACAGCGGTGATGTCATCTTCCGTGGGCATGATATTCGATGGAGACCTAGGATCTCGACTGGAATCAGCCAAAGCAGCCCTATGGCGGGTTCGATCTAGTTGAGCTTGCGAACTCATCCAAGCACTTCAAAATGGTATGAATTTTGATGTATGTTCAAAAGTCATGAGTACTTGCAGACTCACCTCCTAGGAATCCCTGGGTTTAACAACCGTGCTACGAAAGGAGGAGGCGTCGCCTCGATGTAGGACAAAAAATCCTCATACGTTCTGGATAGTTCGCAGAACTTGAGGAAGTAAATAAAGAAATCCAACGAATAGCTAGAGCAAATTCGGTGGTCTTCTCGAATGTCACGAATCCTACTAGGACGCCAGAACGCACTGAGGTTTTTGATGTCAAGATCATTCAAGACGAGATTCTTCTGTGGCTCAGGCGAATAAGAGGGAAACCACTCCAATGAACGTGAGAAGGCGGTCGTTTTTCTCTGGTTGAGGGAGGAAACGGCCGATATCACGTTCAACAACTTCACGAGGAGGGAATTTTTGGAATATTCAGAGAGGACTGCCTTCAAATACTTTTGCAATACCCTAAATTCAGCTTCGTAGATAGAAAGAGCCTAAATTGAAACAGTCAGAATAGCAAACCCAGGTAGAATACTCGAAACCTACATCTGACGGGCCAGTATGAACATAGTGTTGGAGAGTATCGAGAAACGGTGAAAAGGCCATCAAAAGGTGCTCCATCTGGGGGATTTCGTAAGCAAACCCTTGCAGGGACTTCGACCTCAAGACTATTTCTTGAGATGTCTCGACCTGCGTGTCTGATCGCAACGTGATGTAAGGGTGCTTCTCCTCATAAGCTGCGTGGTAAAATCGACTCAAAAAAGAGTAAAGAGGGTATTTGTCTGGCGCTTGGAGGCTGAGGTGTTGGAACATGTGCATGTATATCGCAGTCCACGCATCTTGAGCAGATGCAAGGCGGTCGCTAATGCAGAACCGCCCTGACCTCGAGCGGTCCAAAAGGAAATCAATGAGAGACGCATGGGCGACATGGATGGGCTGGTCGTGCAGATGGTAGGTGATGAGAGACGCCACGTCGATAAGGCACATCCTAACCCCTCCAGGATCACGAAAGAGAACCTCGTCAAGCAAGGGAGGGGTGAGCGGGACAAGGTCGTTCGTGAACTTGGATTTGTGCTCTTCCAATACGCTGATGACGTGAAGGACCGACTCGACGTCCGAGGCATTCTCCAAAATATGCGTGTATAAGGCATCTAGCTGCTCGTAAGGTGAGTGGTTTGCAGGAGCCGATCCAAGCCCAAGAACGATTTTTAATCGCTGGGTCGGAAGGTGTCGCAGGGATTGGCTATACTTGACAACGGTGGAGGCATATATGAACTGTCCTGACGATTTCTGAATAAGCTTCTCGATAGTATCTCTTGAAGGCCAGCTCGGCGGAATGTCGCGACGAAGGGGGTGGGTTAACTTTATCTTCTGGAAACTATTCTCCAGAAAACACCGAATGTCAGCATTTGCTTCGTCGACATGCATCGATAAGTCGAGTCTTTCAATGATGGCATGGTCTGAAACACCCTCAAAAGCGTCGCATATATGGATCTCTGGGCGGCTAGCGATGAAGATTTTCAGATTAATGGGCACGTTCTGCAAAGACTTGGTAAGAGTGTCAATGATGTAACATTGGATGTTTGGTGATTGGCATTCGTCAAGACCATCAATGATGATAAGACGTGGCAGCGGAATGTCGGACGAGGGGATATTGAGAAGCGGGTTTACGATAAGCTTCTTGAATTGGACTTCAATGGAGCGATGGAAGATCATAGGATCCTGCTCAATTGTTGCCTCGACGTAAGGGCGGGCCTCTGGAATAGCTAGGACGAGTTGATACGCGAGTGTCGACACCAAATTCTTCTCTGTGCTTCTTCCGCTGGCCATTCTGGAGAAGAAGAAATCTCCAATCAAGAGATTCTCTGACGCGCAAAGCTCTGCAAGTGTCTGCGCGATGGCGGACTTGCCAGCTCCGGCTGATCCGTACAGCCATTGCAAGAAGGAAGTGCTCGTGTCGCTCCTAGCCCATTCAAGTAGAATCTCGAGAATGGCAGCACGAGTGTTCGGATGGCATCGTGGTGGGTCGAATCTTTCGCCGGAGTCGTGAACAGCTCCTAGAGCTACGTGCTTCTGGAGGATGTCAAAGCCTGGGGGGGAAATTACGACGAGTTCATCAAATAGTGCTTCGCGATCAATTTCGCACCTCGTTGGGTGCTCTCGATGTGAGTGTATGAGCCCCCGGTGAAAACGACGTTTTGAGGCCGCGAAAACATGGGCGCCATGTCAAATGTTCTACAGTGGAAGTTCGAAGGTAGAGTTCTTGGGCAATCTTCAGGCTACGCGGAGACCCAAGTTCATCCACTGTTCTTCAGAAGTCGGGGGATCGGAGAAGTATGGGGAAAGGGGGGAGGAATATAGACTGGGCTACATCCATTGCTTAAATAAGAACAGGAGTGCATAGGACGCTGTTCGAGATAAAGTGACAGCGGCTGTGCAAGCCTGTGCCCAGCGGACTCTGAAGTTCCCAGCACGTGCATATTTTGGCGCCCATGCATGCTGACGCGGTGATACTGAGACGGGATTCGACCCAACGTACTGTGAAGCGTAAGAAAATTATGATCCATAATAAACATTAGATACCTCTACCCAATGGAAGCTCGCCGGGTCCACGAAAAGTGCTGGATTTCAGAAAATGTATACCCTCATAAATCCGGTCTTCCATTGTGAGCTCCGAGTCAGGGCTCACCCGTGACAGAGCACTCACATTCTGGGGTTCCAGAGCGCTCTTTCTTCCACCCCTTTCCGCATCGTTGAGTTTTCCGTTCTACGGATTCTGTAGACAGGACAATCGGGGAGCGGATATAACGTCATGCTAATCGCTAGTCAATTCCAATAATCTAGCAGTGTCCATTCTTGGTTCTATTTACTCGTATGCCATTCTCGCTTTCCTAACACTGGCAAGTGTACATTCAAATACTCATATACTAAAAATACAACTGACTGTGCAAGAAAAATATTTCAAAGATGTTATACAACCCAAAAATAATAAAACCAGGAAAGGCTGGCCTTCGAAACCTTCGCCCATCAGGAGGGCTATAACCTATGGGGAAAAGAAAATTGTGTTGCAGCTTTCTGATGTCGCAGACGGCTCTGTGCCCCGCGGCCGGCGCGGGTCGATCGTCCAGCACCCAACGCTTCTTGAGACAGTCGTTCAGTGTCGCGGAGTGCGAAGCTATCCGCGAAGGCGATCTTCCAGGTAAGTATAGGTCGCGTCACGTCTTCTGTGGTTTGGGCTCCTCCGAGGTCCAAAATGCAGAGAAAGGACTTGGAACTAGCGAAGGTTACGGTCGTTGACAGCCCGGCCACTATTTCCGTGTGATGCTGGCAACTTGAAAGGACAGCGTCGGTTGGTGAAGTGCGTGGCGCGTCGCATCGAAACGCCGCCGGCCAATCATCTAGTGCACCACACCGACACTAACCCATAAGCCTCCTGAAGACATGTCCAACAGTCCCACTTGTTCCGGACCAGTCGAGCACCCGCCCACAGTTGGTCCGCACCATGATCTACCGCCGAACACCATCACATCCTCGCCCACAGCGCCCACCAAAAACAAAGATTCGTTCCTCGAGATATGACATTTTGATCTCGAGGTTTACTTCTCGCTAGCAGCACTGACGGTGATCGCCACCACAGCGGCACCTACACCCACATACAGCCTAGCGAGTGTCTCGCGCCACATGAACGCGAGGAGAACGAGTAGCGCGCTGACGATACCAAGCTCGCTTTTGCAGGACGGTGAGGGACGGGGTGGCGCGCGGTACGCCCAGTGCGTCGCCCAGTATTCACAGAGGGCCGCGTGCTATGTTAAGTTCGTCCAAGGTTAAAATAAAGATGGAAGGGAAGGTGATATGAGCGATGATGAATTAAGAGGAGAAAGAGCGCCATAGCACCCACCGTCAGCTTCTCGGCCTGTATATCGCGTTTCCGCTCGCTCCATTGGGAGAGGGCTTTGTCATCTTTGTTAAAGACGATGTCATCTAGCTCTTGGAGGTATTCATTCGCCGTTGAGGTGAGATAGAGCGGTACGCGGTTGCCGCTCTTGGTACCTCTCCGTGTCGCTTTAGACAAATCATAAATATGACGCAACTCAGTAGGAGGCTAAAAGATAGACTCACGCCGAGGAGAAAGGTAGGGGAAAATTGAATCTGGTCGCTCGATGAACAGGTCTTCAGGAATCCGGAACTCCAGTTCGGCCTCCGAAATGAACCTACAGCCGCCGAGTCAACTAGTCAGCAAGCTGTCCTTCCATCATTTCACCATGAGCAACTTCGTTGACTTACTCCGCCTTCAGACAGTTCTCGCAACACCGTACACGACATATCCAAGAGATTTGTTCGACCTCCAGCTCGAAGCAGAACTAAAATGTCACGTCTGTGAACAAGCGGACGAAGCGTGAAGGAACGTATAAACGCATACATGGCACCAGTTGTCGAACGCCAAACTTGCGTAGGCAACCTCGGTAAGGTCGTTCGGGCAGGGTGGAAGGGCTCGCACGCTCGACAGGGCTGCTCGCCAGACCCCACGAGCGTGGCGTGCGAGGAGGAGCCTGCGCAAACCCCAACTGGTACGAGAGAGGTGCAACAAATCGAGCGGATGCAGATGGCTGAATATCTATAGGACAAACGGGAGGAGTGGACATGTTAGCTCTCGATCCCTGATCCAGGGAGTGATGATCGACGTGAAGTAAATGTGTGAAGTGACAGATGCAGGGAAGGAAGGCAACTTGGGGGCATGACAAGAGAAGGGGAGGGGATTCGTCGTTCGGTCATAACAAGTGAGGTGTATTTTTATGCTTCGGTGAGTGGTCGGTCATGCTGTTGTGAGGGTGATTACACCGGCAAGTCAACTCAATGACATGAAGCGGCAAGATCCGTCGCGCGGAGAGCACACGATGGAGAGCAGTGGAGCTTGTAGAAAGATGAATAATACACACCTCATACAATACATCCTCAGGCATGGTCACGATTAACTCAAGCCTGCCATTCGATCTCGCCTCCTTTCCGCCAACCAATGAGCCTAGTAGAGATTGTCCTGGATGACAGTCAGGTTAGTCCAGCGATTAAGGCCGTTCATGATCGTGATGATGCTGACCGTTGTTGGAGGTATCATTGGCGCCCGTTCCGAGGTAGTACATGCTATCCCTTCCGTCATCAAGCAGGGCTCGCGAAACTGATTGTAGACGCATATGCATGAGCATACTGCCTCCACTGGAGCCCGGACGCGTGCGGAAGAAGAGGTGGTCGTCGGGGTAGGACCAGACGCGCGACCTGTTGCGCTGGTGGTGCAAGCCTGCCTGGTGGTAGAGTCGCGCGTCAAGGTAATGATGAGTGGCCATCGCTTCGGAATCTGGTACTGGACGAGCTCCGAGAGGAATGAAGTGGCTGGAGAGGGGGGTGGTCGGCAAGATGAGGAAACCTGGGAGGATTTATAGTGGGCTCCTACTGGCCCTGAACTTGGTCTTGGATTTCCAAAAATAGACGTGACGTTATGATTTCGCTGTCGCACTTTTGCCTGCCCCGGAAGTCCATCGGCGTCATGTGGGCAGATTAAACGCCCTTTCGTCCCCGCCCGAGTCTTCGCTGCCACGCTTGACTGTCCTGGACTTGAACATCTCGAAGCCTCGGCCGCCTCGCTTACCGACAGTAGAAAAGGGCTGCATACTTCGTCTTACTCAGAGCCTCACAGAAGACCGCAATAATGCAACTGCCAAACCTTCCTTTATTGTGATTTTAAATTTCATGGGGCTGAGGTCCGGTCCGCTTGGCGACGCCATAACGGCAGCCCATGCCTGCATCCAAGATGCGGCTTTCTGGGGAGTCTTGGGCAAACCCCTTGATCTTTTGAATTCATGACTACCATCTTATGGAACTACTAACTCTCGCAAGACATAGATGTAATGACATGATAAGAATTGGCAGGTTCTCGTTTGTTTGATGCGTAGACCTCCTCAGGCCAGGCCTCAGGGCCGAAGACTGAATGGCCGCCAGAGATTATCACCTTATGCCAGATTTCTCATGAGCATACCGGTCAATGGGGTAGATATTGGGTAGATACTCAATTGTGGGGTTGTTTGTGACATGCCGGGAATACTTAACCTAGCAGAGATGGCGCTTTCTAACGCAACCTTTAGTACCGTTATTTGCTTGCGGTGTGACGATCACATACTCGCTTCTGCCGGCATTTCATTGGGACAGGACTAAATCGAGACCAACGGGGGCAAAAGTTATATTTAGACAAATACGGCAATTTATGCCTAAAAGGAACAAACATACCAGCGACGATCGGTAACCAATCAACGGAGGCTGGAACGAGGTTGGACCAGGTAAACGCCCTGTTCTCCAGCGAAGGAGGGGACATTCTATCGGCTAATACATGCCCCTACGCTTGGCCCATCACCAACTGAGCTCAAATTCCGCCAAAGCCCAGTCATCTCAATCGTCGAGAAGCACTGGTGCGTCCCCCATCAATGCATTCGAAAGAATCGCACACAATATCCTGAAGAGAGAAGTATCCTTGCAAGTGGCCGAATCTCCACGACACTGGGCCTGTGGCATCTACGCACGCCTTAGGACAGAATTCGGACAAACGAGTACCCGAGGGCATATTCTTCTCTCATTATTCGTAGCTACTATCCATCAAAGATACACGCGAAACTTTATCTTGCCGCCGTGTTTGGTGTTCGATGGGGCAAGATTTAAAGACGTAAGCATTGCGAATAGGTGGTGTCATTCCGGGTATGTGCCTCTTCCCCGAAGCCTATGAGAACTATCATCGCGGGCGAGAAATGAAGATACTCTATTTTTGAATCACATGTCTTCTAACTTGATGTCGCCATACATGCCTGAACCACATACCAATCGGCATCGTGCTGCCCCAAGAAACTTTAATGAGACAATTACGGCTCGGATGGGCTACACTAGGACCATCCGACCGCATAATTCAAATGTATGGCAGGAATCGACGATCGCCCAAAAGGTGCAGCGTTCACTGGGGTACTAGGCCGTTTTCTTAGCCCATCCTCATATCTGACCTCCGTACATGCCAGTGCGTTTCAACCGGGATAACAACCGATCATCTTGTCTCGCAGCCGTGATAGACACACGCCAGTGTGAAATGTCCCACTAAAGTCCACTCAACTTCATAGTAGCGGTGTTGTTCCAAATATAGCTAGTGGGGCGGCATGATCTTTCCGGAGGACGTTTATTCGCCGGCCCGCCGGCGCCACGCGCCCAGAAATTCCTCCTTCTGCTGTCTTAACTATCGAGTTCGCATTACACACTTCACTGTAGTTGGTTATTTCTTTCAGTGTTTCACCTCAGGCTGGAGCTCTTTCCTTTAGGTACCCACCACCTAAGTCTTATCTGTACACTGCACACCCCGAGTATACTTAGGTGCATCCTAGTCAGTCGGAATCAGGATATTCCAGAAGTGCAAGGAGCCGTTTATGCATTGGGATTGATTTGTGCAAACGTAGCAATAACGCATAAGGATAATTATAAGAGGTGAGAGCAATCCAACACAATTAGAATAATCTACAACGTATGTGAGAGAAACCAGTCTCAAAGCAAATAGTCGTGTCCGATGTATGACTAGGACGCCCGAGAGCTGTCCATCGCAGCATCGGAAGGGAAACAATCTCGGGCATCCAGGGCATCATATCTTCGAGCACTTGCGCCACATGATGCCTCGGGCTCCAACCGTGGACGCTCTGACGTTGAAGCTACCAGCGGCGCCATCGTCCATCGAGCGCCACCAGAGGTACACTCCACGGACCACGAAATAAACGGACCAGGTTGCTGGATGACGACGGAATCGCGGTCCCGTTGCGCGCTGTCGTCTGAGGCTCCATCACCATGCAAGACCTCCCACCAGTCAACCACCTAATCATCCCAACCGCCTCTCTCCCTCTCGAACTTAATCCTCCTTATCTCCTTCCTCTCCCCTTCCTCCATCGCAGCCCACACCTCCAGCCCGCCGACGCTATCTACGAGCTCTTCCTCCCATTTCTCTTCCATCTCGATCTCTTTCTTCGTCTTCTTTCTTGGGGGAGGAGGCGGCGGTGGAGGCGGTGGCGTCTTCCTGTTGGGGTGCAAAGGGGCTATGCGTGAGAGGAGTCGGCGCGATGACTTCATGTACGGCGAGTACGTTGTGGCAGTGGGCGTGCCGGGGTGGGCGCTGGAGGCGTTACTGTTCTTGCGTACGAATGGGGAACTTGCAGAGGGAGTTGGGAAGGGCGAGCCGGGCATTGAGTTGGCGCGCCGGATGAGCTCGGACATCGAGGGACCGCTGCGGCGAGGGGCGATTTCGTAACGCGCGTAGAGCGGCGTCGAACCATCGGGATTAGGCTTGATGCTCGTGCTGCTTGAAGGCCGGGGTGTTGCAGAGACTCTCGACGAGGCCACAGGCACTGCCGGGGAGACATTTTCCTAGAAAACATGAAGGAATGAGAATAAGATTTGCATCATCAAGACATTGGAGACGAACCTTGGTCGCCTTCCTCTTCTCTTTCTCCGACTCTTCGGGAGTTGGCCGCCTTTCTTCATGAGGAGGCTCTATGAGCGAGTCTCCTTCATCGTCAAGATGTGCATCCTCCTCTTCCGAGATGGCCACCTTCGACGCCTTCTTGAAGTTGTTGCTAGTTGACCTCTCCTTCACAGATTCTTTGGACGTCTCCTTCTGCTTTTCCTTGCCCTTGCCTTTCAACTTCGATTTCGATTTCACTTTCTGGACCTCAACTTCGACGATGTCATCCTCGTCAGACAAGACAACATTCTTGCCTTTCTTCTGTTTCTTCTTCCCCACAGCCTCCTCTTCATCTTGGGCCTCGTCCCTGAACTCATCATCCACTTCAGAGTCGACGATCGACTTCCTCTTCTTCGATGTTGTCTTCCCTTTGGCTTTTGGCATTTCAGTGTCCAGCTGGTCCTTAGGGGAAGAAGATGAGGCAGTCTTCGTGCGGTCTAATGCAGAGCGAGAACTTGACGATAGGCCGGCAGACGAAGAAGCGACGTTGGAAGTCGTACCAGGAGGCTCAAGGACAGGATCGGAAGGGGCAGAACCCTGGTCTCCTTTCTTGTTCCCTTTCTTCTTTGTTTTCGTTTCTTGGGCCGTGCCTGTGACGGACCTCGAGCTAGACGGTGCAGACGAGGAAGATGATTTCGTCGATTGAGGTTGCAGTTCTGGGCGTCGTTCCTCAACAGCTGGTTGATCGTGTCCAGCTCCAATGAAGGCGTTATCGTTGGTAAGGCGAAGAGGGTCTGCATCCTCGTCGGAGTCCTCAATGAACTCGCGGCTCTTGAATGTGTCTTTGTCTTGTAGCTTGCCCTTTCCTTTGGTGGCTGTTGCTTTGGAAGGCCCTTTGTCTGCGCCAGTCGAGCTGGACGTCTTTTGAGCATCGCTTTTCTTGTCCTTTGTTTTCTTCGACGTGATTACCACCTCTACTACCTTTTGACCTTCCTTCCCCTTTGCTTTCTTCGGCTTGGGTTTAGCTTTAGATTTTGCCTTCTTCTTCCCTGAACCCTCTCCCGAAGGATCAAAGTCTTCATCCGCCTCGTCCTCGTCTAGGATGGGTAGAGGCATGGCGAACGCGTCCGGATCCATGTCCACGTCGATGAACTCTGTATCTTTCTTCTTTTTGGATTTCTTCGGCTTCGAAGCCTTTGGCTGTGCTGCGGTGGGGTCCAGGGTAGGAAACATCGTTAGGTCAACCACCTCATGCTCTGGGCCTGGAGCGACACCAATGGAGGAAGAAGAAGAGCCAGCGAAGAAAGTGGGTGGCATCATAGTCTCTGGTATCTGTTGGTATGTCATACGTCGACCAAGACCATTGGAAGATGACGTCTGGGGTTCGTCGACGCCCTCCTGAGACGTGCGTTGACCACTCTGCCTCATCTGTCTGAGCTCCTCGGCGTTTTCGTCGAACATAGAATCAGGAGACGATCCTCGTCCTGGCTCCAGCGTCTCAATACGCGGGAGGTCCCTATTGCTGTTCCTGTCGTGCTCTCCGTACCCTCCAAAATCCTCTTCGTCGCCAAATCTTGTTGGGTGGGACGAGCCCGGGGGGTCTGATGGTGGTAGTTGTGAGATAGTAACTTGGGGTGGCTTGCCTACATAATGCGGAGGGGGCATGACTGAGGGAGAAGTGGCTATAGGTACTTCAGGGCCAGTATGAGAGGAGGGAGTGGAACTCGGGGGTCCACTCGGAGGCCGGTTGCGTGCAAACGGATATGCGAAGACAGCGCCAGGGTCGGCGATGTCGTTATTGTGAGTTGTTTTAGGACGTTTTACGATCGGTCGAGGGCGTGGGCGAGGGCGTACGTTCGGAGGTCGGTCGGTGGTTGAGTCGGAGATAGTGGCAGCTTTTGAAGTAACGGGGGTCTCTTTCTCCTTTGCTTTCGGTTTAGATGTAGTTTTGGTTTTCACTTTAGGTGACATCTTTGCCTTCTTCGAGGTGGATGGCTTGAGGCCGAGTTCGTCATCTTCATCCGAGGTAAGCTCGATAACGTCACAAAAGACGCCCTTGGATTTCGACTGTGTCCGCTGGCGCGTTTTGGCCCTGTCTGCAATAGTGCCAGTGGGACCAAGATCGTCGTATTGAGGGGTGGTGAATGCGGTGGAAGTGGATGTGTCGGTGTTATTTCGAGGAGCTTGCTTGGGTCGGTTATTGAAATTAGTATGCGACAGCTCCGCTGTGAATTCGGATATCGAAGAAATAGCCTTTGCTCCAGGTGCAAGGCTTGTCATAGTAAACGCGGAGACAGACGATGTGGGGTCATAACCAGGTATTGCATCTGACACTGTTACTGAGAAATGTGGGAAGGTTAAAGGAGTGCTCGAACGCACCTCCGGTAGGCCTCGAAACTCCCTCCATCTCATCCTCGCTATCCGCAATGACCTCGTCATCATGTAGTTCGCTCGGCGTGCCGTCCATCCGCCTTCGTTCAATTGCAGAAAAATTGCTAGAAGTGCCGGGAGCAAGGAAAAGCTGGGTTTAAGGTTGAATTAAGGATAGAAATGCGATGGGTAATAAATCCAGGGCGAAAGGCACCGAGCCGGAACACGATCAACATAGGGTGACTGTGACACAATCGTGACCTGACGCGTTCGTGACAAAGGAACTCGTAGTTAGTTGGCGAAATTACGCCCTACACACGTGATGTCCCGATTTGGCAGCCCTTAAACACACTAACTAGGAAGGGGGTTCGGCCGCACGAAGGAAATTTCACAAACTGGCTCCTCCGACTGAGAGCCACAGCTCATGCCACATGAACAACTGAAGAAATTATGCACTAGGTAGAGTAAAAACCAGTAGCAGCCCAATAAACATCATTTATAAATACAGGTTTTGAAGTGATTGAAAGCATGATGTATTATCATTTAAGAAGTACAAGATCTAGTGTACCGAAATCATGGGCTTGCACCACAACGTCCTAGAAGTTATCTCGGACCTGTATACAATATTTGCTGATACGGGGAATGAAGGAGAGCGCGAGGTCGGATGGGTATACGATGATTGAACCAGAGGCGCTTGGCACGGTGTCGGTCTCGGAGACGCGAGACCTGAGCGTGGTTGACGCGACGCGGAGAGCCCTACGTTCAACTCACTGCACTTACTTATGTACCACCAAGGCCTCCAGCGCCAAACTGTGTTTTTCCCTGCGGCAGCCGATCGCACGCACGCACACATCGTGCCTCTTCTCGCTGTGCTCTTGCATCTCCTGTGGTGCGTGCACTTCCATGTTGGTGTGGCATTGGTGGGAGAGGGGCGCGGTCAACGCTGAGGAGGGTCTATGGAGGGGAAAGGGGAGGAGGGAGAGGGAGAGGGCATGGGTCATCGACGATGGTGGTGGATGGGAGGGCAAGAAGCCACCCGATGGCTTTGATCAGAACAGTGTGGAATCGAGCGGTTAGCGAAATCTGCTCGTTTGGTCGATTAGATAATGGTTTGCATAATGAGTGCCCGCTTTGGACATCACGTGCATGGGGCGTAAAGGGAACTCGTTGCGTGGCGCACGTCGCCAAGCAAACTTGATGCGGGTGCAGTTCTCGGAAACATTCCAGTGCTGGATACTCGTGGATGACTCGGATGATTCTTGCAATATTCACGAGTATCCGCACCACGGAAAGATTACACCTTTTCAGATCGTGAGGTTCATTTCAACTTTTCTACATTTACAACAACCGTGTATACATCTCGTATAAATACGTAAAGCCATGGGCGAACTGCCTTAGTCGAGGTTATCGAAGTCGTACTCGCGGGCAAACATAAGCTCGTAGTCGTTATCGAGGCCGCGGCGGGACTTCTTGTGCTTGAAAATCTTCCTTTCCTCGAGGTCACGGCGGGACTTCTTGTGCTTAAAGATCTTCCTGTACATTCCGGGCTTCGTGCATGCGGGTGCCGGCGCGGTGGTAGTGAGGCGGACAGTGGCGATACCGTTCGAACCAGTGGTGGTCGTGGAGGAGGTATTGCCGGGTGCTCCAGTGACGGGGGCAGGTGTGATGGTGGGGAAGGGCGCAGAGGACGTGAACGAGCCTGACGCGGTGGGACGGACACTGAACGAGGTGAACGATCCGGAGTGGGAGGTGGGCACCGCGACAGAGGTAACAGACGCTGAATGGGAAGTCACGCTCGCAGAGTGCGAGTACGATTGCGAGTGGCTGTGAGAGTGAGAACCCTTCGCGTTCTTCTTTGGGTTGTTTTTCTTGTTCTTGTTGGCGTTCCTGTTCTTGTTCTTGTTAGCCATACGCCTCTTGGCATCTCGGAGTCGCCTGGCAGAGTCTTCCTTCTTTCTCCGGGCTTCCTCGTTGCGTCTGCGAGTCGCGTCACGGGCAGCGTTCTTCTTGTCGCGCTGAGCCTTCAGTTCGTTGGCATTGCAGGAAGTAGGCTTCGGTGTGTAGGTCGTGGTGAGAGTCACGGTGTGCCTGGCAGGAGGGTGGCTCGAGGTGTGCGAGGGGATGGGGGTCGATGAGGTCGTCGATGAGGTCGTCGACGAGGTCGTAGAGACGGCGCGGAGGTAATTGAAGACCTCCTCGATCTCGCGGGCACCCATGCCCTCATAGCCTTCGTACTCGCGCATGTCGTACTCGTTGAGCTCGTCGAGCAACTCGCGGGCCTCGTACGAATTCATCAAGTACTCTCGGAGGTCGAACTCATCGAATTCGCGTTCCACCAAATCTTCGACAGTACTAAAGATACTAGTCAGCCAGGGACTCGAAGAGAACAAAAGTAACTTACTCGTAAGACATGGCAAGGGCAGAAGCCGCTCCGAGGGCGACGACGGCGAAGGTAACAGCAGAGGGAGCGTGGACCATTGTGGATATGAGTGTACGTGTCGTTGAAAGGGCGTCGACTGGCAAGTTCTGTAAAGGAGGTGGAGTTGATTGCTTAGACCTTCACTAAGTGACCAGCACGAAGTATCGAAGTGGGGTGGGTGAGCACAGCTGAAGAAACATCGTCGATTGGTGTGGTCTTTTATACCCCCGCCATATCAAATCGGTCAATTCGGACTGAATGGTAGGGAATCAAATTTGGTGCGGTTGCGGGTGGTTGCCAGCCAAGAAAGGGATTGAGGCCTATTGAGGCGTTCATGACCCCTATATGGTTGGGGTACGGGTGCTCAGAGGTTGATCTGAGAAGCAGGTACGCTTCTGCACACGCTTGCGATCCACTTGCAATGACAAAGGTGAACGACACACGCGGCGCTTATGAGAGCCGATTCTATCTGAAATCGAACGGGTTTCGTCCTGTTTCGTCCCGCCATCTAGAGAGGGAGAGAAGAAAAAGAAAAGCGCATGCACACTTCAGAAGTCTGTGGGCGACGATCAGTCGACCCCTCGGGCCACAGGAAGCACTGATAGCACGCAAACTCACATGGGTACCAGCGCTGTGCGTGTCGTAACCTTGATTCTCCTCGATTGAATGGTTGAGAGCCCTCGATAGCGGTTGGGTAACCTGACAACGATGCGCCTTTTGGTTCCGACGAGAGAAAGACATACCATATCTACAGCGCTAATCAGGACGGACGATAACGCGGTATAGCCTACTACATACTGTCGAGCGAGACTCGAGGACGTAGAGTCAGACGCGTAAGTTTACCTCAGCTCACTGACAGTAAAAGACGGAAGCAAAACGTGTCAAGTTTGCTCTCTGGCTGAGCTCACATTTTCTTTTCATTCACGCTGACTGGTTCTGAGTAGGACCCGACGGACGGTATCGTAACGACCTCAACACCTTCGCAACCCAAGATATAGTCGCCGCCGCTCGCCACTTCAGGAGCGATGGGTTGGTTGTGTGCTAACTGGGCGTTGGATCGGCTGCGATTCACCGATCGCAAGGATGTGGCTGTTCGCAGAGACGGTCGGAGTGGTTGGGGGTGTTGAAAGCCCTTCTCTCCATCTCGCAGCAGCCAGCCGCACAGTATAGACGTGTAGTTTCTAGGAGATCCATAGCACCACACACGGCACCAAGGGTTCGGGCATTCCGGTGGAAGAATTCGAGCCTGTTGACTGGGTAGATATTTCTATAAACTGTGCACAGAGCTGGGGTGGTGCAGACAGCTTGAACAGAGGCGTCCGTCGCACTTCGGCGAGGTTGTTCAAGGAGGTTAACGTTAAGGCCTTAAAGCCTTAGGCTGCGTTCGGGAACAAAAAGATGGCATTTGATGGCAGATATTTCCTTTTCAAGGGCTCCGGCTTTTCCATCACATGCTAGATGAGTGTGACGCCATTGTGATGAGCTGTTCCCAGGACCCTTCGGCATTCCCCGGCTCACCGGTATCGATGGTGCTTTGGCTATTGGAAAACGATTTCCTCCGCATGTTTGGTGCAGTACACTCAGTAAATGTCTATTAATTACAAATGGGTAAGAAAAGGAGGATAAAACGGGAGGAAACCTCCGCATTCTCGTCATTACTGTGAGGAATCAGCAGATTTGCCTGTGATATGCGAGTATCCTCGCCCGAACCATATTCCTAGCGAGTTATTAGTGTATTAGTGTATGTATAAGTCATTTGCCCTTGTTGTAGCCGAATATACAACCACGCTGAGTCGCATTTTCAACTTCAGGTGAGGTGCATCCCATTTTGGTCTGTCACCCACGGCGTTTACCGGTCACCCTTGCTCCCATCAGGGCATCACGTGGTCGAAAAGCTAGCCATCTTTTTGTTCCCGAACGCAGCCTTACGTACTTGTTTGGTCTTGCTGCTCTCAGAAAAGTCCCCGACCGGACCGTTCAGTCCAGTCAGGTTCTAGTGACGACCAGCCTGCTTTCAACCATGATTTAATCGCGTTTCTTGCCCACCGAGTGTGTAATGTCGCCATTCATTGCGCCACAAGTCGTGCTTTCTGGCCTTAAGGAGAGATTCGAGTCATTGGCGCTTCAAGGTGGAGTATTCCAGGATATTTATGCCGTCTATGGTTGACAAGGGCCACAGCGGATAGATTATATCTTGGAAGTTCGACAGGAAATCTTCATATCTATAGTACAAGTGCGACTGCAATCGCCTCTCATATCTACGTTGGAAGCTAACGGACCAGTGAAGCGGAAGGTGCAATAGAGTTAGTTGAAGTGAAGAAGAACCTAGTAAGACGGTCAATCGACCAGCTAGGATTCGTCAAGGATGTTAACTCCCTCGTCGCTCTGTCTGGTGTGTACATGCGTCCATATCCTGCCCAGTTCCAACGAGTTAACTGACTACGTTGTTGCTCAGAGATGAATGTTACCCTCTTTCCTATACCATCCTTTGCACCACCAACTATCCTGCCAAAGGCGAAGGCCGCTTTTTCCTTCTCGGTATACTCTTATGTTGAGAACGTCGATTGCCCTCCAAGCCCATCAACTTCCGACAAACCCCTGGCAAAACGGAACCAGCCGATCCCAACACTTGTCACACTCTTGCTTGTTGGATGTAGACGGAAAGCCGTTATATACTCGTGGAAGGATGGGGAGCCGCAGGATGTGAAGGTCTGTAATATCAGGTACCCGCTCTCTTCCTCTGAAACTGACTCCACACCTCGACTAGGAAGCTCCCCTACCACATTCTGCTCGTTCTATCGTCTTTCTCAACAAGGATACAGCATGTTTTGCATATTCGCCGACGGAATATGCAATATTCTCTGTTGGTACCATGACAGCAGTTGACATCGTCACTCCTCTGCCAGTGACGTCCTCGGGGACTGCGATGAACGCCCTGACAGGCCTCACCGGTTACATGACTCTTGGCCTGGGTGCGAAAGCGAAACCTGCCGTGGTGCAAGTTGCCGATGGTGAATGGCTTATTGCTAAGGATGGTGCGTAAATCTGGTTACTTGTAACTCTGTAGTAAACGCGCCGACAGGTCAGGGATTTTTTATTGGTGCTGATGGCAAGCCATCACGTACCGAAACAATTGAATGGCCTACACCTCCAGAAGAAATTGGTATGTGCCGGTCTATCACGTCCTTTCTGTCTTTTAAAATGAATCGTTGCGTAGCTTTTGTTAAGCCATATGTCTTCTCTGTTCTCCCAGCAGGAACAGTCCCAACCCAATCTCAACCTTCCGAATCATCCTCACCTTCCGCCTCTAATCAGTCCGCATTCAATTCCACTGCCGTTGTCCAGATTCGCTCCTCGCTTTCCCTTCAAGTCGCACAGACCTTACCCTTCCCCTTCAACACCGCAGTGTCAGACATCAACCCCACGCAGAATGCACAAGTGCGACTCTTGACTTCGTCTGCTTCGGCTAAATCACCGTTGTACCTGTTAACCACCCCAGTGGATAAGACAGCAGCTGCAAACGAAGGAAGCTCTGTCTGGCGGTTCACTCTCCGGCCGTGGTCAGATCAGATTGACGAACTAGTGCTAGCAGGGCAATATTCCGATGCGTTGGCTCTTCTCGACACGCTCGACGAGGCACAGATCTCGGACAAGAACCAACGGAAGATACGTATACGTGCATTGAATGCTGTGTCGCAGTTCCGCGCCGCTAAGTTCGACCAGGCTATCGACGCGTTCATCGAGCTCGATTTCAACCCTGCGAAAGTTGTCGCTCTGTACCCCGAGTCTGTCGCTGGTCGACTATCCGTGCCACAAGACCGCTGGATACCGCTGTATGGAGGCCCTGTTCCCATTGCGTCTGCGACGACGAAACCGGCAGCCAAAGACGATGACCACTCGATTTCTGACCATTCTCACGACAGTGGCGATAAGGACAAGTCGTCGATACACACAGGACATGAGAGGGCAGCGACAGAACTCCTTGATAGCATTGCCTCTGGCACGGGTTCTGTGGGTGGAAGGCTGCGGAAGACGGGGCTAGCTGGGTTGGGAATGTTCCTCCCCAGCGGGCCTGCGCAAAAGGACGATGACACGGCATCTGTATCGTCCAAGAAAAAGGTGCATCTACACGGTAAGTACCATGTTCTGACCTTCTCTAAGCTCTCATTGATGTTATTCTCCTGCAGATGATCTCAATCGTTCCATAGAGACCCTCGTGCGCTATCTCGCTGACCGGCGGCCAAAGCTTCGTGCAGCCCTTGAAACTCTTGGTATCACCCCCGAGTCGCAGTCGCACCTCGCTGCGCCCCTCTCAGAGGCTTCGCTCGATGAGCTCTTCGTACTACCCAATGCCCCGCTTTCAGCACTGACACCAGAGCAACTACTGCGATTTGCGCAGATTGTAGACACAGCCCTATATAAATCGTATTTGATCATCCGGCCAGCGTTGCTTGGAAGTTTGTGTCGAATTGCGAATTGGTGTGAAGTATCGGAGGTAGAGGAAGATTTGAGGGCCAGGAAGGTGGGTTTGGTGTTAGGGCTGAAGTTTCTTTCCAAGGCTCATACTTTCTCTTTTGCAGAAATTCGCCGAGATGAGGGATTTGTATCATGGGAAGAAGATGCATTCGAAGGCGCTGGACTTGCTTAAGGAGTATGTCTTTGCCAGTGTTTTATATCTCTGTTGTCGTTGACAAAACTTTAGGCAGAGTGAACACGAAATCGACCTTGAGGATAAGCTGAGCCCTTCGATCCAATACCTTCAGAAACTAGGCCCAGAGTATATCGATCAGGTTTTCCACTATGCCCAATGGATATTCGAGTGTGATAGCGAGATGGCGTTTCAGGTAGGCCATGCTTTTAACTACCAGTTAGGTTGTCACTTATTTCTCTTGTTTTTGTAGATCTTCACCTCCGAAGACGTTGAACTTCCAAAGAAGACCGTTGCTGACTATCTAGAAACCCTCGACCCAAAATATTGTGCGACATATCTAGAATACATCATCGAGGAGCGCCACGAAGAAACGCCGGCGTTCCACGATCGATTGGCAGAGCTATACTTCAATATGACGATGACAGCAAAGAAACGGAGCGACGAGAGTCAGTAATGTTCTAATCTTGCAAGTCGCGCGGCTCATAGCTTATTGCAGAGATACGGAGAGAGGCCTATGGCAAACTCCTCAAATTCATCAGCATTGATGATAAGTTCGCCGTTGATCGCCTGTATGGCCATGTCTCTTCAACCGGTACGTTTATAGGTTATTCGCATAAATGTATCCGTAATGTACCTTCTGCTAGACCTTCATGAAGCTCGAGCCATCCTTCTAGGAAGATTGGGTCGCCATGATCAAGCCCTTGAGACATACGTCTACCGATTGCAGGACTATCTGAAGGCGGAAGAGTATGCTTCTTTTTTTTACCCCAACCACCAAGACCACTCATTCATAACGCTGTGTAGATATTGCAAGCGCATATACTCAGCAAATTCACCGACCAGTGGTGTCTTCCTCACTCTTCTACGGATATACCTCCGGCCAACAGAACGAACGACAACAGACCTCCTTCAACCCGCCTTGGATCTCATCAGTCGACACAGTCCTCGCTTAGACTCTGTGGAGACCTTGCAACTCCTTCCTCCTCTTGTCACAACGGACGACATCCGTGCCTTTCTGATCGAGGCCCTTCGTGCGCCGGTATTCGACGCTCAGGTCATCCGTAACATTAGCAAGGCTAGGAATGACCAACTTTCGAGGAGGCTCATGGCATTGCAGTCGAAGAGGGTGAAGGTCACGGATAGTCGGATGTACGTTCTCAACGCGAATTATGTGTCTACCGACGTTGACGCTTTCTCGGTCTCTAGCTGCCCTCAGTGCCATAAACGGTTGGGCAATAGCGTTATTGCCGTCCATGCTCCTCGGTGCGTTTATGTGGAGTCCTTCGTAGTTTAAGTTGCTAACCTCTGCAGTAGAGGTGAAGTTACGCATTACAACTGTCGCGAACCTTTCTCAAGGCGGTTGCACGAGCTTCGAAGATAGTTTCTGCTTCATCCCTGCTATCCATCTTGTACATTTCTTGCTCCACACAATGATACCTACTGCATGATCCATTCAACTTGATTTTAGATTCGAAGAGTGCAACTTTTTAGGTCGTATCAACTCAGAAAACAGAGAATTTGAAGATACGGGACATGGGAATGAATTGCTTGGATGGCCTAAGGAAATATTTCTATGCCAACAGTCTAGTAGTGCGATGCATTTTATAAATACAGCATAGATACAACAATTTTACAAGTGTCTGTCTGTCCTTCCTTTCTTTTTGGACCCTATGCGACAAGTAATCAATGGCAAGTCCTTGCACAACGTGTGCAAATTTTACAACATGTGGTTTTTTTTGTTTGTTACAGGTATGCCCGCCTCTTGACACCACGCACGGCCTCCTTGACAATTTGTAGCCAGCCCATGACCTTGTCGACCTCGTCCCAGGCGCCAGAGGTCTGCGCCTCGATCTTACGAAGGAGGAGACGGCGGATGATGCGGGTGTCCTCGTCATCATGTTCAGTCAGCGTAGCGGCGACGGAGACAACGGAGGAGGCGGTGGAGTAGATGGTCGATATTGAGGCGAGGCTTGGCCGGGACGTGATGGCGGTAGAGTACCCTAGGAGGCCTGGCGAGAGTGGCTCCCCATCAGCGTCAAGCGAGGCGGTGGCGAACTTGGCTTGAAGGTCAGCGAGCATTGCTTCACGTTTCTGGAAAGAAAAGGTGATGAGGTCTTGTTGAAGGATGACAACAACGAGAAAGGCTTACTTTGACAGCTCTCTTGACCACCCGTTGTGTTCTTGAAATAGAGTGGTTTGCCAGATCAATGAACTGCTCAGCCTAGGGAAAAGAAAATCAGTCATCTAAGTGGATGAAAGTGGAGTTACTGATAGGAACTTACAGCAGCAAGGCATTCATGGATGCTCAGCAAATCACGATATCCTGCCTCCAAAACAACTTGAGAAGTCCGTAGAGCATTGTCGATGGATGCATCAATGGCATCTCCACAATTGCTCATAGCAGACTCGACGCGTATGACCTCTGGGACGACATCCGGCTTCTGCTCATGGACCACAATCTCCTTGACTGGCTCGACTCTTGGTGGGATAGTCGGATGAGGAACAATAATGCGCTTGATCCACGCCTTGACTGCGCCGGAGAGCGTGTCCTTCTCCTTTTTCTCCGCCTTAGAAGGATCGAGCTCGAGTTCACGAATCTTGTCCTCCAGCTTTTTCTTCTTCCTCATCGCCTGCTTGAGCCGTGCTGCGAGCTTTGTAGGAGACTCGTTTGGCGTGTTCGTCAACATGGACCGCTCCTGAAGTTGGTCTAGCTCGCGCTCGACGTCTTTCAAGTTGTCAAAATACACCCGGCTCACGGGTGACTCAGCAGGGGTGTGCGTGCGTGTAGAGGGCATCGGGGAATCGGGGACGGAGAAGGGTGTCAGAGGCGTAGAAGGCAGGCTGCCGCTTGCGTATCCTTCGTCCACGACAGTGACGACGGTGAGTTGGGAGTCCTCCGACTCGCGGTGCGGCCGCTTGTGCGACTGCAGTGGTGTGATGCCGCGGACCATGAGCTTGCCCTTCGTCGCGATCGTCACGACATTCCGGACGGAGTTGATCCTCTCGGCGCTCTTCTGGAGCTCCTCGACCACGCGCGATGCCTCCTCTATCCGTGTGCGGAAGTGCGCCACGACAGTGTTGGACTGTTCTGTCGTCTCCTCGACGCATGCCTCCAGTTGATGGATTTGCGAGACGTGGTGGGTCGCGGAAGGCGATGTCACACGAAGGTTCGACAGAAGAAGTTGGATAGCAGAATCGATGTCGACATTGCCCGCAGTGTATATCGAAGAGGTATCGTTCGAGGTGTTCATGTATTTTGAGTTCAGATCAGAAAGCGAAGTGAGCGAAGCAAAAGAATCTGACGGCCGGATTGTGTAGTTCGAAAGCGCAGAGGCAGACCGTTGTTCGTCATGGCGGAAGGCAGGCAGGAATTCCCGTTTGGCAACGTCCATAGGTGTTAGTCTGATTATCAAAGTCAGTGATAAATAGACCGATATAGACATGGAGGAACATACCCTCGAGAGTTTTTCATCTCGCGGACAGTACCAATGGTGTCGCAGTCCAAGAGGAGCATCAAAAGGTCGATAGAGTTGCCATGTTCAGCGGCGATGTGTATACAAGTTTCGTCGTCCTTGTCTCTTGCAGAGAGGGGAGCTCGGAGATCGTGGATAAGATGAAGAACGAAATCGTGCAAAGAATGTGAAGAACCAGATGCTGATGATGTTGTTGGTGATGAAGCATGGACAGAAGGAGATTGAGCAGAACGAGCGAGTATATGCAGAGGCGTTTGTTGTTCATGAGTCGTGAAAAGCGAGACGTCAGCGCCGGCCAAGTACAACGCGTCGAGAATCTCGATCGATGGCTGGGGCGCTGCGACGCAGTGATGTACAAGACTCCATCCGTTGGAATCTGGGATATTTACAAGGACAGGAACGGACATCGGGTACAGTGCGGGTGGAGACGAAGGTGAAATAGAGGGAGAAAATAGCAGCGAATGGAGGAACGCCGAATCTGAGGCGTGGATAGAGGAAATGAGAGTGTTGGTTAACCTTGCGGTGGCCTCTATCGTAAAGATGGTCGCAGGAGGTGATTCGAGGTCTTCGGAGAAAGGCATTGAAGAACGTGCAAGTTCGATGAGGTGCTCGCAATCTGAAGATAGTCTTGTACGCTCCGCGGACTGCAAGAAAGGGTTGAGTTCAGTAAAAGAAGGCGTAAATAGGTCGGGTAAATTTTTTTACTTTGCTTTCGCGCCAACGATGCCGGCGGAGTACGGTTTCGCAGAGCCATAGAAGTCGAGGATGTGCGAGAGAGAATTGTAGCGACGTTCGATGATTTCTATCTCTGAAGTCGGGTCGCGCGCCATGTGACAGCTGTAAACAAAGTGAGCTGCGCTCGACGCGACGTACGGGGTGCAAAGGCCGTACCAGAAGTTGGACTACTTCTAAACTACCGTCGCGAGCGGCATCTGACAAGGCGAACGTGTAAGGGCGACTTGATCCTTCTCAGCACAAAATTACTCACACATCAATGCCGTGGCCCCATGGGAGTCCATTCCATCGACAGAGACGGACTCGGCGCTGTCCTCAAGCAGCGTGCGTACTGCCTGCGGCTGATTGAGCCAGGCGGCCATTCCCAGAGGAATTACGCCGTTCATTGATGCCTGCGGGGCGTTGAGAGTGAGGAGTGAAATGTCGGGATGAGCTACTAGGGTGTTGAGTATCTTTAGGCGGTCGGGGGTCATAAACGACGCGTCACACGCGTCGACGTTCTGCCAGCTGCAGGCAGTGGAGGTCAGAAGGAGCCCAAGAGAGATTTTCATAGCGAAAGACGCGTACTGTTCCCCCGCAACTGCGCACATGATGGCTGTCCGACCAGCGCCGTCGAGCGCGTTCGTGTTCGCGCCTTGGCTCAAAGCGCGCTCGACGCCATCGGCATCGCCGATGAGCGCTGCGTGGTGGAGACCGTAGTTTTCTAGCGGATTGTGTGTTGAGTCCATCGTGGAATAGAGAACGTCGTGGAGAGGGAAAAGAGAGTCTAGCGAGCACGAGAGCAATGCGAAAGGTGAGAGATGAAGGAAAGAAGGAGAGCCGAGAGAAGTCGAAGGGAAGACGTGAGGATACTTTTATTACTTGCGGATGGAATCGAGGACGTCGCGGATGATGATGAGGGCGGATGAGAGGGTACCAGCATGAGGAACATATATGAAAAATTCAATGCGGACCCACGGCAGACGCCTGCAACGAGGCAGACACAGACCGCCGACATGCCAATCAGAAAGCCTGGCCAAGCACAAGGGATATGGGGCCCTGCATACCGGGACCCTCCTCCCCCAATTGTCCGTATACAGTGGGCCTCGAGGCTAACAATGCCCGACCATCACTGTCCCAAACTCACCATTTGTACACCATTTCAATCACTTTGCATCCTTCTTCCGCCTCGCTTCTCCGCATTTACCTCTGCTCAATATTTCGTGCGTGTGGGGTATACACAAGGGACCGGAAAGGAAATTTGAATGGAGGCGCACACCCTCCGATGCCTGCCGTGGTGACATCTATGTGAACTTCTTCCCCAGGTCCAAAAATGAATGCCATAAGTCGCTGATAGGCCGTCCAGGACTTCTCTCCCATCCATGCTCGTCTGACGAGCGATGGCTAAGTCCACCAATGCGCGCTGAAGATCAAGCAGCTATCTAGTATCAAGTCAGAATCACACCTGCCGCTCATCACACTGTCTGTCCTCCTGGGACGCATCGGCGTCAATGCACGAACCAATACGCTTCAAATACCGGTAGAATCACCACCCTTCATCTAATATTCCTTTCACCGGATGCCTCATCAACACATGTTAGGACATTTCGGATTTCTCGTCCAAAGGAGATGGATGCGTTTAGGCGACATGAGGTCGAATTCGACAGCTAGAACCCGCAAGAGACCCGGAGCGCCAATCAACCTCATATATTCACCAGTCCGCCACATCGACGTCGGACGGTATAAAGAGCATCCGAATTCCAGAAAAATCCATCACTCCCAGTGGAGCTTCAGTTGCAACTACAGCGCCGCAGATCAAGTTAATGTATGTATGAAATAGTTATGATATGTAATGAGAGGTTGGTGCTTGTCGTATGTATTGTGGTGGTGTATAATTACATGAGAGGAAGGAGGAGAACAGAATTTAGAGAAAGCTCGAGCGAACTGGTTGTTTGATGCGATATGATGGAGATTAAAGTTATGAGATGTCGATGTCGACCCAGGGCCATGGAAAGGACATAAGAAAGGGAGTTCCTGATATCGAATAGTAGGGTCTAAAGAGATGCGTCATGCGCATTCTGATCATGCCTTCAAACCCGTCGCATCCGAAAAGTGCGTGGGTAGAAATCTTGACGACGAGAGGGTCGTTGATGTTGATGCTTTTCAGGTGGACCAGACATCAAGCGATGTCGAGTGGTATGCTAGAGAAAAGCATCCCTGGCTAGAGAGCCCTACAAAAGCAACGTTATTCGCAGCCTTCTAGTTCAGGCGATGTTTCTCACCTTCACTTGATTGAAGTTCGCGATGGCCCTCTCCAAATCCCAGGCATTGCCGGTTAGACAATCAACTGCGAACTTGGCATTCAGCCCCGTTCGCGCGCAGACCTCAATCACAAGGTTGCGTTGTGCTTCAGGCTAACGAAACAAGGAAAGAAATATGATGAGGACCAAGATATGTTCCAGAAAGGACTGACGCCAACATACAAGAGAAGCAAGGGCAGCCTGCTGATCTGCCGGGAAATTGGCTATAGAAAATGGTTGGGCTGCACCTGGTGCAGGCTGGGACTGCTGACCGGTCGCCTGAACTAACAACGGACCAGCCTTCCACGCTTCATGACTAGAATAGCTGCGAATAATCCACTGGTCTGACAAGATAGCTACGTCCCATCCATTTAGTTTGGCTCTGGAAGAACAAAAACAACGTTAGTTTTCTTCTGTTACTCAAAAATAAGATAGACATAAAACGTACCGTGAACCCTCTGTGGCAGGAACGAGCATGAAGGTCCTGTCAAACGAGCGAATACCACCAGAAGAGACTATCCAAAAATAATCAATATCCACATGCCGATAGACAACAACAAGAAGAAAAAAACAGCATACCTTCCGTGAACTCTCCATGAATGGTCAGGAGCAACCCCATACTCTGCCCATGTGGCACAGGGAACGAGTCCAAGCAGAACTTCTCCGGCGGACCACTGATATCATGCCTGGTCGGTGGGAGATTCGCAAGGACCTTCACGATCTGTTCGCCGCCAATGTGCAGATTCCCCAGAGTCTTTTGCGGATCGCCCCCGATGCGGTTAAGATTCCGCGAGCCTGTCTCGAGCCACGTCTTCCAATCCAGCTTGCGCTGGTTTGGCATCGCTGGCGAGGAGTGGAAACCCACAACACGGGCACGTGCCGGGATTGAAGTGTTGGCCGAGAAGGAGAATGTCGCGGCCGTGTCATATGCTCCCATGAGCAAGTCGCGTTGGCTATCAAATGCATTGAAGAAGCTAAAACGAGGTTAGCAGGTTGTTTAAAGAGAGATGCGAAAGAAGGTACCGACCGGGTGAGAAATTTGCTAACGATTGCACCGTCCACGCCAGTGACAAACGATGGTCCCACTTCGAAAGGAAACGTCGTCGCAGTCGGCTTCTCGACTGGTACATGAGATGCTGAAGGTTGTGGAGCATCAAAGGAGATTTGGGTAATGGGCTCTTGGTCCAGAACTTCGAGTGATGTAAATCGGCGGACCATGTCGCTACAGATAGGTGAGATAGGAGGTCCAGATATCGGGATGAACGACATACGCTCGGTAAGTTGCTCCTGCCCCATTCTTGTACGCCAACTCTCGGATAGGGTTGCCCGTCAGAACAAGCTCCCGCAGGTGAATCATCTTATCCTTCCTCGGCACAATCATGCTGATTTCCTTCTTGTCGCGAATCTTGTTGTTTTGTAATGATAAGTTCACGATATTGGGAAGGTAACGACCCAGTTGAACGAGAAGGGTTCCGGTTAGGTTGTTGTTCGCCAACGACAAGCTTTGGATCTGGAATGACATCAGAACGTTGGTTGTGAAGATACGGCGAACACGTACCTCTGGTTTTAGTTGGCTAGCGAGCTTGAAGATGACGGCGGCATCACGAGACGTTCCTCCATGTCCTGGCGGTGTAAGATTATACTTTTTGACAAGTTCGTCTTCAATCATGGACTACAGGATTGCTGTGTAAGTACATGAAGAGCGTAAAGAAGAGGCCATCCATAACAGCAAAGTCTTCAAGCCATGCAAACTTACATCAAGGTTGAGATATTTCGCCTCGGCATTATAGCGCTTCTGGACAAACTCCCTCCAAGAGTCCACTGCTTGCTTTGGTTTCGCCACACGAACGGGTATTGCTGATGGCTGGACACTTGCTCCGGAGACTGCATTTCGTCGTATCCGCCCGACTGCCGTGGGTCGAGCGGCGCCGCGGATTGCCAACGGGTCCGAAGGGCCAGCATGAGCGCTCGTGGATAGCCGGATAGGCTGCTGCGTACAACGTTCGAGGGATCGGTAAGCTCCTGGTCAAGTACTTCGAGTGCAAAAGGGAGAATGGAGAGACGATGGAGAGGACCGGTGGGAGGGACCTTTCCTGTCAAGGTGAAACGAAGAATGAGTGGTTAATAATTACCATGCGCGAGCCTGAGGGTCTGTCTTTCGTGAGGTCGAGAATACGTGTCGTCCGTCCCGAGCGAATCTTTCCCTTCCTGCCGCCTGGATTGTCTGTCGCATCCCGCATGACTGTGTCTCGGTCTATGAGGCCAGCCCTGCGCAGTGCACTTGCTGCGATGGACTTGCTGCCCGGAGCCGGAGGTGTTTGAAAGAGCGACATCGCGGCACACTGAAGGATTTATCGACGTCGCTTTCGTGTTCTGATGATGATTGTCGAGGCGAGAGTGTGTGTCGGGGAGGAGACAAGCGCTGTGGCGATGACAAAAGCGAGTCAAAAGAGGCTGGGTGGCATCGTGGGTCCGAACTTCCCACGGGGGTTCCGTTTCCCAGGCTACCAAATCAGGGCATCCTCCACCGACAACTGACTTGTTCTCGACAAGTCCATAGCCTTCCCCTACCCACTCGACTCTAGCAGAAAAAGATCTTGTATTGATGTAAGCATCGCCTAACAGTCTTCATCTGATCCATCTATCTCGAAATTACAGAACAGAGAAGGTCCAAGGAAGCGTCCATTTTCCTCCCGCAAATCCGGAATTGCATGAAGGTCAGAGCCGTTATCTGACTCATGCGGCTCGTTTGAAATCCCAGCATCCGATTTTTTAACAAGCTGCGGCGAGGCGGACTTAGCTCGTTGGTCAACTTGGTTCTCTGGTTCCTTGGTCGCAACAGTGGGCAACCCGGTTAGCTCGGTTTCAATGGCATTTCTCCAAACATTAACGTCTTGAGGCTTATTGTCCCTTCGGCCAAGAGTGACTCCCAGTACGAGTCCCAGGGGCTCGTCAGCGTCAGCACCTTCTTCTAATCCTAGTATTCTGTCGATCTCTTCCTCGAGACTCTCTTCCTTCCTCGATGGTTGTTGCTCTGCTAGTTCCGACCCGGCTACTGCTTCAAATAAATCGATGAATGTTGGGTCGTAAGAATCATCGATGTATCCGCAGGCCTCTTCGTCGACGGCCTCAGAGGCTATCAGCTCCACTCCCATTGAGCAGTCGCTCAAGAGGTCTGCAACTTGTGGAGACCCACTATTCAGCGCATAGCGATCTTCGACAGGATCCTCCGGAACGACACTTGCACATTCAGGTTTTGTATTTTCACCGACAATACTTTGAGAGATGTTTGTGCTTGTGGACCCCGGAAATGTGTTTACGATGTCTGGAAGGCGGAGAATCTCTCCGATGGTTGCCCATGGATCTTCTCGTTCAAAGAGCCTTCCATATACTGAGGATGCATCGCGCATGCCAGTGACTCGATCGTGAGGTCGATGAGCTCTTGCAGGACCTAGTATGACGCATGCTGGGAAATCAGGATGAGGTGTCTCGTCGCCAGTTTCTGAGCTGTCGATTTCTAGTTGTCGATGCCGAGGTGAAGGACTACTCGTCATCCCTCTATCGTCGTCCAGTTCCAAGCAACGAGAAAAAGAATCCCAATATTCGTTCGTCTCTTTGAAGGATCGGTCGATCCTCGACCTAGATGGTGATAGGTGGTGTCGAATTGACCAGCCGTCTGAAAAATTTGTCCCTTCGGAGAAACCGCTATCATGGAAGTCTTCAACCTCCAGTTCTTCACTGTCTTCCTGCATCGGCCCTTGGCCCCGGGAAAACTTATTGGCTTTCGGGGGTGGAGATGGCAATGCACGATAGTGCAGATAGCCGTTGTCGTCAATCAGTGACGTTCGTTCGAGATTCTGCGAAGAGCGCGAACTTCGTCGCGGGGAAAGATCGCGACGGGGTACGGTCCCCTTCTGTTCCCGTTCCACCGACGGCTTAGATATCATCTTGTGTGAGTGATTGGACTTGAATCACTGTTTAGTTTGCTTACCCGATTCTTCTCTCTACCGATGACACTCGAACCTTCAGAACGACAATCAATCTTTGAACCATCTACTCTTCCTCTCGGCTCCGACCTTGATGAGTCCCACCTCGACAAGCAGGCAAGATCAGGCATGGCTAGGATTTGTTCTTCTAACGAAAATAGCTAAGTAATATATCTATGAACATGATCCAAGAAGATGTTTCTAATTGTTGACTTACGTTCAGTGCTGTCCAATTTGTCAAGGATTTCCGACCTGCGCTCGCTCGAACTGGATGTATGCGCGTCCTTTCGTCGGATATACCTTCTTGATCGCGGTGTACTTGGAGATATGCGAATGGGGCTCGGGATAAACCATTTTTCAGCTCCTTCCCTTGAGGGCTCCAGTTTTCTATGAGCATGTGCCAGAGAAATGGTCGATGGCCCAGTACCCTGCCCAAATGTTGAACCGACACGACCAAGTGGCTGTTCCGAGGTTCTTTCTGAAGGTTTCGTTGTTGTAAGCCCTCGAGAAAGCATCTCGAGCCTCTGGCGTCCGAAGTGTCCCTTCTGTACCCTGCCCACCGCGTCTCTGGCCCGGGCTTTGGCTGCATTCCTATGAAAGGATAAGGTTCCTGAAAATTGTGGCGTAATCTTATCGTGGCAAGCGCGTACCTCTTCCCACCCATATAGTTGGCACCTGGCATTCTTTCACGAATAAATTACAGCATCGTCCTTGATTGCTGACAGTTTGGTTTTCAATGGTTCACTATGTTCGGTAAGGCTTGGCAAATGCATCTTCCGAACGTCCTATAGGAACAAACAAACGTCAACACAGTTCTCTCGAAACGTTGCTTTCAGAGCACACCCCGTTCACAATGTTATCGACTCTCAGTAGCACGGAGTCGCAGTTAGCGCTCCTAGAAAAGCAAAGCCGCGTTGGTCACTGGCTCTCCTTCCCCTTAGAAGTCTTACATGACGCTTCCGCGCGAAAAAGGAACCAGTTCTCTCGGCCACACCTCATTGTCCGATTCTCATGTATTCTGAACTCTCTTGCCCTCGGAACGACGCAATTATGGGAGAAAGTGGGTATTCATGGATAGATTTAAAACCCTTTGGTGAGAAGGCATCGTTGGTCATAGGGTCAACTAGATTACACACGATGAAGCTTCGCATGAAGGCTGTTCGATTAAAATATGAACCAACCGGGAGCCTATCCTCCGTTCGTACCTCCTTCAACCACATCTTGTCCCCGCAAGGATGACAGGCTTCAACCATCCCCTATCTATGATCGCGTTCCTTCTCTTATATCCACTGCTTGCGATCGGAGCGACTCCGCCTCCCGGAACCGTCGACGTACAGCTCAGGACAGGAATCTTTCGCGGTATTGTCACCCCTAACGGCACAGAAAAGTGGCTCGGCATTCCATTTGCCCAACCTCCTGTGGGCAGTTTGAGGTTCAAGGCTCCTGTTCCAATCACAGCACCGTCGAGGGCCATAAAAGATGCATCCGCATTCGGAAACGCATGCCCTCAGCCTCCAGTTGCTAGTCTAGGTGCTCCTGTTGGTGAGGATTGTCTGCGCTTGAACGTACGTGCTCGTCTCTTGTTGCAGAAACTTGAAGAAGATTTATCAGTGTTTTAAGATTTGGAGGCCTCAAAACGTCAAAAGCAACGCGAAACTCCCCATCTTATTTTGGATCCATGTTGGTCTTTGTTCCATTTCCCCCCGAATATTTGTTGAGGTCGGTTTCAGGGGGGTGCCTATACGACAAATTCGGCTTCGAACCCAATGTTCGATCCAACAGGCGAGGCTGCATGCACCCCACCTGCCATTTTTTTCGGTGTTGAACAACTTGTCCAGGCCTCATCCAGCGGAGCGTTGTAATCGACAAACCGATTATCTTTGTCTCAACGTGAGTAAGATCTCCATTCTTTTGAGCCCATCAGACTGACGGTTGCCATCTGCAGGAATTATCGGGTCAATACTTTTGGTTTCCTGGCCAGCGCCGACGTTCCGTCTCAAGACCTCAATATGGGCCTACAAGATCAAAGATTGGCTCTGAACTTTGTCCAAGACAATATTGCTGCCTTTGGTGGTGATCCATCGAAAGTACGGCCTTTACAATGCCTGTTTAAAACGATGCTGACAGAATGCCTTGCTAGGTGACGATATGGGGTCAAGTCAGTAATTTCTGACTGCTATTTTCAGCACCCTCTTAACAACATCGCAGTCCGCAGGGGCTGGCAGTGCACAAGCCCATTTTGTCTTTCCACCCGCGAGGTCTCTTTTCAGAGCAGGAATCGCCGATTCTTCTACTGGACCTTTGTAGGTGCTCTGTTCTCTCCTCGCGTCATTAGCATCGATCAACTTTGATACAGCAAAAACTCGCCAGGTGTTGGCACATATGACAAACCAGGAAAACCTTTCGCACGACTACTCGACGCTACAGGGTGCGCGCCAGGAAGGCACTCTGTGGCATGTCTGCAGAAGGTTCCGTTTGAGGTTCGTTTTATCTTCTTCCCGCTGTGAACAACGTTGAAACGATTCTCGGACAGACTCTCCTCAACATTTTGAATGCCATGATCCGGTCAACACTTAACAACCAGCTTTGGCAACCTTCCGTTGGACCGCCTGGAAGCTTCATCCCTGAACGAGCATCCAAGAGGATCGAAGCAGGCAACTTCCTCCATCTTCCTTACCTCGCAGGCACGAACGTATGTTCTACTTCGTATTAAGTTATTCATCAATCATATGCTCTCAAGGTTAATGAAGGTACAACCTTCAGCACGAGCCTCCGTAACCTCCAACTCTCAGGTTCGGCAGAAACGGCTGCCTTCCAAAACTATATCCGGGACCTCGTCATCCATAACAGCACATTGACGACCGGGGTCTTGGATAGGTTTGCCACCCTCTACCCCGCGAACGATCCTGCCCTTGGAGCCCCATTCAATACAGGCGATTCTCTCTTTGACCGAGCGGCGGCGTGGTACACCGATATGATGTTTTTGGCACCACGAAGACTGTTCTTCCCGCGTGCTGCGGCTCTACAACCGATGTTTGGATACTATTTTCGGGAGTTTATTCCTGGGAATGATATCACTCTAGGAGGTGAGTTTGGGTTACACAGGATAGAGTATCTGCCGGAATTGCTCAGTTAACCTCTGACTTTTTCTTACACTAGTGGCGCATGTTTCTGAGTTGGAGCTGCTTTTCGGACCGGTGACGCCAGTGGCAGCTGTCGAGAATGACCTTTCTAGGCAGATGAGAGACTTTTACATCAACTTTGTCAATGACCTCAACCCTGGGCGTACGTATTGTCTATTCATCCACGGTTCGTCTGATTAATTGTACCCTTCCTTGCAGCTGCTTGGGTGCCGTATACTCTCGGTTCAAAAAGGGTCATGCAGCTTCTCCGGGATAATATGACCATGATTCCAGATGGTATGTTGAAACGCCTCCATTCTCTTTTGAGTCGGCAAGGTCTTACCAGTCCTCCAGACTGGGACGTCGATAGAACTTCCTTTATCAATACCGCGCGAGTTCTCGACGAATTCGAAAGGTAGATGGATAAAGCGGTGCGATGCCCTTAATATTACTGAAGGCAATCAACATGTGCTCATAGAGGCTAACCCCTCAGTGACGAAGTTAACTGATGTAGTTGTCTTGGATAGATGGTCGGGCAACAGCCAATTAGACGTTACTCTGTAATGGGAAGGCTGAGAGCTTGTAGGGCAGCGTGCTGTAATCTCCTCAGACCGTCATCACATATCATGAAGTACAATAAGTCCATGATCTCGCTACAGGTCTGCCGACGGTTGACTCGTCGTAAGGTGTACTTGGAGTGCGGTTGACACTTGCTGTTGTTGAACACGAGGATTGACTCGGGCCATCTTGTAAGTTCATATCGTTTGCATTCAAGGAACAGAGGGGTTGATCATATGAAACTCGTGGAGCCGCATGAAGATGAGGTAAAGGCAACGTTGGGTGTCTGGCAAGTCTTAAGAAGTTGACTTTTGGATTGTGAAGAGATTTCTCCAGTCAAATTTATGCTAGTCTGACATTGTCAAGGTCTTAGGTCCGATGAACTGTTCCCTTCATACGACAAAATTTACTCTGATTAGTAGTATTAGCCGGAGACCCATTCACTAAGAAGACTCGAATTATAATGGCGCGTCTTGTCGTCCGAAATATCATCAGTGACCTCGTCAGTCAAATCTAGATCTTTCATCTCGTTCATTCCCCAACATTCAGTGCCTCTGACTCATACGACGCAGCTGCTATTTTGAATCTGTAGCTGTAGCCAATGATTATGACTCACCTAGATAGTAGAACTCCGAGTCCATCGGCACGGCTCCGAGTCTATACCTATCCTTGTCTTCAAAATGACTCTCAAGATAAATATTCCCACACGGTGTTGCATACTTGGACTTGACCCGTAATATTTATTTCACAACTTCGAATGCCAGAGCATATTTCAGCCTTGTTGAAGTCATGGGCCATGAGCGACGGAGGCTCGGAGCACTGCGGGGGATGCGCCACATGGATTAGGTTCCTTATCGGGATGACCCTGCCGGTGGCTGTGCTCGTTTGGTGTTGCCGGTCCGGATCTGATGCATGATGACCAACCTTGACCAACTTCCTCTAAATAAACTCTTTCCAGGAGAAATTCCGGCGGAGATCCATCATCAACGAAGACAGCGCTGATCAGATAAAGACTTCATTGCCCGACACTACATTTTCGCATCAACCTCGAGGGTTCAAATATGTCGCCATCCTTTGTTGATCTCACCCTCTTCATCCCCCGTTTACATAGAGAGGCATGACCTCAAGCACCGAAGGCCGTTCAAATGGCGAGAACAGCCATACGATTGCCAATGGAGTCGATCGTGAGGTTGATCACGTCGCCCCTGATCAAGAAAAGCCTACTCCGTTGCCCGTCTTCCAGCTCTTCATCGTTTTCTTGATCCAGTTTGCAGAACCCGTCACAGCCACGGCCATCTATCCGTTCGTCATCCAATTCGTGAAGGATACAGGCGTCACACAAGGGGACGAGAGGAAAACGGGTTACTTTGCTGGTATCATAGTGCGCCTGGATATTTGTTTCGATTTGCAACGCACTCAATGTCTTCTTTCACAGGAATCGACCTTCTTCTTCGCGGAATGTCTCACTGTCGTGCAATGGGGCTATCTTGCAGATCGATTTGGCCGTCGACCAATCTTGATGTTAGGGCCTTTGGGACTCGCAATTGGGATGCTACTCTTCGGCTTGTCGACAACGTTTTGGCCGCTAGTGTTCTCTCGGGCTTTGCAGGGTGTCTTCAATGGAAATATCGGTGAGTGGCAGTTGGGTTCCCCAGGCACTACGTCATCTCATAGAAGACTCCCTCTAGGTGTTTCTAAGAGTGTCATGGCTGAGGTGGGTCAGTCGCCATGTCGTCGTACGGCCTGTTTCTGACCGAATGCACCAGATCACCGACTCCACAAATATCGGAGATGCTATCGCTTTCATACCACTCATGTGGAGTACTGGGGTGACCATTGGGTGCGTACACTAGTACTCAGACGTTTTTGTATCTTCGTCTGAGTTGCATGTTAGGCCTATCATGGGAGGCATGCTCTCTAACTCGGCCACTCGCTGGCCAAATACACTGGGTCGAATCCACCTTCTGAAAGTACACCCATACCTCCTTCCGTGCGCGGTTGCGTCATGCATTGCATTTGGAACTTTCGTCATCGCGGCTTTCGGCCTCAAAGAGGTGGGCACTTTGCAGCCACTGTCATGATTTTTTTTCGCTTACGTCTTCTAGACTTTACCGTCCCTTGTTGCCAAACAGAAGCGAGAAAACCGGATTAGGGATGCATCCAATGACCTTTTTGAAGCTGTACCATCCGAAGACAGCCCCTTGATCACCCATGAACAAAACTTAGGCTATGGCACTGACCCCGCCTCAAATCAAGGTCACCGTGCCGACCTGCTGGAAGTGCCCACAGTGGACACTTCTTCCGAAGCTTCAGAAGGGTTGCGTGCTATATTCACTCGTCCTCTCCTTATAATCTTCATCAATCTCATCTTCCTCGCTCTTCTGGAAATGAGCTACTCAGCGCTTTTACCACTCGTGTACTCCACCTCCATCGAATTTGGAGGGCTTGGATTGGACCCATTCCACATCGGGGTAATTCTAGGAACTTTTGGTTTCATCAACTCCTTTGTCCAGATGTACTTCCTCGGTCAGTTGATACGAGCCCATGGGCCGCGAAAGCTGTTCATCGTGTCGTTCTCTTGCTTCATCGTCAGCTTTTCCTCGTATCCAGTCATGAGCTTCTTCGCCCGTCGGGCTGGAAGAGTGGATACCATTGTCATCGCCTGCATTTGCATACAGTTTGGTTTCCAGATGATGATTTACATGGCCTTTGGTGCGTCTATCCTCCCCAAGGATTCCAGTGTACAACTTACATTTTCGGCCTGTAGGTTCACTCCAGGTCTTGCTGGTGCAATCCATCCCAGAAGGCGGGCCGATGGGCATGGTCAATGGTGTCGCCCAAATGCTGTCATCGGGCACGCGGTCCATCGCACCAACCTTCGCTTCTTCGCTCTTTTCCGTGTCGTTGCAACGTCAGCTTCTTGGCGGAAATCTCGTCTATCTCGTTCTCATCGGTTTAGTTCTTGCCGGCATTCAAGCCGCCCAATTCCTTTCAAACCCACCGGAGAAGAAGGAAAACAGGAGGTCGCAGCAGTCGACGTGAGTCGGCATGATGGCCCAGAACTCGAGCGTTGATCAGAAGGAACATTCGAGTGGGGTCTCGGTGTCGCTTTAGCGAATACCCTTTTCCAACTTCCAAGGGAAGGTATTCGATGAGAGGCTTCAGCAGATATGTCGTACGGTGATGTTTGAAGACCTTTGGTGCGCCCTTCATACGAGCTTTTACGTGTCCGAGGACAGTTTGCCTCGACGATGCGGGATTTACGGCTTTCTTTATGAATTACACGTACAGAGCACTGCAATAGATGTCACCTGGGAACACTTATCTCCTCGTTAAATACCCGAAAGCAGTGCTATCATCTCGCAGTGCCGCACGACCGCGGCCTTCCCCAGGAATTCGACTGCAGACGACGCTCGGATCCGAAATCTGATGACGAGGAAGCGCACACGCTCGTTGTGGATCACCTCTCCCGCGGTTAATCGTTGTGATTCTAAACAGCGCACGACCACTTCCGACAAACAGCTTTTGGATTTACCTCGAGCAATGAATTCTCTTGCAAGGCAAGGTGTGTTCCTGCACACTTCTGCACTATTCACTAAGTAGATTGGCATTCAACAGACATACTTAATGCCAATTGACATTGACTCCTATTAAAGTCAGTGCACAGTCGACACGCACGGCTCCAATACATCGAGGATTCTGCCTGATTCTCCTGACGCTGGCGGCGCACGCTCATAAGCATCCGCGGCACTCCAGCACGTGTACGACGTCGACTTCGCTTCTTGGGCCTGAGCTACACACTTCCTGTAAGGCTGTACGTCAGCTTACCAGAGCTTAGGGGAAACTTTCACGGGGGCGAGGCCCAATAGATATGTTCATGCGTATCCACGGATGAATGTTTCCGAGGCCTCTAGGATTTTATTTAAAGGTATAGCCTCTGCACGGTAACGCCCCGGTGACTCTGCACAGTTCCTTTCCACTCCTTTTCGTTCCCTTCTCCGAGCGTTGACGCTGACGGCCCTCTCTGGTTGACGGCCCTACACACCTTCTGGACCCTTCCTTGGCTCGATCGCGCAACCTCTTATACCCCAGGTCCCCCGTTGCACACACCAAGTCGACTCCTGCTTCTCTTGGTTTTAAACACAAGACCTTGCTGCCGACCCAAAAATAATTCGCGCCATTTCCTGCAACCTGTTTCGTTTCGTTATTCCGTAACTCGCCACTTTGCCCAAGGTAAGCCGTGTTCTGACCGCCTGGCACGAATAGGGGACTCATCATGATGATCGACAGTCTTGAAATGTTTACCATTCACCGAGCACGACCATATTTCCAACTTTTTCCCGCTCCGAAGCCGGAGGAGGATTACCCCCAAGCAGTCGACCCCGAAGAGCTCGAAGATTATGCTCGCAAGCTGTTCCAGTTCTCCGGGTACCAGAGTGATGTATCCGAAGACCACGTTGACATCATAAACAGTCCTTACAATGAGCTCGACGTCGATTTGTCTGGCAACTGGAACGAAGACAAGCTGAGCGCCACGTTCTTTTCCGGTGGAGACCTGGAGGGCGGGGAGTACGACTACCCAAGTGGCGTGGATGACCACCGCGAACCGTATACGCCTTGCTCCCGCGGGAGCGACGAGTTCAACCGCGGAGCATTCTCGGGCAGCAGCCTAGAGATCTGGGACAAGGAGCCCGAGGGTGGGTGGCAGGGAGCATTCAGTCCGCGGGTTCGTCCCACCAACGCGCGCTACTTCGACGCCGACGAGCTGTATGAATGGATCCCCAATAGCAACTGCTCGGTCGAGGTACGAAGCGATGCAGGCGGCGACGACGTCCAAAGCTTTCGAAGGCGGCCGTCGCTGTGTGCCGAGGAAGATGCACGGGTGAGCGAAACAGGAGAGCGCGTTCGACGCGGCTCTCGGGAAGGCACCGATCTTGCAGAACTCTTCTCGCCGCGCTTCGTCTTCTCCGGAACGCTGTCGCCCCCCGTGGAGTCGAGATATGGCGGTGGTCATAGTGTTTTCCCGACGTTCTGGACCTAAAATTCGTAATTCGAAGACGCTCGTTCGTTGGAGGATGCGACACCTGTAGACCACTTGCGACTGGGGATCGGTAGTGTTAATTATATTCGATTAAGGACACTTCACGTTCTTTAAATTTGTTTCGGATACCTTCAGTAATTCTGTATCTTGTTAGGACTCTGTAGCCATCATAATAGAATCAACCGTCGTCTCATTTCAAACCTAAAGCAGCCACCGTACGGTGATGTTCTTTCAAACTGCGGTGTGAGGCTTTGCGTAAATGTCAACGATGCTTGCCACGATAAATTTATAGATGGTGTTACGTAGAGGGTGCCGCGCAGTGACTCCACGGCGCTGTGGATACACCGCTTTCACAGGCGGTGAGCGTCCATCCTTGCGCCACTTGTTGACGTCGACGTCGAAGTCCCCCACTTTAGATGCGCGATAACCAAGCTATAACATCTCCTGTTACCAACCTTTGAGACGCCTTTCCGCCCGAAAAATTATCGTTCTATGATACTCGACTTCTTTGTTTCAAAATCGATCTAATCGAGTGGTGGCCAAGGTCGTCAATAATCCACATGGCCCGACCGGGGAAGACCTACCAGAACAGTCTAGAGGTGCACACTGGTGTACGCAAGACGATGCAGACGCGAAGTGAAAGGCTCGCGAGGACTTGGGGGTTCAAACGTTCAGCAGTGGCATCAAGGATACATCGCCCTCATCATTTGAAACCAGTTCGTCCAAAGTTCATCATTCGGCATCGCCTGAAACACTCCGGCCGGGTTGGTAGCCCTCATTGATCGGCATGAATGAACGCCCACATCTTGGCTCGAATACAGGCCTGAAAATCTGTATAGCGAGTCTTATTTCTCCGCAACCTCGAGACCAAGAACTGACTTTTTGAATTTGCTGCAGGGATTCGTGAAACGTAAGGAACATCCCATGAATCATCGGGCTCCGAGCGTTCCTTGGCCTGGAGGAGCGGGATACACAGCCGAATGATTGATTGATTTTCATGACACATGGGGGTCACTACGGTGTCTCCCAGGAGACCGGGGGTCCTGGGGCGGATGTATAAAAGGACGTGGGCAGCGACCTGAATTCTCCAGCAGTGCTCCCATCACTCCCTCTTCGGTGCCAGGTTGCCCCTAGAGTCTTTCCGCTGGTCGACGTCCCTTCAAAGTTACTCTTCCTCGAATTCTTCGTTTGTTCCACGATGATTTCTTCAGCTTCGACTCTTTTCATCGCCTCCCTGGTTTTCAACGCAGCCTCCGTCCTTGGTGCCCCGATCAGGTATGTCTTCTCTGCGCTGTCTGAAGTAGGATCGAATTCTCATTTTTTTTCTCCTCAGGATTCCCGATGCCGGCTCTCAGGTTACCGCCCGCACTGATATTCCGGTGCAGCCCGCTCCGCCTGTCATCGTCGATCTGCAAGCCGGACACCGCAAGCGTTCTCGGGTGGTTGCCATCCCCCGAGCTCGTTTTGTTGCAGAACGCGGCCTTGCTCCTGTAACGGAAGCCATCGAAACTCGCCAACCGCTCGACATCGCTGTCCCCGCCGTCGAGAAGCGTGACGAGGAGCCAACTATTCAACGCCGCTACCCTCGCAGGGTCTACCATGACTTCTACGAGAAGCGCGAACCTGCAACGACAGTCAAGGAAAGCACCCTCATGATCACGAAGACCACCGTCCATGACTCCCCCGCCGACGCTGCCGCTTACGGCGTTCACCAACCCGTCCATCCCGGCACGGGCGCAGGGGCATTCCCGCACGCTATTCCCGGTGCTCCTGTTGATCCCCATGTTCCCGCCAATCCCCAGGCGACGGATGTGACCACCCTCATCTCCGTATCTCATACCACCACTCTAGCGGCATCTGATGCCCCTGCTGCTACGGCCACCCCTCCCGCAGGTGGTGATGCCCCCGCCGTGCCAGCCGGTGGTGACCCCGTTGCCACTGCTACCACAAGCACCAGCGCCGACACCCCAGCCGCAACTCCAGCGCCCCCAGCTGGTGGTGACGCTCCCCCTCCTCCAGCCGGCGGTGACGCACCTGCTCCCCCTGCTGGTGGAGATGCATCCGCATCTGCCACGACCACCTCAAGCGTCAGCGATCCCACTCAAACCCCTGACGCTGGTGCAGGTGCCGCCGACCCTGCGACTCCTCCCGCTGGAGGTGCGGAGAACGGTGGTGACGACAAGCCTGCTGGAGGTGATGACAAGCCTGCTGGTAGTGATGATGCCGCGGCAACCACGACATCTGATGCTTCCCCGGCCGCCACCCCAGCAGCAGGAGATGACGCGACCGCCGCCGGCTTCACAGCTGGTGGAGCGCGTCGTGCCGTAAAGGTATCGACGGAGCCAGTCGCTCGACGAATGACCTACAGTGGTGCTGCATGGGCGTCTTCAATTCGGCGATCCTTAGTCAACAGCAATTAATCTCGTATCGTAATTTTTTAGGGATGTATATACGTGCTGAGACTGTCCGACTGGTTTCGGCAGTGTAATGCATACTCTACACTGAATCTTCTAAATCCTGTGCGATCGCTGTGAGCTTTTGATTTCTCCTCAAAACCCCGGGCGAGTTGAGAGCAATGTCGGATGACTGGACCATCTCAATTTTACATTTTCAACGGGATGTTGTTTGAGCGTTCAACGTCAACGTTCAAGCTCAAGTTGGACGCACAGGACAGTGGTCATGCTTGCGTGAGAAACGGCTTTGTTCGGCTTGATTAGATAAGGGATATCGAACCAAGTTCATGCTTTGTTCTCGACGACCACAACCACTCCGAGTCGAGGATAAGGACAACTCTGGCCAGCCTGGTTACCTTGTAATCACCGCATATAAAATGCCTTGCATTCTCCGTTCTCCGTCCTTCATTTCCGCGACAGGAGCTCCAGGATAGGCCTAGTTCGCCGAGTGTCATACCGAACGAGCTATAGGTGCGTAGTTAAAAGATTCTACCTCGAAAAGCCAGTAGTTAAAGCGTCCATCTTTCAGACGCGTATAATGGCACTCATCTCTCAAGGGTTCGCCTCCTTGACTTCCTCTATATTCTCGTCTGGTAAGCAGACACCCTCCGTCGGCAGAAAAGGTCCAGATTGTTCAATTGTCACTTCTAGGACGCGCTGAGGATGTGACGTTCTCCCTCTCTTCTATCCGCATCTCTCTTCCAGTGAAAGCCGCCACCGTCGACATTCAGAGCCTCCGGAACTACAATTCGAGGCAGCCTATCTCACGACTTCCCATTGAACTGCTCTGCGACATATTCACCACATATGTCAACGATCCCACCCGTTCCAGAGTTGACCGCCCTACGCCCCTCGTCTCCCGCCTCTCTAAAGCGGACCCGACACTCCTCGGGCAGGTGTGTTCGCATTGGCGAACGGTGGCCATCAAGCTTCCAAACCTATGGACCAGCATTTTCATCGAAAACCCAGTGAAGACGCACGTCTATCTTACGCAAACTTGGCTCGAGCGTGCCGCAGGCCAGCCGTTGCACATTACCTTGTGGGATTCGGGTGATCTGCGATCAATGGGGTGCATTCTGACCGTCCTCGCGTCGTATTCGCAATTTTGGAAGAAACTCGAACTCAGACTGCCTCTCGATCTCGTCCCTCATTTCTGGAACATCACCAAACTCCCTCGAAAATGCGATATGCTCGAGGCCTTGGAATTTATGCCGCTAGGGGCAGTGTCACCGCTGCTACAGCAATACGACATGGGCAATCCTGGGTGGGACCGTCGCTATCTCCGTGATATATGGTCCTTTTTCTACACCTCCTCAGTCCTCAGCGACATCATTTGGATTGGAAGATTCGACGACTTTCTCCACGACAAGACCCCATACGATCAATTGCAAACCGTTCGGCTGCACAGCAATCAACAATATCTCGACGTTCAAGACGCCGTTGGGTTTATCGCTCGATTCCCGAAATTGCAGCACCTGAACACAGGAGTCTCGTTCACATCACAGCATCTGTCGTTCAAGTCCTTGACGACCACTCCTTTCGTTATGGAACACCTTCACACTCTTTATCTCTGGGCGAGGGTCTCACTTTCATTCGCCTTCTCACACTTGACCCTCCCAGCTTTGAAGGATTTAACCATAAGCTCCATGAGCGGTGGGGATCTATTGCTCGATCACTGCACACTCAAAGAGTTCTTCCACCGATCCAAATGTCAATTGGAGAGGCTCGTCTACGCAGACGACAAGTTGACAAATGACGACTTAAACGCGCTCCTCCTTCTACCCGAGCTCCAGTCGCTACGTTCCCTCGAATGTACGGCAAAGATACAGGACTCGACAATCAGAGCACTCCTTGCAAGCCAGTTGGATGGCTCGTCCTCCATTTTGCCGCTCTTAGAGAGCATTTGTTTCGAAGCATGCGAAGCGACAGATGGCTTGTTATCAATGATGGTGTTGTCTCGCAAGCCCACCTTGATGAATTTGGATTTACGACCTGAGGTTGAATTCGGCCCTATCGACGCAGAATTATTACAACCCTATGGATAATCTCTATATGCTCTCTCAGATATTCAATTTTAATATTGTCCGGCATGATGTCAAAGTCTTAGAGGAAGGCCATTATAACCAAAGCCTGGGAAGTCCTCCGCTAACGCGCAACTCCTGAGGATGCAGGTGGCTGTCCACGACTGCCACATCCAACTTCGTTATCTGTCCACGACCACGCTCGACATGTCTCCTAAGCGTGTTGCCCAGTTTGCGGAGTGCCCTGCTTCCGACAACTAGTGCGAGTCTGTCCAACTTGTGCCAGGATACGGCATCAAATAGTGGCTTCAAGTCTTCAATTGCGGTGATCTTTAACTCAAGTAGTTTGCCCAGAGATATGTCCAAGCGCGTGTTCGGTTTTGGTGTGCTGTCGTCGTGCATTTCAGGCACATCTTTGTTCCTGACGGTTTCCAATTCAGCGGAGACGAGAAGCGGGCACGCCTGCAGGAGGAAAATGGCGTCGTCGACGCATATGGTGGTCCCAGACATGCTGAGGCTACGAAGTTGGTGGAAAGGGATGTTGATGCATTTCTGTCCAAGCAAGGAAATATCACCCTGCCAGAAGAGATCTTCAAGGCTTGTCGCCCGGCTGAAGTCGACACAGTCATGGGTTGGAAGACGTCCCCCGAGTAAGTAGAACGGTCCTTTGTACGCCTCGACGGGTGATTTGAAAGCCATCCGTTTGAAACATTCAATTGGGCAGTCAAGATCGTCCTCGGTGCCTTGGAGACGCTCGAAGAGGGCTTGAAGGGTCAATCTGCCCAAGAGACCGTGCTGGTCGCTTCCCCAGCTGAACGAGAGCGAATGGTCATTCCGGTGTGAATTTAGCCTGATGAACTGTTCGACCTTTCTATCCAAAGAGACGATCGAGTCGTCTATCTCGATGGAAAGGGTGGAAGGTGGCTCGGGAAGTTGACGACCCCTCTCGGAGATGAGAGGCATGTGGTTGAAATTGTTTGCTAAGGAGTTGGGGGCACGGTTGGGGGAAATATCGATGGGTGATTCTGGCTCCATAAAAAGCATTGATTCCGTGGGAGGGAAGTCGGAGGACTCGGGAGAGTATGGCGGTGGTGATGGAGGAGGCGGGCATTGGGAAATGTGAGCATCTTGGATTTGGGTTGATGCAGCATCTTGCAAAACGATGTCGCCAAAGACGGTCTGGGTTGAAGAGGTTATGAGCCGGGAAAGGGCATCCCAGCTGCCTGGGTAGCCAAATATTCCGGACGATATGGCAGCTACGGCCGCCGTAGTAAGCAGCAGAGAGAGGTAAGACGAAGTCGAGGCGTCCATCAGGGATTGTGTTGAAACAAAAATTGATTCCTGTTTCCCATTTTATACAGCTCGCAGCTACCTCGACGTCGTTTTTGTTCGTCCATCCTGTGGGTGCTTCGCATTTCAGTTATTGTGGACTCCTGCCGACGAAATACGATCGCGAGATCAACTTGAATAGACCTTCAAGACTTGGATAGCGTCTGTCGGCCGTCGCAAGCAACGATTGCGTATTATCCAGACAAGGCCACAGAGACGAGCAATTGCAGCTATTTAGGAGACAAAAACCAGTTGCGTTTGATAGCTACGACGACGAAACAATTATTGCGGTTCGACGTCGACTTTTTGTCTGGCCAGTGAATTCTGTGGGCGGGAATCGGCAAATCCCGAAGGAGCGGCTCTTCGCTTGTTCTCTCCCAACTTGCCCTCGACTACGTACGACGAAAAGAGTCTGTGTTTATCTGGCTTGGTTACCTTGTAATTCTCGTGTACAATATGTCAAAACCTTGCGGCGAGTTCCTCTATACGTCCTCAACGCTAACCTGGCAGAATCTACAGCCATGGCTGGATGTCAACGAACTCTCTATTCGTTTCTTCAATGCTTTCCAGGGCACATTTGTTTCGTATGTTGCTAGGTCTCCGTCGAGTTCCAAAGGTAGACAGCTGACCGCTTTGTGGGAAGGGTTGAAAATGTCGCGCTCAAATTGTCGTCTGAGTCATATTTCTCTTCCAACCAGGAGGACTCTTCGCAACATCGGGAGCCTGAGAAGATTAATTCACCCCTCCCCATCTCCAGAATTCCCGTCGAGCTCCTTTTCGATATCCTTTTAGATATCTTCACAGCCTCCGTTGAAAACTCTACCCATTCAAGGAGGATCGTTCGACCAACGCCTTCAGTATCTGCTACTTCCACCACGGACCCCACTCTCCTTGGACAGGTCTAGTCGTATTGGAGAAACGTAGCCCTCAACCTACCCAATCTCTGCTCCACAATCTACATCGAGGACGCAGCCAAGTCTTGCGTCCTCCTCACACAACTTTGGCTCCAGAGAGCTGCCAGACAGCCGTTGAACATCACTATTCTTCACGCAAAAGACCTGTTTTTAGCGTGCCATCATATTTTGGCCGCTTTTGTTGCGCGCTGTCACTTGTGAAAGAAGGTGGACATGATGTTGCCACTCAACCTCATTCCTGAGTTTCGGAAGCTCCTCAAGCCTCTGAATCTGCGATGCGACATGCTCGAAGTGTATCTTTCCTAGCGCAGGGGATTGTCTTAGATTACTTTCGCGTTTTCGGCCGCGAAAATTCTGGCTGGCACAAGACATACGTCGGTGATATCTGATCCTTTCTTCTATTCCTCTGCATCCCTCTGGATGGTGGTGTGGGATGGATCCTTTAGCGAATCGTCATTCAAGGAGTCGCCCTTCATATCGTTAGCACATGGTTTCTTACGGCCCAGCGAAAACCTCGATGCTGAAGACGTGATTGGTTTTATGAACCTTTCCCGACCTCCGGTCGTTCTCCACGACAATCTCGCCCCCCTCGGCATATTCCGCATTGAAGACTTCAACCCTACCATCTTCGAGAACCTCGATACACTTCACCTCTAGGAAGAGACACCAATGTCGTTCACATTATCTCATATTACTCTTCCACTTCTTCGCGATCTTCACATTTCGTCCGCGTCCTGTCAAGAATCGATTGTCAACTTGTCCACCCTTAAAACTCTCTTTCGCCGGTCGCAATGTCAGTTAAAGACGCTCGTCTATGAAGACTCGAAGACAAGTGCACAAGGTCTCCTAGAGGACCCCATCGCCATCCCTCAGCTCCAGACTCTCACTGCATTGAAATTCGAAGGGAAGGTGTCCGATTCGGCAATTCCGTTATCTCTCCGCAAGAAGAGAAATGGTATGCGCGCAGTCATGCCCCTCCTGCATGCAGGATATGCATCTTGGGGAGATGCAACATGACAGACGGCTTGCTCTCCATCATAGTTTTATCTCGTTCAACCATTCTGAAAGAATTCAGATCAGACAGAACAAACTCTATTTTCTGTAATTATTGGATACGTATCAAATGTGAAACCGAAAACATTCTCGATCTCGTCTCTCCAGTACATGTCCGCAAAGCCCTCCAAGACTGCTGACAAGGTCGTTGGCCATAAAGACAGCGCGCCAATACGGTTTCCGGGTTTTCTTCGTTTCTAAAAAGAACTAGAAGACGTGAGCGACATTCAAATCTGTACTTCCGGTTCGGTTGGGCAAGGTGCGATTTCCCTAACCACTGATACGGCCGTTAAGCGCCCGTCAAGCGCCCGTCAAGACACGCCCACAATCGGATGGCCGAAGACCAATGGTTTCGAAACACCGTCCTATGCGCACTATCAGCTCCGTAGACGGGAAAGGATACATGTATCTATCCGGATGCTTTAACCTTTCCATTCTCCCTAAAGTCGCGGTGTAGTCATTAGCAGGCCGTCCTAACCGACAGGCAAAGACACCAAATCGACATATTGGAGGGGTTAGAGGAGCAATTACATGGTGGGGTATGATGCGAGACCATAAAACATGGATACAGTGAAGTATTTGAGTATTTGGACAGGACAGCAACAACATGGTAGACACAACTGTGAGGACTTGCGACGATGTAGATAATAAGTTCAGAGAGAGGAGGAAGATGCTTGTGGTGTCATGAAGGATATGAATAAAGCTCGTGAGATGCAAAGAGAAAAAATGGAGGAATCTGTTGGTTAAATGTGAACAATACGAGAGTGAACATGTAAAGACGGGGGCGATGATTACAATTATGTAGAATGACAAAGGAGCAAACAAGAAAAAGACTTGAGAGATAAGATCCCATCCATTCTAGTTAGAGATAAGAATCAAGAAAATGTTTGCCGTTCCACACTGCTCTAGTAGCAGGCCAACTGCTAGAAGGATATTGTCCGGAGAAGTATAGGAGATCTTGGGAATCCAACCGTAAATATCGAGGAGAAGAAGAACAGACGATGAGGTCAATGATCTCGAGCAAGCGCCCGTTCCCTTTCCCTCTTGCGCCTGCGTTTCTCCTCCTCGTGACGGCGTTCCTCCTCCAGGGCGGCCATGTCTTCTCGCTTCGCAACACGCATGCTACAGGCTGTGTCAACACCCACGAGGAACCGAGGAAGAGATTGTCTGACCTTATGGCTTCCTCTCGTTCCAGGTCATCCGCATCCGCTTCCATATCCTCGTCGTCGCTGAACACATCTCTGGTAGCGTACTCGTCACGGTTCTTTCCAAACATCTCCCAAATCGTGTTGCGGATATCAGATTTGTCGCTGTTGTCTTCATAACGCTCCTTCGGGCGTCTTTTCGGCGGCGGCGGCGAATCTGACAGGCTGGGTGACCGAGGCCGCTTGGGTCGGCTCTGGGCCTTGTGTGCAGTTGGCCGCTGTGTGGACGCAGAAGCGGATGATTTGCTGATCTTGGAGTATTTACTCTGCGATGACGAAGAGGATACATGTTTCTCAGAGGAGCTCGCTCGGGAGGTGGCGGTGGATAACTTCGATGTCGAAGGGATTGGTTTCGTAGAAGCAGGTCGCGAGATTGAGCTAGCTTTCTTCTGCATTGACGAATCTGATTTAGAAACAGATGGGACAGGTGTGGTGGCTTTGCCTGGCAACAATAAGATTATTGAAACGAGATATACGAAAGCCACTTACGAGTCGAGGATTCAGCATTAGAGGTGGTGGCGGAAGCCGGTGGTGGTGGAGACGCCTTCTTGGAAGTGGAGAACCAGTCTTGGAAGTTGCGTGCCTGCTCGCCAGAAAGCACCTTGGGAGTGGCCTTGCCCATCTTTATGCGGATGTCCGTCAGGGCTTCGTCGACAGACCGCTGGTCCCTCTTCTCTGTTCCGAGCCTCAACAAAGCATTTGGGCCTTGCAGCAGCCGCTCTTTAATGGGCTTGCCGTTGGCAGGTGGCTCTGGCGGAGGAGGCGTGGGGCTTGCAGTGTCCGGGTTGAGGACGATGTTCACAGCACCTCCAGGCAACGTTTTGCCCACCCTCGTGTAGTGCCCTGTGTGAGACGATCGCTTGGAGCCCTGGAACTGCCTGCGCATCTCGGCCTGGAGCTTGCGTTCGCGGATCTCCTCGCGTGTGAGGACGATCCCCTGAGGGCCATCGTTGTCTGACTCATCAGCCCGCCGTTTCCGCGCAGCCCCGTCGCGGCTGGGGTACTTGGGAGAGCCGCCATTCGACGACGACAACGACATTTTCGCAGCCTTCTTGGGGCCGTAGAGAAGGGAATTTCGTTGTTCTTCCTCCCTCCGTTGCAGTGCCGCCTCCTTGGCCTTGCGTTCAGCCTCCAGCTTCTCCGCACGCTCTTTCCGCTTCCTCTCCTCCTCAAAAAACTTCAATCGCCGTTGTTTCTCCAACTCCCTTTCCTTCGCCTCCTTCTCTTCTTGCTGTTTCTTTTGAAGAGCCTCCTTTCGGCGGCGTTCTTGCATAGCATGCTCCACAGCCAACTGGCTCTCCCGTGTGTTGTTGGCGGCCAGAGCCATGAGAGAGGCGAACGAAGTCATCTTGCGCTGGCCTACCGTCGACAGTATTCAAGAAAGAAGCAAGAAGAAGAGGAGACAAGAAAGCAGGGGGATGGTGGACAAGGCAATCGTGGCAGTGGCCACAGCAATGGTCCGCTAATTATGACAAGTCCCGATTTGAAGCTGTTTGGCTTGGCGGTCTGCAACCAATCTGCAACCTTGCTGTTCAAACATTTTTCTAGTGCAGATACAATTGGGTATGTATTGTTATAGAGGGGCATGTAGTTCTAGATCGCAAGCGTAAGGCTCATGAAAAGTTGTATTTTAATTGTTTGTCGACTGGGTTCAGTCAATATAAGATTTACTTAGATGGTGCGAACATGTTGGGGAAGCATGGACGCAACAACCAGAGAAACGCCGACAATGGCGAGGAGGGCGTAATATACGAGGTAGCCACTCAAGTATCGCTTTTCTATCGACACAGAGAACAGCGAGTTTGCCGCTGCTGGCCCAATCGCACGCATGACACTCACAGTCATCTAAGCATGGAAAACGTCAGCCAAGGGTAAATGGCACGCATCAATAAGCGCGCAACGCACCTGGCTCAGCCCGTTTGTCGCACCCAAGGACGCACGGTTGGGTGACGCAGCTGAAATGAAAATGAAGATAGCACCTATCCATCACACGTTCAGAGTCAATATCCGTTCAAGGAGACCGTGCGCACCGTATGAAAGACTTAGTGCGATGGAAATGACGATCTGGAATCCGACCACTATCCAGACAACCGTGCTATATCCCTGAAGCACAGCGAGGTGGTTGATAAGCGGGAAAGTCGCGAATGCAGGGGAAGCGGACGCCAGACCCCAGAAGAAGACCCTCTTCGAGCCCCATCTGTCGTGGATTTGCGCAAAGAAAAACACCTGGAACACGCCGTTCAGGACGCCAAAGATAGACAGCAGCTTCCCTATTGTCTGAGGAGGTAGTCCGAGGCCTCCGAGATGAATAGGCGTCGAGAGGAACAAAGGTTGGATGGCGCGGAAGGCGATGTCCACGAGTGACAGTGCAGCGTAGTTCGCAGCAGCAATGACCACCTGAGGGGTCAGAAGGGACCGAAGAGGAAGGGGTTTCTCCGCTTCTGGAACGTCGTCCCTGCTTTGCGGGGTTTTTGCTGCATCTTCAGCGTCGGCCAAGGTTGGGGTCGTCTTTGCTTGCCTGATGCCTAAAAATTCGCGCATAGGCGTAGGAGAACGCACTGTCTCTTTGAGAAAGAGGAAAGTGACAACCCATGCCAGAAGAGAAAAGGTCGCAGGAACTGCACAGGGCAGGAAGTAGGGGTATTTCTTCAGGAAGTCGTTCTGGCCGAAAAGATGCGGGAACCTATCAGCAGGTCGAGCAAGGCTTCCTCCAATAATTGGACCGAGCTGGAAAGATGGACATAGGTGAGCATATCGACGGATGAGAGGCAGAACGGTCTTACTGTCCCACCAGTGGACCACGCGATCGGCATGTAAGCATAGGCCTGAGGCAACCGTCAGGTCCAGTCCGCACTGAAATTACGTGGGGGAAATCTACCTTGGAGATATTTGTCGAATCAGTCATTTCTGCCATCATGCTACCATTGACGTTCAGAGATTGTCCACAGATCCATTACGTTTAAGCAAACCTTTTAATAACGCCGATGTTTCCATCTGAAAAAAGGGTGACAAATGTTAGCCAGGTAGAGAATTTGCGGTTCAGGGACTCGCGTACTTAATGCGCCATTCAAGCTTCGGCTGAGTAAAGAAAAGGGGTGTTAGGAATAGAACTATGATCGAAGGTCACAGAGTACGCACCTGAGTACGAGACTCCAGAATGTTCTCGATAAACCGAAGCAGTACATGGAGAGAGATAGACCACATAAACCAGTCAGAATTACTGGTTTTCGGCCGACGCGGTCGGATATTCTACTCCAATGAAGAACAGTGAAGGCTTGGGTCAGGAAGAATAGCGATTGCTAGAGCCATAAAGACGTGAGGATGAGATAACACTGCGGGAGGTTGTATGCACACCATAAGTCCAACATAATATCCCACTTGACTCTCCTTTCCACCAGTTATTCCGAGATCGCGTATGAGCTATTAAGTAAAAGTTTCGAATGAATCGCTATTGATTGGTTTGCACAAAAATCCAGTCTCACCTGCGGTGCGAAGGGATATATCACTTGCGATGTCAACGGTTCCGCCAGCTGTAGAAATAGCACAATAGAGAACTGGAACCACGGGAGCGGGGTCGGCCGTTTCTTTCCACGGGCGAGCAAGGGAGTCTCTTCGTTCGAGGTCTCGGAGTGTGTCGCGGTCATTACAGAGGTCGTGAGGAGGGTCGTCGAGAGTCGTCACTGGAAACGAGAAGCAAGAGCGGGATTCCGGGAATCGAGCGACGACAAACGCGCGATGCAGTCCCTTGTTATGTATGGGAGAGAATGGTGAAAGGACGGTCCGCAATTGCGCGCTTGACCCCCCCATTTATCGTGGAACGATCAGTAAGCAACGTAATGACTTTGACATTGGGTCCCTCTTCCTCCATACAGTCAGTCGTCCATTCCCATTGCTAAACGGTAAGTAAGAGAACATCAGAAAGTGGGCAGTGGGCGCAATTGCAACGTGATGATTTCATTTCGGCACAGACAAGTCAGAAGACAAGCCGTCAACAAGCCGTTGCATCGGCTATAGCACCAAGAATCAACCTAGATGAGCAAATTTGGACGCTTGGGGAGGCGAAAGGCGACGGGGGCGACGGCTGCAGGATTCGAAGCGGGAGGATGATGGAAGTAGGATGCAAAGCCACGTCTGTGAACATCTTGATGCAACAACCCTAGGCATTCTGACTTTCTCTGCCGCTTCGCAGGATACGGCCTTCAAGCTTCATTGATCGTCCCCTTCCTCCTGTGATCTCGTCTCGCGGATTCTGCCATTGGTACTTAGCTCCGATTCTGCTCGAAAAGAGAGCCAGTTAGTTACTTTAACTTCAATAAAACATCGGCCCAGTGCCGGTGATTCTGAAGATCAGAACCATAACTCCACAGTCTATTCATCCCAGCAGTCCTTATCGGAGCTATCTAGTGGGAATACTTGAACGTCCAAACCGGAAAGGAACATAGAGCCGTCATAGGCAGTTGAGGGTCCGGCATCTCATGCTAGTAATTCTAGATCGTAAAGCCCTTTGACGAGGGAGTGTGGTAGACCTGTGACCGATCCCTCTATGAGGTGACGACTCCGTAGGACCTCGATAGAGGGACCTGTACAGCTGAGTTTGAAAAGGGGGTGTAGCGGTTATGATCGAGCGACGTTTCGAAAGAATGCCCTTGTAAATTGTAAAGACAGATCTTGAAATCTGACCGCTCAAAGAGGAAAGAGCGTTGCACGTGCCTGTCGCGTCGTCGCGTCGGTAACGCGTCTTGACTGTTGATTTCAACCATCCTCTGCCTTGTACGTCTACCTACTGGATGTCTCTTCCAAACTCATCACAAAACCAAATCTACGTGCTTCAGTTTGCATTTGGCGTCACCACCTCACGGGGATTACTCGGTACTGCCAATCCCGCACCGAATGTGTCGCCCCAATCCTGTTTCGCACTTGCTGGAAGTGTGGGTGAATCCCGCAACCTGGCTCGACACCAAAGGGCCCGTACTTCCCCATGGACTCAAGAACCAGTCGATTTTCAGATCACTGGCGCGAAACGAACTCGGAGAATGTCATCGACAACCGCCGAAGCGCGACCCTCATTGGCCGGCTGGCTCTTCCAAGAGTCTCTACTAAATACTTTGCGAGATCTGCCTGGAAGAACAAGGGGAACATTGGATGACGCGGATAAAAACAAGAACGGGGCTGTGGGACGTCAGTTCAGTGCTGAGGCAGCTTCCGAGTACTGTGATATCTTTGCTTTCAATGTAGATGCACTTACACCCTATTTTGTGTTATCAGAAGTTCTGGAGAGCCATGAAGCACCCGAATGTCACCTCTCATTGCGCCTATTCTAAGAAATGATTTTCTTGGTGCAGTCAGCGAGCAACTATCCACGTTCGTAATGTCACTGAGTGCCGACTTCCAGTCGCCGTTTCCACCCAACAAGATTGCCGGGGCCCAACACCTTCCACCAGCCACCTATCTACCCTCTCTGACTTTCTACTATTCTGGTGTGCACGGCTTAAGGTCAACGAACGGGCGACAAACATTTTGGAGCGAGTTCATTGCACACCGAAGATGCCACGAATGTTTCAATTCAGAGGTTACTTCAGGATCTCCATGACCTTGAATTAACCGTTCAACTCGCCTTCCTCACTGGTGATAGAACGCGACGGTGGTCTCTCGAAAGGTTCTTAATTATTTTCTCCGTGAAAGAATGCAACCACGCCTCACTACCACTGGTCGTGATTTTCGACATATTCCTAAAAGATAAGAAAGGTGGACAACAGCGACGTCGACAGCACCTTGACAGTACCAGAGCCTCCATCCCACACAGCCGACACATATTTCGCGCGAGGTCCCATCGATGCGCATTTAGGTCAAAGAGATGGGAAGCCTGAATAATGTACAAGGACAGAGAAGTGAAGTCAAGACGCCTACACGCTTTTCTTTCAGGTGAATAGATTCCAGAACGCCAATTACTGTAGATGGTATCATACTATACAAGGTAATTCTTTCGAAGGATTCCTGACAGACGTCCGATCATAACCGCTACACCCCCTTTTCAAACTCAGCTACACCAGTCGGAGAATCGAGGATTCTCCATCTCTCTCGATCCTCATTCTCCGGCTGGCCAGTCACGAGTCCAGGAGTGTGGAAAAGCCTTGAGAATGCTTGAATGCCGTTTACTTTACAGGCACCCGTTTTCCCAGGCTTTCCCCCTGGTGTTTTGCGTTCAAGTTTTCAATATTCAATGCTTGATCCTTCCCAGACCCAAAGGTGATGGCACCTACCCACATCACTGTCAAATAGCACAGTATAATACTCAGTATAAAGATCTTGCCATCGAAATCGCTTCACCATCCCGGATCATTGGGCCTGCCAGTGTCTATATAGCCCCATCTTATACACTGCCAACAGCAAATAAGCAACAGCCTCATGTTCGGCAGCGCCTTCATCTCAACCTCACTGCACAAAATTTCCCTGTTTTCCAATGAAACCTTACATAATCGAAACGGAGTCCAAGAGACATTAGGATACTAATCGTCAACCCCGTCGGATGTTCGCCAAAGCTCGAAATGTGGTTATCAACGGCGGTTCATTCGCTACCCTCAATGGCAGTCCATTCCTCCTCGGTAGGCTCTTCTATTGATCGAACAATGGCTTCGAATATTGAGGTTTTATGGAAGGTTGGCAGATCTTGCAAGAACGCGTCGTGTTCGGTGCAATTCATGACTCTGTCGAACGATTCGATCCACCAAAGTGCCATCCCAGGACTCGCACCCAGGTCCTTGCGAGAATCATGGATTGGATAAAAGTCACCCCTTCCTCATCCCGCCTTCTATGGTTATATGGCCCTGTTGGAGCTGGGAAGTCCGCAATTGCCCAGTCCATCGCGGAGCTGTGCCAGGCCCAAGGCTTCGCGGTCGCAGGTTTCTTCTTCTCTAGAACAACACCGAAGCGCAACGAGGCGACTTTTCTCATCTCTACGGTTGCATATCAGCTGGCGTCGGCGATCCAAGGCATTCAAGGAGAAATTTTACGAAGGATAGAATGCGATCCTGGCCTCGTTCAGCGTTCCCTTCAAACTCAATTTGAGAAGCTCATCGTTGAACCTCTCAACCAAATATACCTCGAGTCTTATCATGACGGTCTGCCAGTGGTGCTTATCCTCGATGGCATAGATGAATGCAACGACCCCAAAGTCCATAGCCATCTCGTTACGGCCCTCGTTTCCGCCCTCCAGCACTCCGCATCCCCAATCGTAATATTCATGACCAGCCGCCCAGAGAAGCATATCCAACTTCGCTTCAAGGACGTTTTCATCCGATCTATCACCTCAGAAATGGACTTGCAGCACGACTCTGCAGCACTGGCTGATATCCATACATTTCTTTGCGAGAAGTTTGCCGAAATCAAGCAAACACATCCATTGAAGAAATATATCCCCGCAGCCTGGCCACCTGAAGAGGCTATCACAATGATCGTGCAAAAATCGTCAGGGCAGTTCGTATATGCGTCGACAGTTGTTCGCTACGTCCAAGCCATAGACTACCACCCTATGCAACGCCTCGAGATTATGCTGGGCCTTGCACCCCCGCCCACAAGTCATTCGCCGTTTGCCGATCTGGATGAGCTGTATTTTCAAGTTCTGACATCGGTCGACGATATTAAAGCATCCCTTCTCGTCCTGGGTGTTCTCCTTCTACCAGGCAATCAGGCCATTGGCAAAGATGCCCAACCCGATATGCTGGATCGACTCCTAAAGTATCAACCCGGCCGCACTCAGCTGCTCCTAAACAAGATGGCTTCCATTGTGAGCTACGACAGTGCGAAGCATCCCACCATCCAGCTCCTTCATGCCTCGTTATCCGACTTTCTACTGGACGAATCCAGGTCGAACGAATTTCATGTAGACTTGGGGAATGCACACACAGCCCTTGCTCGGGGATATCTCCATCTTGCGTCAGAAGGACATACATCGGAGGAGGATGGTTCGAATTTTTTTCTCCATGTAAACTACGCTGATGCATTCGATTTATAGAATTTCCTTACGACGACCTAGTTCGTTATCATTGTCTATTTATTCAGCATTTGTGGCAGGCGTCTTATTCCAAACAGCTTATTGAAGATATTCTGGCGTTTGATCTGGCACAAGTCTACCCGAGATTCAACAGTCGAAGAAACGCGAAGTATCGAGCCTCAACCGATCTTCTACTGCTCTGCCGTTTTGTAAACGACTTCTTCGAGTGCATTACTAAATCTGAGGTAGTATTTCCCCCGTACTTCAAAGTTGCTTTGAATTGACACCATTTTGCTTTCCAGGTTCTCCGAGATGTGAAAGAAGTTTCACTGCATCATCAAGCAGGCTTTGATCATCATCTACGAACGCTACTGAAAGGCTATACTGCCCACACTTCTTTGCTCGACTGCTTGACACTCTTCAGTCTCTACCATGATACCCCAGAAGACGAATGCCGTTCCACTCACATATTAAATTGCATCAATGCATTTCTCGACCCCTTTGCTCCTCTTCACATCCACCGCATCGATCAGGAAGGCATCGACGTCAGAGGCCTGTTACTATTGCTAGAAACACCTGCACAGGGCTTTGGAATCGTTGCGCAAACTAATTTGAAGGCTTTGGAGGGCTATGCATACCTCATCTGCAACTTTATGCGGGATCTCAATCGCTCCATTCAGTTTTGCGCCACCCCAGAGAAGTATGCACAAGCAGCAGTTCGATGTTTGAGGTTGCTTTGCGAGCCGAGGTAAGTTTTTCTATGCCCGTTACAATTCCGGATCTCATTTCCGTATCCCAGGGACTCTGCACACCATTTAGAGCCATCTCGCATAGAAGATCCGATGGCGAAGAAATACAACAGCCTTCTCAGTTATGCGTCTATCTTACTGTCTAAAGCCGGTCCATTGGACGACTTGGCATTGTTCTTATCGCAAAACCAAATACGAGGATCGTTATTACGATTCAGGTGGTGCGAGGGCTCGGTCGACGTCTTGCAGAGGGAAATGGATCGTTATCTTGCGGCAAGTATTTTCGTCTCAACGTTCGTCGAGCGCAATGAATTTCTGATATACTCTATCTTCTGGACAGAGAAAGCAAGGGATGAGCAAAGTACTTTACCAATTCTGTATCATTCTGTGGACTCTGTTTTTGAGATGCTACTTCGCAATTTCATGAGAATAAGATGTCAGAAAACGAGTCAGAGGGAGTCCCGGGCCGGCTGTGTCGATGCCAAGGGTATTTTTTGGCCACTGAGGCAAGCAAGGACAAATAACGTCGAAGAGGATAAAAACGCCGGAGACAAACTCGCTCGGCGCCTCGACTTCTGAACCACCACTCTTCCTCTTGACCCTGCCTACCGTCCCGCTCTAACGATTTGTCTTTCTCAAACCTGTAACGAGCTTGCACTCATAACGTCCAGTTCATGTAAGATGTCCTTCCTGTATTGTTCGCTGAAGCCTGTTTTGTAGTTTCTACGCACCTTCATCCCCATCTCTCACGGCGGCGATCTGTCCTTGTCTTTACTTCATGTCTTTTTCTCCACTGTTGTCGATACTCAACAATGTCTTGTTGTCTTTACTTTTTCAGAGCAAAAATCACTTTTACACCTACCCAACACAATTAAGTTTTGAACTGTGCACTCAAGCACGTTGCGTTACAGCTCAACTACGGCACGACGACACGACACCTGACGACACGAACATCGCCCATAACATGTCTGGCAAGCGAGACGATATGGATTACTACGACAACAACCATCGCGGTGGAGAGGTAGGCAGCATCTGCATTGTAGTCCCTACCCGCATGTATCTAGCTGACAACCTCTGCCTGTATCTCCGTCTTCCTGTCTTGTTCTTGCAAATATGCGCTTTGAACTGTTATCCTGTGCCTTCGCCAGGGAGAGGAGCAAGTGCAGTCGTATATGTCCAACGTTGAGCCGATGACAGGCGACAAGCGCCAACGCGATGATGGGGGTGATCACAAACCTCTACCTCATCCCAACTCACGAACGAACAGTGGAACGGCGAACCAGATGAACGGCACCTACTCGCAGGGTGTGGGCGGAGGAGCGCAGAACATCGCTGCGCAGACCTTGGGCGGCTATGACTCGCTCTACATTGGAGATCTACAATGGGTCCGTCATCTAGTCGTCTGCTTCCATGTGCATATCGTTCTAAATATGCCTTTCTTTTCCCCCTCCTGCTTAGTGGACAACGGACGAAGATCTGCGACAAGTCGCGCTTAACTGTGGCGTCAACATTGACCACAAAGATATCACCTTTTCCGAACACAAGGTCAACGGCAAGAGCAAAGGGTGCGTCGAAGATATCCGAGTCTGCCCTGCATGAGGTGTTAATTTGTTCTTAGTATCGCATACATTGAATGCCATGATCCTCAAAGCGCCGTAATTCTGAAGGATTGGTTCGACAACAAGTAAATTTCCTGGTGCATTTACAACACCCAATATTGACTGCATACTCTGCTAGCGACTTCCAGAATCGTCGAGCGGCGGCTACTCTTACTAGTTCATCACAAGGAAATCCATTCCGAACGCTACCAAAAGGTGAGTCATTTCATTGGCTGCCAGCGCCTAAAACTAATCGCATGAATTTTATAGAACCTCCACCGCGCGAAACACGGCCTCAGACAGCCAACAATCCTGCGCTTGGTGGAGGTCGTGGTGGTGGTGGTGGTTTCCGTGGTGGTGCTAACCAAGGCATGGGCAACATAGGCCGCGGTGGAGGGTTGATGACCGGCGGTATGATGGGAGGTATGGGTATGGGCAACATGGGAATGGGAATGGGCATGGGGGCCATGGGGATGCCAATGAACATGGGCATGGGTATGGGAGGCGGCTTTATGGGCGGCCGTGGACGCGGGGGCATGATCCCGCAAGGACCTCGTGGAGGCGGTATGATGGGGCGCGGCGGCGTGATGGGCGGCGGCGGAATGGGTACGAGCTTCTAGTTTCTCTGCTCTCCTCTCTCTTCGGCTTCTCCCTTCCTTCATCACAATCTACCCTCACAAACGAACCGCCATCGCAATCTTTTTTCACGTATAGTTCCCCCCCTCTTCCCCCTCTCTGCGATTTGACATGTTGTGCTCACGTCTGTCTGCTTTCCTCGGTCTGCCAATGTTGTTCGCTTGCGTTCCCAACTCCCTTGCATACTGTTTCAAATCGTCGTCAATTGCTCTGTTAATACAACCACGAATCATATTGTTCAACCTCTCGACTATAGGTATGGTGAGAGGACGAGGCGGGTTCTCTCAAGGACATCTCAATCCGGCGTTTGTCCAAGGCGTGGGTGGAAGAGGGACTGGGACGGTCAATTTAGCCACAACGTGAAGAGGCAAAGAACGGACGAGGACTAACCGGAAGCATCCATTTCAACTCCAGTATATGTAATTTGTGGACATTATTTGGTGGTTTTTCTTTGGATATTCATTCGAAATCTTCACTCTCCATTCTCTCCCCCCCTCAGTCTATTGCCTTCGATTCTGCCCTTGCTTTTGCACATTGCTCTGTGTCTATATCGTGTTTTCTTTGCACAAAGTAGCTATCTCACCCCATATTTCATCGTATATAATATCAATACACCTCGCTCGTGATACTCGGAGAACGTTTGGTCCAGGAGACCTGCTTGAGCAGTTGCCAGTGTGCGGCGTTCCTTCGATAAGAACAGGAGTGAGCCCGAACATTCAACACAGAAGAGACGGCACCAATGCCCAGAACTTGCCCGAAAATCGGCAAGGAGGCTTCCGCCACTCAAGATCCACGAAGGCTGCAGGACATATAGACATCAACCAATGGGACGGGCACAAACGGATGGAACTGACAGTGTCAGCAACAGGCTGAGGATGGCTTTCGCTCATGACGAAAAGCATGGTTGCTGGATCAGGTATCATCTCCAAATGAGAGAAGTGTTTTTTTCTCTTTCTTGAGCTTCTTCGATGGATTTTTGGCTTTATCCTTCGATGTTTCTGGAGATTTGATCTCGTCCAGCATTCCTACAGCCTTCCGCTTGTTTGACTTGGGGCCCGCCTTGGAAGACGAAGAAAATGTAAGCCCTTGGGGCGTAGACTTCGAGGTAGAAGACGACGCGTCCTGGGATTTGTCTTGCTTCGGGTCTGCGTCTTTCTTTTCAACGTCAGGGTGTGGTAACGGAGGAAGACCTTTCTCTAGGTCAGGTCACAAAATATGCAGCGTCAAAAACCAACAAAACGAGAACAAGATTGGTCATACCTGCACGGCGGACATTCTCAGCCTCCCTCTCCGTCAGATGTTTGCCAGCCTTCAGCACGACGACTTGAGGTTTCTCGTCTCCATCATCCTCATCTGCACTCCCGGGATCGTCTTGCGGTCTCTCCGGGATAGCTGGCCGTGGCCGTTTTGGAATAGGCTCACGTCCTCCACCGACATATTCGAACTCTTCGTCGTCGTCGTCGTCTTCATCCGGGATGCCATTGATACGGTTTTGAAGCTTCAGGAGGAAGCTAGGAGTGCTTTGTTGATATGCGAGTCTGGACGACAATTGTGCACGAGTAGGTTCTCTGGGAGCCATTGGGACCGAAGAATTTTAATGAGGCGCGAGCGTCGTTCAACCCCCGAGGACAGCGTTCACCTTGGAACAAGGTCAAAGGTCAACCCGGGCCGCCCAGCTGCGATTAAATTCGCACGGTCACGGCAAGGGGTGCCGGTCACCGTCGTAGAATCGTTTTTGACACCGGGGTATCCGATTCACTCCAAATAAAATGCAGGATATACACTTTTTTTACAGACCTTGAAGCTCTGAATCCAGTGGAGAGATTTTTTTCTGGATGGACACCGGCAGATGAGAAATTCTTAACGAGAACAGAAATGGTCAAAAAGGGGAGGATCTCAGCTTCTGAGTCAACTGAAGCTTGAGATAAATTTACAAAAATGTCTGACTATCTGGAACATTAGCTACCTTTCAATCGTTTCAGATTTAAGTACTGTTGAGTCACAGAAGAGATGTACGAGGTGGGAGCCGACAGTTGTTTCTTCGGGGCCCCAAATTTATAATGCGTCCTCTTGCTATGCGGCTAAAGGCGGATAAGAGAGGGTTACCGAAAATATTTATTTTGTGTAATGAATGAAGCTCAGCAGTAGGTCTCATGCCATAGCAAGATATTTCAGGCCTATCAGGCTAGAGAGCTTCATTATCCTCTTACACCTTGTCTCAAATTTACACTCCGGTACATGCAAGTTACTACCTACGGCTCGACTTATTTATCGGTCGAGGGTCTCTTGCGCGCTGCAAACCAAGCGGAATCGATCTTGTACTAACGGTGGCATTATGACTAGCGCTATTAGAATCGGGATTATCACCCAGGTCGATCCCCTCTTGTGGGTCCCGATAGCTAGGGGGTAAATCGACGACACGGGACTGCTCTTGGTGGTATATAGTCACCGGAGCAGTTTGATTGTCGTGATGAACGACATAGATTTGGCTTGGGGATCTTCGGGCATCTGACGGGACCGATGTTGCAATATCGAATGGGTCGACACTCAGTTCCGCCAATTTGTTCTTTCGTTTGCGGTTTTCAAGGATGATGAAGGACACCAACAAGCCAAACAGGATGCCCATGAAGAGCGTCCCGATACTTGCCCCAACGGCAACAGCGGGTTTCACAGACAAACTAGAATATCAATGAGAACCTGCTCGGATTCAGTCTGCGAAAGATGATACCTGGAAGGCAGGACTTCCGACAGGCAGGCAGTTGTAGTTCCCGGACCGCCGCTGTGTAGAGGGCCATTGGACCACATTACGCCGTTTGAGTCTGTAAGGCTGATAAAGAACGGTGTGGCCCACGACAAGCTGATGGTCCAGTTGATAGACTTCATGTTTTCCGAAGTGATATTATACGGTGGATGCAGCGCTGGAGCAACCTTGAGTAGAGATCTATGAAGATTTTGAGATGCTATGTAACACAATACAAGCTTACTGTCAACGTATACGGCGGCGTGCCATTCAGAGGTCGAACAGATACATCCGTGCACTGTCAAAGCGAGCATTAACGCTAAATCAGAGCGGTAATCTCCAACTTACTTGGTCGATAAAGCCATATTGTGATAGCAGGCCGGTGTGATCTTGTGCTTGCACATTTAGTCGAGGAGGGAAGGTTACATTGGAACAAGTAGGGGTGCTCCTTGGTGGGATGACGGTGTAGGTCGCCTGGCATCCTCCCGTGTTTCCGACTGCATCAAACTAAGGAAAGGGATGGATATCAGAAATTCAAGCCAAAAATGCATGCGAAACGAAATCACCATGCATATTTGATACTGTTGCAAATCCCTGGTTTATTAGTACGATTGTGGAAGTACGAAGAGTGAAAAACAGACCTGCGTCCCTGGAGCGAAAGGAACATGCCAGTCCTGGTCAATGTGAAATCAAAGTGCTGCAAAAAAGAGACGAAAAGGTTTTGCGCACGAAGGAAAGGCTGCCGCTGTTGCCACCTGCAGGGATGACAATGGGAGTAGTGAAAGTTCTGTCCATGTCGGCTTCTGCCTTAGCGGTATTGGCGCTGATGGCGGAGCCACTACTCACGAGGCATAAACCAGAAGATAGTAAGGGGATTGCGGGTTCGGTCTAGGGGGAAGTTGAGTATGTGGTTTGCTGGCTACTGCTCGCTGAGATGCAACACACCCAAGAGCATTGCCGCGTCCCCAAGTAATGTGGATAACTTCACACTGCTCTGCAAACGACACGACAAAATAAGCAGATCGGTCGATGAATAAATCAAATTTTCATACCAGTAGTAGGTATCGGAACCGGTTGCCCTGGAGGGTTCCAGTCGAAGAAAAAGGACTGATTGATACCCAAAAACTGATGAGCGCAGACGTCGTATGTCAGGAATGAAGGCTTACAAGCGGCAAAAACGGAGTGTTGGTAAATTGACTCTGGCTTGTTACCAGCGAGATACAGAATGAACTGGCGAATAAGAAGAAAATCCCCGGAAAGCAGCGAGAAGGATGGCTCTTAATCATTATTGTTTCAGCCGAAGTGCCTCGCTCGAAAGAAGTGGGTTAGACAACGGGTGTGTTGAAGTTGCAAGACCAGCGTGCACAGATAGGACCTGAGACGGGCTTAGAAAGGTTCGGTCATTCACGAGCAGTTGGCGTATGAAGAAGACGGGAACGGGAAAGGCGGCAGAGAAGGGAGAGGGGATTGATTACGGTGCGACCGATGGTCTATATTAAACGTTGATATCGACAGCGGGTTTCTCGGATGAAACAAGGGAATGGCAGTTCGAGGTTCGGATGCAGGCTCTCGTCCCAATGAGCAACGACTTGATAGTTGTAACTTCCCAAGAATGTCAATTCTTAGAACCACCGATACCAAGGAAGGTAAAAGTCACTCACTCTCGCAGTCTTGTGATGCTGGGCAAAGTAATGTCCGTTGATCAAGTCTACACATCTATCAAGGACAACAGATCAGAGGGGTTGGGTGCTATATAATGACACGAAGGTAAAAATACCTACCTATACGGTTGCGCACACAGATTAGCAAGCGTTAATGAAGAGCTTGTAAACGCGGATGTCTGTGTCAAATGGCTATAACAGGTTGTAAAATGATTTTCGGGAGGAATATCGACAGAGCTTGTGAGATGCTGTTGAAGGTGAAGATCCGTGCAATGATTGTCGTTAACAGTCATGATAAGGGAGCTTCAGGCCAATGAAATCGAGGGTCGTGGTGATATTCTATCAGAACTCAACCACCAGGAAGGACGAAGAAAGTTTTTCACAATTGCAGAAATCCAACAACAAAACATGAAGATCAGCATCAATATGATATCCACCCACCACCCTAGATAGAAGATGACATGAATAAGACAGCAAGAACAAAATGTAGACAGAACAAAGGAGACAAAAGCAAATACAGAGAGGCCAAGGAAGAAACATTGAATCAGGATCAGCTTCCCTCGCCACCAGAGGTAACAGCGGCGCTCGCAGGTATCACAGGGGGGTCGTTCAGCACGCTCTGAACAATCTGTTCCTGTTGTGCAAGCCAAGCTCCGAAAGCTGGGCTCTTCAACCACCGCTCGTAGAACTCCGTCCTCTTGCTAGAGGATTTGAATGGGAGGATGCTCCCGTGTGTCTTCAGCGAGGTAAAGAAGTTGGCATTGTTGAACGACTTGAGCCGCAGCGTCTGACTTTGTCCTGCGTTCATGACTGAGGCAAAACTGTGTGTAGACTGGTTTTGGCGTTGTTGGGTTGGTGTCGTTGCAGATAAGGGCGAGATAATATCAGGAGATAATAGCGTAGATGATGACGCGGGGGTCGGCGAGAGCGAAGACCGTGCTAGGGATGACGATGATGAGTTGGTCGTTGAAGGCACGCTCAAAGAGAATGATGAAGCATAGGAGGGGGTATAGCTTGAAGCATCGCGAGCACGCTTGACTTCAGTCGGTGAGGGTATCAAGGTGTTTAGGTATCGGGCTAGGGGTGTGATTAGTTGTGTCGAGCGAGAGCAAAAGTGACGGCGGAGCGCCAGCGAAGCTTCCATTTCTTTACAACAAATTAAATCAGTCGAATACATATGCGAGATAGCTAGAGGCATACTGGCTCTATCATCGCCTCGAACGGCAATCTCTAGTTGCTTTAGTAGCGCGCGATCTTTGGAGATGTATCGTTTATGTGTCTTTGTCTTCCACCCGGGTGTTGGCCCAGCAGGTGCTCCAACCGATGGACTGTTCTGGCGCGGACTGTTGTTCGATGTTCTGAAAAGACGATCAGCGTCTCTCGAGGGGTTGCAATGAAGGACGCACGGGATGCGCCGTCCTAAACTCAAGACATGCGGCCAATGGACACAGGACTTTTCGAAGAAAGGATTAGTTACGCCGAGCAAGAGACCGGGCTTCGGTCGCAGTTTGTTCACAAGCTGGGAATGATCGCTGTCCTGCATCGTAAAGTACGGTCGGATGTCGCCGGAAAGAGGTAACTAAGATGGCGGTCAGAATAAGCATTACTGGGAACCCGAGATGCAGGACGAACCGGTCGGAGGAGATCACGAAGCCACCAGACCGCCTGGCTCGTTTGCGCTGGTGATGTACCGAAAACTAAAATAGGTTCGCACAAAACCAGACACTCCCAGATCGACCACAAGTTTGCCAGGGATGACTCGAAGAGCAATATTGGTGGCGGTACGAAAGGTGCGGTTGTGGCAAGAATCTGCGTTTTCCGTTGCATGAACAATGAGCTCGAATAAAATAGAGGACTGACATGTAATCGTGGGTTGTACTTCTCGTTAAAGGATGACGTCTCTGTGACTTGTTGGACGTCGATAGAGTGTGGTATTTCCACATGAAGAACTGCACCAAGGAACCCGAGTTCTAGTGTTTGTCCGGGAGTAGGATCTGGCCTGTCTTCGTGTTGTAAGAACGGAGCATGAATCCAGGAGAAGCTAAACTTACCATGTAGCGATGTTGTGACAAGCAGCCTCCAGCATTGGAGTACCGTGGGTCGCAAAAAGGGGCCCAAATTGACCGACAAGAGATGAGAAGAGTGACGGGTATTGATGTTGTGTTAAAATCACTAGAGAGCGCTGGACCGGAATGAAAATGTATTTTGAGCCGTAGCGAAATTGGCGCACCTGTTGGTAGCCTCGCTTCGATGTTGAATCCCTCTTCTGCGTAAAATGAGAAAACCCGTAGATGAATCCGTCCTTCGTGGGAGGTCGCGACTGAGACTGTTCTCTTATCCGAAATGAGTGAGTTTGTGAGCCCTGGTCGAATTGCATGGAGTCAGGAAATGCACAAAATGCACTGAAATAATGACATGAGCAACGTGCACTATGAGACAAATTCCGGACCCACAGAGTCTCCGTCTCTGCTGGAGAGAGGACCAGCGGTGGATAAACGCCATCAACGACAGGCCCATCGTCTAAATCGAACTCAACTTGTCATGGTCAGCCACAGGAAGTCGAACACCCTGGCCCCGAACTGACCAACAGCAATTCCCAAGATCCATCGGTGCATCTTCTCAATAGATGAAGAGTCGACTGTCAGCGCATTGATCTCGACCTGGATTTTCCTCGGCGTCGAGCTCCTCTTCTCGGTCTGAAAGAGGCGCGGGAGTGTCTGAGAGCACGAAACTTGGCGGTGTCGCGCCGCAAACTTGGCAAGGGACGGTGACGATGGTGAATGAAAGCTAAAGGAGCCCGTTCTGGGTGTCACAGGCGAGTCTTTGCTGCTAAGTGGGATGTCCGAGTCCAGTTCCTCTTCCGTGTAATTTCGCGGCGAGTAGGAGCTACTGGTGGTTGCTGAGCTGGCTCGCGAGCTGGTGGAGGAGGGAAGGGCAAGATATGGGCTGAGATCGCCGATGTCTTCCTCGTACAACGGTTGGTCGAGCTTGAGCTCAGAGGGGATATTGGGCGGCATCGTTCAAAGGAATGGGCGCCACAGCGTGGACGTGTTGATGGAAAACACTTGTGGTTCGCGTTGCGATGACGAATGCCAAGGTTAGATATCGATAAATCATCATACACAATGTTGATAAGATTAGATCCTCACAAATGATTGGTGAAGGCACTTGCTTACTGTCAGTGTAGATGTTCTTTACGGTTTCAAAGGGCTACGTCCGTCTGCCTGAATCAGAACGATAGCCAGTCAACGAACAACCAGAAAATGAGTCTGCAGTGAAGGGATCGAACTCTATTATTTTTAAATCGCACGTAATCAAACAATAACTTCTTGAAACCCTCAATCGTGTGTAAGCCCAGGGAAGTCAAACAAGCGTTCTGAACTTCGGTACATTGCTAGGAAGAAAAGGGAAAAAATGCAGATTAGTTAGTCGTACAGCAAGTCGAGCAAATTTTGATACCCTTCACTGAGTTCTGCAGATGGACCAGCGAGAGATTCGCGCGTCCGAAATTCAGGCACGGCAGAGAGAATATGTCAACAAATAGAGTTAACTGGTGCATGATTGCGAGCGAAGCGAGCATCCACAGCATAAAGCCAGAAAATTTGACGGCGTCACATTTCGGGACTTTCTGACAAAGTCCGGCAATTTGACCAGAACTTGACGGCCGAAAATGGGACGTGGGCACATTTGGGTCAAATTTTCGATGCCGAAAATGACCGCGTCAATCTTGCAGAACTTGACGAGCGCTGTGATCGGTGGACTTGCATCTCACTCTCGCTTGTTATCGGCTGACCAGTACCTCTCTGCTCTTCACCTTCATGTTGCCTCTCGCTTTGGTGCCCGCCCTTGCTCTTCCACGTCCCTTCGCTGTGTGGATAATTCACTTTTTGCCATGTGCGGTTTCGTAGTTGCCAGCTAGTTTCTATCGCAAAGCCTCTTCTGGCTGCTTTCAACACCACTCACCCCACCCGCTAACAGTCGGAGACCGCGTCCACAACGCCTAATACCGCCCTTCCCTGCCACTTTCTCTCTCACCTCTCGACGTATTTGGCCAGCAGGTGGTAAGTGCCCGACTCCGGTAAGTGCCCGACTCCAACCTCTCGTTACGCCGACTCCGCTGCAAGCGCGTCCTGCCCGTCAATGCGCTCGAGCGAGAGGCAGGCGTCGGGCTAGAGAAGTCACTTGCAGAAGTAGCAGAATGGCGAGTTGGTTGTGGGGAATAGGTGAGCATGTTGTCGCATGAAATCTCCGCACCTGGTGAGTTCTTTCTCAAGGATAAGAAGTCAACGCTATCTTGCGCGTCGTTCATCCTAGGCAGTGGGAGATGGTCAACGCAGAAGTGAGTAATATTGTGTTCTTCCTCCTTTCGTTAGATGCTAACCGGCGACGCTGACTTGATTAGCAGGGAATAAGATCTGGTGGAACAGGAGCGGCTACGGTAAGTCCTCGCGTCCGCCTTCTACTTGATAAGGACAATAAACCCACATCGCCGTTCCCGCAGGTGACGACAAATAGCCTGGCTAAAAGAATGCAAGGTTGATTTTGACTTCGAGGATCTCATCGCTGAATAGATACTGGCAGGTCTATGGACATGTGTTGCCCGTTCTTGCTTTGGATCCATCCCGCCAGTTGTTTCAGTGTACCCTGTATTTCGTAGATACTCTGCAATGAGAATTATCTTCTTTATCTCCATCGGGTACGATTTGGGGCCTGGGTACCAAAAAAAGTGCGCTGAGAACATTCTCGTCGCATTCTCGTCAAATTCCCCGTCACATTCACGTCAAATTCCCGTCATATTTCGAGAAAAGAACCAGAATGTGCCAGAGGGTGCATTTCCGTCACTTTGTCGGCAAGTTCCCGTTCTTTATCATAATTTGACGGGAATGTGCCCTCGTCAAATTTTAGGGCAATATGCTGTGATCTACACTGCTGTGGCGAGTCACTTTATGTGCGAGTAAAAAGGCATGGTAGGGGTGTTAAACATTATCAAAGCCCTTTTTGCAGCGCAAAAATTATAACCTTATCATCCTTTTTTGTTGGTCTAAATACCGTAGTAAAGCTGCTCATTTGGTCAAATTTCTGAGAGGGAAAAAGTATGAAATTAGAATGTATTTAACTCATATCATAATTTTCTCAAAAGTTATGTCTTTCTGAGTGATTTAGTATGGCTCTAAAATAGTCCCTTTTTGTTGCAACAAACAATACAGTAAAAGCCCAGACAAAAAGGGATGCTTTTGGGGTGAGGAAAAGGGAAAAAATATGACAATGCATTTTACTGTCGCGTAATTTGTCTATTTATGGGAGAATTTATGCGAAATAAACATGAATGACAAAGGAGGAATTTATATATAACAAAAAGGGATCACGCGAAGCGTCCGTCGCTCATGGGACGCTCAGCGGGTGCTTCCGTGGGTGAGCGAGCGAAAAGAGATTGCCAAAAAAGGAGTCCGGATGATGGGGCCGGCCGCTGACAATAAAGTCATTGAACTGGTAATCGTCCACTTGGGGGCGCTCACGGTACTTATGTGAGCCGAGGACAATAAGGTTGGATGGGCGATCCACTGGGGTGCGACACGACGAGACAAAGGACACAAAACACGTCGTCATAGACACTCCCCCCAGCACCCGCTCTATTATTCTTGAGGCATTTATGACCTTCAGATGTCTTCAAGAAGGGCTCTCGGACAGCGCCAAGGACAACGCCCTGCCAATTAAAACTCTCATTGTGCAGAAAGGTCCCACACTCTAGTTAGCCCAGCAACGATAGTGCCGTTTCCCTGGATGTGTGCCACTTGTGGAAACTCATCGTGCTTATGTGACAATAAGGCCGGATGGGCAATGGGGTGATTCGTCAAACCGCCGGGCAGCGACACGACGAGACAAAAGACATTGTCACAGCCACTGCCCCAAGGTGCTGGATTATTTTCGGCGCGTTTACTATTTCCTCATTAGAGGTTATTTGCAGTTCTGAGGGCTCCACAAATCCGTGAATCTGATTGGCTTGGGGCCTCCTTCAGCCAATGAGATTTGGGCGATTCTAGGAATATTCGAAGTGCAAATAACCTCTATTTAAGCCTTTGGAGTGAGGCATCCAGGAAATGTGCGCATGCTCTGGGAAGCGCCATCGGCTACCCCCAGTGGCTGTGCAAGTCACATTCTCGGCTTGTGACACAATCCCATTCCAGGCTCCAGCGACTGAAGCGCAATTACCACTTGTCGACGCTCATCAGGCTTATGTGATAATAAGGTAGGATGGGCCGTGAGTCGTTTTGTCAAACCGCTGGGTTGAGATACTACTAAGACAAAGGACATTGTCGTGGACACTGTCCCTGGGTGCTCAATTATTTTCAGCATGTTTATTATTTCAGCAGCTGCCTCGGCCCACCAGTGGCTGTGCAATTGGTATTTACTCATTCTCTCCACGTGACGCAATCTCTCACACGCTGTTCCAGTGTTCAATTATTTTATCATTGTCTCGAAAAGGGCTATCAGACAGGGCCGACAGCAAACACACTGCCAATAATTGAAGCATTTGTCATGGGAGAAGGATGCATGCTCTGGAGCACTCGTCAGCGGCTGGCTCCAGTGGCTGTGCAATTGGTATTCTCATGCTGTTCCAGCTTGGTTCCAGCGCTCAATTATTTTATTGTTATCTCAGTAATTACTCACCAAACCAAAGGGGCCATGCTGCAACTCGCTCTTGTTGGTGCAGCAAAAAGAAGCACTCGGTACTCAGTGCGACGACAATCACCTTCGCAGCCACTGCAGTGTCTACCTCTCCTCGCTGACTATCACAGCATCTGGCCTCATCGCACATTCATTTCATTTGGTCCTCAGAGGGGCCAGAAAAAAACATATTAGTAATAAAAAATATATACATGATATGTGGCGGTATGCATGTAGAACGAACAAGAAATACAGTAATGAGAAATCAAGTGCGAATGACAGCTCGTCACTCACACTTGTCGTGTCCTGCCTGTTCTTGTCCCACTATTTCTGGTCATCCTCTGGTTTGCTAGTCGTTACTCGTCCTTCGTCGTGTCCACGTACAACGAGCGTGAACACGTACAATGAGTAAGTTCAACAAGGCACCCTCCTGCATCTCCTCATTGCACTCGCGTTCGTCGTGCTCGAACTTGTTGTGCTGAGTTCCACGTACACCTCACGGCCGGTCGTCATGCCCCGGATCTTCACACGCAATCTCGGAAGTATGCTATGAGACGGTGAGAGTGTGGGTCAGGTGTGGCGAGAGAGCAGGTTGATCGGAGTGTGGGCACCCTCATTTGACAGCGCGGGTAGGAGAGATTGTCGGCGCCCACACCACTGACGAGCTGGGAAGGTTGGTGGAGGTTTGAGGACAGTGGGCGACAACGTGAAAGGTGAGAGTGGCAGATGTCCTGGGGGGCAGACCACATGGGAGATAATGGGCCAGTGACGCCACCAAGTAACGCCGTCGTTGGTCACTAGGGTGTTAACGAGATGGGGAGTGTGTGGGGGTGGGAAGCGAGACAGCGTAGGATGAGGAGTTTGAGTTTGAGTAGTCGCAGCAGGAGGAGTCGGAGTGAGATGGGGAAGGGACGAGGGAGTGAGGGAGAGGGTGTGGGTGTGGGTGGCAAAGATGACACTAGAGGGAACGGGAACGGAAATGGGATAGGGATGCGAAGAAGCGCGGCACAAAGAGAGACACACATGAGAGCACGAACTGGCCCACAACAGAGCCAGACACAGGAGAGCAACTTGAGGGCAGACAGGGCACAGACGTGGGAGTGCAGCAGATCGTGTTCAGCGCGAGTGAGCAGTCGCTTTGGTTTGTGAGTGCCAAATGAACACCTGAGGCCAGCGACAGGGTTGGCTGAACCTGCTGTTGAGTTGTTGGGATGCTGGTGGGAGTGACGATGTTCATATAGCCATCGCACATTGAGGTGCAGTGGCACACAGCGAGTAGCTGGTGCATCGTGTCATCGCTGAAGTTCGAGGGGCCGTCATTACTCAAAAGGATCCAAAGAAAGTGATGTGAGCAGAGGTATCTGAGTATCCCAGAAACCAGGAAAGGAATTCTCTCTGAGCTACCCAGAGAGGATGAACTTGGGGGGCAATGTCAAATAAACAAAAGGGTTGTCGTCTGTGTGCACCTTCAGAGGTTTCCGGAACCGCTTCGACTACGGACGACGAGCGTGGTGGTTCAAGACAACAATCCGCAGCATAGAGACGCTGTTGATCGTTACCCGGGGAATGCCGAGGCAGACCTCTGGCCAGCACAGCCACTAGCAGCACCAAGCAGCTGGCGCTTGCGTCGTCCTTGAGCTAACCAGAGCACGCAACCTTTTCCATGATGCAAAGGCAAGACGAACTTGAAATAATAAACACGTTGAAAATAATCGAGCACTCGGGGACAGTGTCAATGACAATCGAGCGGGAATTGTGCTTCCGTCACTGGGTTAAGAGCATATCTGTCCTTGGCGCTGTCCGAGAGCCCTTCTTGAAGACATCTGAAGGTCATAAATGCCTCAAGAATAATAGAGCGGGTGCTGGGGGGAGTGTCTATGACGACGTGTTTTGTGTCCTTTGTCTCGTCGTGTCGCACCCCAGTGGATCGCCCATCCAACCTTATTGTCCTCGGCTCACATAAGTACCGTGAGCGCCCCCAAGTGGACGATTACCAGTTCAATGACTTTATTGTCAGCGGCCGGCCCCATCATCCGGACTCCTTTTTTGGCAATCTCTTTTCGCTCGCTCACCCACGGAAGCACCCGCTGAGCGTCCCATGAGCGACGGACGCTTCGCGTGATCCCTTTTTGTTATATATAAATTCCTCCTTTGTCATTCATGTTTATTTCGCATAAATTCTCCCATAAATAGACAAATTACGCGACAGTAAAATGCATTGTCATATTTTTTCCCTTTTCCTCACCCCAAAAGCATCCCTTTTTGTCCGGGCTTTTACTGTATTTTTTGTTGCAACAAAAAGGGACTATTTTAGAGCCATACTAAATCACTCAGAAAGACATAACTTTTGAGAAAATTATGATATGAGTTAAATACATTCTAATTTCATACTTTTTCCCTCTCAGAAATTTGACCAAATGAGCAGCTTTACTACGGTATTTAGACCAACAAAAAAGGATGATAAGGTTATAATTTTTGCGCTGCAAAAAGGGCTTTGATAATGTTTAACACCCCTACCATGCCTTTTTACTCGCACATAAAGTGACTCGCCACAGCAGTGCTATCGGCTCTAAGGGCTGGGGGGCCCGGGCAAACAAGTACAAATTTTCCGCAAGCACGCCGGCGGCCGGGCAGGCCCGGTGTGCTTGAAGACGTTACTGTGCCTCTTCCCTCTCTCCGTACCGCTATTATTATACCTCTAAACAGACAAATATCATGTAATGAACGCTTTTGAGCAAAAATCGGGCTGTTAGGGTATGTGGCCAATTCCGTGCTGTGGGAGGCCGGGCGGTCATTTACCAAGATCGGCCTCATCCCGAGACTGCGTAAACTGGTCCCTTCTCTAGAAGAGATATGTAAGAGATACCGGGTCAGTTTACGGGTCGTTTGATTATAGTTGTACCCGATTTTCATGTCGCCGATGGCATGGAGCCTCAGATGTTCACAATCATTGGGATCGGGAGCCATGAAACCTCAGCTCAATGTCCTCAGTTATTCTCTGGTTTACAAATAGTCTGTAGACACATTTTACTTAGAAGAACCATAAGTTGGCCTCAGTGAGATGGCGCAGCGAGCCTTCCCCCGCCTACAGCGGTTGCTTAATTGTAAGGAGCGAGCAGTGAATGCGATGCTGCGCGTCCTCAGCCTGGAGCACGATGTTTCTGTCCCCCAGCGGCTAGCCAGTATTCAGTCTAGTTGAATGTGTCATCATCGCCATTCGAAGCATCGTCGTCCCGTGACCGCTTTTAGGGTGTTTGCGTTGGCGAGTGTTGGGTCTGACATTGTCGTCTGCATTCTGTCCTTGAACTTGAAGATGTCAATGAGGTGAGAGGAGAAGGAAAGCATGAAATAGCCCCTAACCCATGCGTCTTTCTCTCACGATCCGGTCCGAGGCATCCAATCAAGACGCTAATGGTCCTCCAATGTCGCATGCTCTAACCTCCAGCTCTGCCAGCTCATGAGTAGTATGTCGGAAAGGATATCTGCAAAACGAAAACGCACCGATAACGACGATACTGACGTGTCGGACGCTCGTCGACGAAGGACAGCACGCCAATCGCGGTGACGCGTTCGACGCAGTACTGGTTTCCGGATGGCAACATCGTCCAGGCCGAAAACACACAGCATCGCGTGCATCGCTCGCTTCTGGCACATCAGTCGACTGTATTTGCGGATATGTTCTCTCTACCCCAACCCGCCGAACTCGGAACTGGCGAATCTCCGGTGGAAGGCTGCCCACTCGTATTCTTGCAGGACTCGGCGAACGATATTGGGATCCTGCTGGACGTGCTCTATGAATCTCTAAAGTGCGTCGCGCACTTTTTCTTTGCTGGGTGTCCGAAGCCGACTCTTTACCTTGTTGGTCAGGCTACAGACCATAGAAGGACGAGTCTCCTTCCCTGTCGTCGCGACGATGCTCCGAATGGGCAGGAAATATGACTTCAAAGGGCTCTGGGATTGAGGCATGACTGTCCTTGAACACGATTACCCGACGACTCTCACCAAGTGGGACACAAAACATGAACCCCTTATAGCCGACAAATCTGGGCTCGTTATCAACATCGTCGCATTGGCCTATGAACTTGACCTCAAGCATATCCTGCCCTCTGCTTATTTAGCCATGTTCACTAGGCACAAATTGGTGGGTACATATTTGCTGGACCGTAGCGGCTGTCACTCGCCAGACAGCTGCGAAGGAATACTTGCGACCGAGGCGAGAAGTGTGCTGAGGAACGATATTTTCGAAAACCTGACATACATCACAGCAAAGTGGGCAAAGGTGAAGCTGGGATCGGGGTTGTGTCAGAAATGTTTATCTAAAGTTAAGACTGAATATGAAGATCGGCGGAGGCTCATCTGGGACCAGCCGCCGTTGTACTTTGGGTTGGAAGGACAGTCAGTTCAGACGAGTCGTAGATAATTTGTGCGATTCTGAATCTGGTTTCAAATGCATTGAATCTTCTCCACGAGGAATTCATAATTCTGTGTTCTGCGAATTAGTAATATGGGCCCGGCGACCTGTTCGAATTCTCATTCATTGCGACTTGGATGACTGCTTCACATGGAGGAACTCGAGGATGGACGTTGGTTGCAAATATGTCCGTCAGCAACACGCCCGATACCAGAAACATTGTGGAGCAATGACGCAACACCAGAGCATTGAGAAACAATCATGGATTGGGTGCAGTATAATCGATAGAGGGGAGGAGTATACAGAAGAACTTACAACAGATGATGAAAGCTCAACGTTGCAACCACCGTAGGAAGCAGGGCTCAACGAGGAACCAAAAGAATCAAAAAATTTGAATGCATTCATAGCATTCTAGCCGCGCCTAACCAATCCACCCATGTATCCCCAAACGCACGAGGTCCGTTTGCGACTGCGATGCCACCCCCATCAACACCACTCACAGAGGGGATTTCCTGGGCTTTGGAGAGCCACAAGGATCCCCCTGTTGCATCCTCGCATGTCATTGCGGGCTGACAGCATCTGCCAGCTGCCTTGGAGGGGCGAACTGTCTTGCGATGCCGAAGGCGAGTCAGTCTTCTGACAGCACCTTAGCCCTGACTATCGGGACCCCTTTATCACATAAGGATCGGCGTCCAAATCGCCCGCGCAACAAGATCCCGTCCGCGACCATCAATGCGCCCGCGCAAAGAGAGTTGGACGGACGGAGGGCGCCCAATCTTGAGCGATGGGCATGCGAGTTTGAACGTAGGGTGCACGTACGGTCGCTACCCGAGCCAGGAAAATCTGTACTCGAGATTGCACGTATTGCTACGAAGCACGCAGTTGACATGCACACCGTACACCCAGGTAAGGTGGTATTGACTATATGCACCGCATACATCCAATCAGCAGTGACAAGAACGTATCGGAAGCTCGCTGGAGGAGCCCGGGCGTTGGAAGACAAGACAAGCCTTGAATCCTCGCGCCAAGGGTGGTTCCATGTCGCGGACGCTGCCGTCGATCCCGGCGCGCAGTCTTCACAAGACGCAGCGCGAAGGAGGAAGGGTTCCTCGAAGGAAGAACTCCGCGTGCGCTGGTGTGATATCGATGATGAAGAGGAGGACGCGGCTAAGCAAGGATGAGAGCAACGCTGAGCTCATGTAGAGCAGCAGAATCGCCAACACGTCGCTGGTTGAGAGAAAGAACAAAGAAGTGAAATGAGGTAAGCTATTTATACCAGAGAAAGTTCACACGGATCAGATCCGGACCGACGCACTTGACTCACTGACGCGCTTGACTCTGGGGGCTATTCTGGACTCTTTTGTGTACAGACAAATGCTTCCTCACAAGATGTTGTCGAACACGAATAGAAAAATTTTATTGCTTATATCTTGACTGGAGAGGTATAGGTATATTTCTTCACCCGAAGAGGCACTTGAAGTACAATGAACACCATGCCTGAGAGGCCCAGATAACTGACAATGTAACAGATCCCAAAAAAACTAATATTACTTACAAGACAGAAAATCTCAGAAAATACAGTGCAGAAGATGTAGGAGTACACTAGAATACATCACTTTGTAGTCGCAACTAGGCTGAACGTGAAAATTGGCTAGTAAGAAAAAATACTAGGATCTTGTGAATAAAGAGATCGTCAATGTAGATAGCGAAGGTATGCATCAGTAGTTGATTATTAGAACTAACTTTGAGTCTGTGTGTACTCGTCCACTTCTCCGTTCATTACTTGGGACCATCTGAATCCATGTTCTCAACAAACCTGCCTTTGTCGACAGGGGCAGCGGCGGCGGCAGCAGTAGTCTTCTTCGACCGCGATCCAAATAAATTGAACCCAGAACCCGACGATCCAGAGCCTGATCCCTTCTTCTTTGAGCTCGAAGCCGACATTGCAGCAGCCCCCTTGCTATTTTTAGCTTCGACGGCGTCGACGACGTTCTTGAACTCAGTTGGTGTCATACCAGCGCCGGGCTTGACCTGCTCGGCGTCAGCGTCGCTCATCGGAGCCTTTTTTGTCTTCTTCGATTTCGCCAACCCTTTCTTCGCCTTCGGGTCCTCAACGACCCCACCGCGTTTGAGGAATTCGTCGCCCCGGATACGAAGGAACTCCTCTAGAAGGGCCGCGTTACGCGAGTTGGCTTTGTACATCGCCAGGACGAGGTCGCCGGCGATGGGGATGAGGCTAACACCTGCTGAGACCGCGTTGTTGAACAGCATGCGCCGAAGAAGCCAGTTGGGAATGTCAGCTTTGCGGGCTTTCCGAACGACGAGCAGGTAGTTTAGGGACGCATCTACGACGTCGCCGACGATAGGAATAAGGGAGATAAAGAACGTCCAACCGAAACGCATGCCGCAGATGTGAAAGCCTTTGTCGAGGTAGTGTGCACGTTTCTTGACAGACCTGAGAATTGCTTGGTCGCGCTTTGAAAGGCCTGGTGGTAGTTCGCGCTGAATGAGATGTCGTTGAGGTAGAGCACACGTCTAGAACGGCTGAAGTACACCCACCTTCCTCCGCTTCTCTTTACCGTTCTCGGTGTAGTACTCGTATAATGGATCTGCAGGGGCATACTGCTCGAGGTGGTTCTCGAAGAGCTTCTTGCCTGCCTTCCCTAGAAGTGCGGACATGGTTGCAAGAGAATTCAAAGAAAGAGCGGGTAACTGACGAAAGTAAATGAGGGAGCCGAAAACTTAAAAGACAGGATGGAGAACGTGAGGGGTTTTCTATTGGGTATCGACGCGTAGGATGATGGTGCTTGGAGCACACAAAAGGCGATGCGCTGATGTCATCCCCTATTTTAATCCGCTCCCACGCCCCGGAACGATCTCTCCGCGAACGGAAGTACTGGCTATGCACTGCTTCGCATTCACTGCGGCTGCGGACGCAAAATCTGTCTTCCCAAACCTATGTCTCCTCACGGAACTTGGATGACGAAGAGGCACTAAGGCCAGCGTTAAAAAAATATTTGCCAACATCTTCACCTATTCCCGAAATCTAGATCAACATACACTTGCAACCCGTTCTATTGTTTTGGAACTAGTACTCGCTGTCGGATGCATCTTCTGAACCAACCTGTTTGCTCCAGATCCGGTGAGGAAGTAACGTTCCGAGATAGACAGCGCCGCAAGAGAAGATGGCCAAGACAACGTAGACTCCGTGGCCATGCAAAAGATTCTTCTGGACGGAGAATGAGAAGAGAGAGGTTGTGAGTGCCGGTCCTACTGCGCGTGCAGAGGAAACCGTCGTTTGTGCGAGGCCGTTTGTAGCACCAAGCGAGCGACGGTTTGGCGCTGACTCCGTCACGTACATAAAGATACAACCTGCAGAAGGAATTTCAGCAAGCGAATTACGTGAAGCACGACGAAGTAACAGACCGAAAGCAGTGTCCATGATAAACAGCAAAAAGAGAATAAGCCCTACAGCGACCCACAGACCCCAGCCAAGGCCCCATCTCTTCGCGATCAAACTGGCGACCGGGAAGAGCATGAACACGGGTACGAACGTCGCCATTGACACGATGAACACACGTCGCGTGCCCCAGCGTCTGACGATCTTTGCAAAGAATAACATCTGAAAGAGGCCCATGCCTGCACCATATACGCCCATGATGTAGCCAATCCGTGCCGGATCAAGATTGAGACCTCCAAGTTCGATCGGCGTGTGGAAGAACAAGGGAAGCAGGGCGTTAACAGATGTACTGAGGAAGCCAAGGGCGGCATAATTCGCTATCGAAATAACCACGGGGAAAGTGAAGAGACCACGGAACGAAACGGGACGTTCTGCTGGGTCGAGTTCCTCGTCGGAATTGACGACGAGCAATTTGTAGGATGAGGACGAAGAACACGGAGAGCACGAGGATGCCTTTCCGCACTGCACTGTCTGGAAGAAGAGTAAGGAAAAGTAGCCTGTCGTATGTTTGCTTCGGCTTACCTCTTCGAAAAAGAGACCCGTGATCAACAACACAGCAAAGACATAGCTGGCCGTTGCAACGCAGGGAAGAAAGTATGGGAATTTCTTCCAGAAGTTGCTTGCAAAGACGACAGGGAAACGGTCAGCAGGCCGAGATAACGATCCTCCAAGCAGAGGCCTAGACAAGCAATGTTCAGGCATAGTCACGGTGTATAGGAGATCAAATACGTACCCCATGGTTGCACCAAAAGCCCACACAGCAGGCATCAGGGCGAAAGCTTCGGCACGGTTTGTGGCGTCGGTCAGTTCGCCCAGAGCAGTCTTCATGACACCTAAACTACACTCAGTCTCACGAAATGAGCGATGCAAGCGAGCCGACCTACCAATGTTTCCATTCAACAAGCCACAAAACGCCCGACTGTATGAAGAAGTAAGTTAACACGCCAATAACCTGTCCCGGGGCCATTAACAGGACGTACCTGAGAATCAAAGTGACAAGAGTGCGCGAGAGGCCGAACAGCAGCATCGACAACATCGTCCCGATCATGCCCAGTATAAGAACAGGCTTTCGACCAACATGATCTGATGCTCGACTCCATTGGAAGACGGTCAAAGCCTCAGTTGCATAAAATAAGGATTCCTACGATACGTCAGTCTCATACCTGAAGGTTAATAAACGAGGAAGACCCAACGATTAAACCGGCATAATATCCGACCTTGCTTTTGTCGCCTCCGACGATGTCGAGGCCACTTACGAGCTATTAACAAACAAACAATGCTGAAAGTCTGTCTGCGAACAGACGAAAGGAAAAAGGAACAGTACCTCGTTAACGTAAGGATAGATAGACTGACTGCAGATGGGCTCAACAATCTGCATGAGCAAGACTATAACAACCTGGAATCTTGGAAGCGGTGTGCCCCTTGGTTTAGGCCTCAGGAAGGGAGATTGCTCTTCTTTGTGGATGTCATCGACGCCGTCCATCCCAGAAAGAAGGAATCTACAGAGGAAAGTAAGAAATATGTGTATAAGGCGTGATGCGGAGGATACTCAACTACAGGGGTTTTATACGTTTGGGTGGGTTCATTGTACGCCTTGATATCGGGGTTGGACCCTTTCTACTATCCTCATCAGGTTCTTGTTCATCTCTGTTCAAGACATGTGAAGCCGTTGAAGTGCCAGTCATTAGTGGAAGTGGTCTCTGAATATTTCAGACGACGGCGGTTGAGCATGCTGTCAATTCTGAAGCCACTCACCCGTCGTATCCGGACCCGCTTTGTCAATGTGCACATGATGCATGTGTGTTCGCGACTTCTATCCAAAGAAGGCCGCTACTGATTCTGATAAGCATTACCAACAGAGGGTCACTGGAATTGGCGAAATAGTCTCATGGATGATCAGGAGCAACAAACTTATGTTCGCGGCAGTCTCGTATGGTCCAAGGGTGTCCAAGCAGGCTACACACTGAACGATTTCTTGAGAGACTGAGTTTTCTGAATGAAGAGCCCACTGAGAAGCATCCAAAGATACTTGATAGCATTCTATCAGCAAAGATGAACAACGTTCCAGAAAATAGATGGAAGCAAAACTACTCCACGACAGACACCCATTGCCAACGAATCTGAACCATCATCAGAGATCAACCACATCGCTCGAAACGAAATGGCCAGCGGACGACATACAGCCAACCATCGATCATATTTCAATCAGCTTCTGGCTGGTGGTCCCAAACCCTGGAAGGCAGTCGGGTCGCCAAAAATACTGCGAAGACGGATAAGACCGCGAACAGCGCATATACGCCATAGCCACCGAGGATATTCTTCTGAACGGAAAATGAAAACAGAGAGGTCGACAAGGCAGGCCCTATTGCTCTTGCGATCGAAACGGTCGTTTGAGAAAGACCGTTCGTTGCCCCTAGGGAGCGCTTGTTAGGTGCTGAGGATGTGATGAACATGAAAATGGTCCCTAGTGGTGACGCAAGACGATCAGCCAATATATGAACAAAGTCAAATGAACGGACATACCGTAGGCCATGTCCATGAACGCCAACAACGCAAGGAGTACAACAATGACGGTCCATACTTGGACTGACTGCTGTCCATACGCCCTCGCAAGTAAGTTAATGATCGGAAACGATAGGAAGACCGGGATCATGGTGGAAATAGCCGCGATGTACACTTTCCTCTCGCCAAAGTATCGCACGATGCGTGCAAAGTAAAACGCTTGGAAAATTGCGCTTCCTGCGCCGTACGAGCCCATAATGTAGCCAATCTTCGGCGGATCGAAATCGAGCCCTCCGATGTCTAGAGGCATGGCGAGGAAGAGAGGAAGCAAGGCGCATACTGCGATGTTCAAGAAAGCAAGGACGACGTAATTGGAGACGGAGAGTATGACTGGATAGACGAAAAGTTGACGCAGAGGAAGAGGTTCGTCATATTGGTGCGAAGCCTTTCCGTTGTGTGCGGCAATGGCCTCAGAGCTGTCTTTTTTGCCTGTTTTGCTTTTCAGTACGGTCTGCCGATACAAAGAGATGTGAGTTGAGTACGGATCAGGGGGGAATAAACGACGTACTTCTTTGAAGAAGACTAGAGTGATCATAAATGAGAATAGAACATAGCTTGAAGTTACAAGACAAGGGAGAAAGTAAGGGTAGTTCTTCCAGAAAGCGCCACCGAAATGCTTCGGGAAGCGTTCATGTGGTTTTGACAATGTACCTCCTAGTAGAGGCCTTGGCCCGCATTAGCCTATTGACGGATTAATCCTGCACATGATGCATGAATGACATACCCCATCGTGGCTCCAAACCCCCACACCACAGGCATCAGTGAAAAACCTTCTGCTCTATTTGTGGGATCTGTGAGTTCGCCCATAACACTCTTCATGACCCCTACCAAAGTGTAGCGTAAGCGAAGCAAAACCAGTGATAAATTTCGAAGTACCGATATTTCCGTTTAGCAGTCCGGTCAGACAGCGGCTGTAAGTGGAGATTGAGCATTCATGCATTAACCCAGATAATAATAGAGACGTTCTTACCTTATGACCAAGCTCCAGAAAGTGCGAGAAAGTCCGAAGAACAGCATAGATAACACGATGCCAAAAAGGCCAATGAGGAGGACGGGTTTGCGTCCGACGTGGTCAGAGGCTCGGCTCCATTGAAGAACAGTCAACGCTTCTGTGGCGAAGAAGAGAGATTCCTGTGACCAAAGCCTCAACCACTAATTCATGGGCAAGCGAGGGCGGTGTGGCTTACTATTAGACCAGCATAGTATCCAACCTTGCGCTCATCTCCGCCAGTTATGTCGAGTTCGCTGATGAGCTACCGATGACAAGCACATCAGAAACTTCAAGGGAGAATAGACAGGCGAAATATTCACCTGGTTGATGTAGGGAAATATGGATTGACTAGTAATAGGCTCGCAGATCTGGAGGAGTAAGACGATCGCAATTTGTAGTTTGGGTAGTGGTGTCCGCTTGGAGGATGGTCGTGGCCTGGCGTCGTGGAGCAAGGGGGTTTCTTCGTCGACTCTGTGATTTGAGTCGGTGGCCATGGTGCTCGTCTTGAGAGTGGGCGTGTCTGAAGGTTAGCGTTTTAAGTACGAGGAGGTAGCGGCTATCAGGAACACACCAACCTTCGTGTGCAGAATCAGAACGAAATCTCGTTAAAGTGCTGTCAAATAAGTGATAGTTAATTCGTCCTGCAGTAAAGGCGGCAGCGCGTGAAGTATCACTCGCACCTCAAACCCAGCGTGATCTTACCCTTCTAGTGCGATAATGTGTGCAGGTTTGACTCTGCATGAGACTGCGAAGATTCGAAGTTCCTATCGGGCCGTCTGTTCTGACATAAGAGATATCAGGGTAGCAGGAAATGAAAACGTACCATAGAAGCCACGGAAACTTTAAGAAAGGTGAGAGGTGCGCATGCGCTCTTCCTTGATCCGGCGGAGCCTCTGAATCATCTGCTCCTACATCTTCTTTGGGTGAGAGCTCCGACGGCCGAAAGCCCTTCAAATCCCGTTACTTGCGTAATGAGGTGCCCGGAATGCGTATTCACACTTCAAAGCGGCGATGGCGCGGTGGTTGAAGGAAGGCAGGGACAGCCGTTGTCAGTGAACATGAAGAATCAACTTGAAGGAGTAGTTCGCCATCACGTGACACTTGTCGCGTCGCGTCGCGGTTCACATTTAATCGTCATTCAGTCCCAAGCAGGGAGCTGTCAATAATTCGCAGTTCCACAATACTATAGGCTATAATACAATTCATGAGGATTCCTTTCAGCCCCAACCGCAGCATCACCACTGACTAGGCAGCGGTGCTGGCGTATTGAAACGGCTAATGCATGACCGCAAACCAAATCAAACGTTCTTCACTTTCAAGACTGAAGCAAAACGTTCTCAAGAAAGATAGATGATAGTGGAACTTGGAAGACAGAGATTTGTGAAGTTACCTGTTAGGGACTAACAAACCCCGCGATCTTGCCGCGATCATGTGGCTGGGACGGAATTGTTTGGACTGTGGGCGGCCGCCAAACCGCCTTGCATAGAATCAACACCTATGTCAAGTACCTTACCTTCTTGTGGAACAAAAGAATCATAACGGTAAGTGGCTTTTTCCAATGATCTTCGCCTCCTTTTGTCGTGAAAATGCTGGCTGTATATCTCGGCTTACTTTTTATATGGTTCAGGTCATGACTGAAAAGCCTGAAAGCATCGAAGTTCCGCCAAACGTTGAAGTCATTGACCTAACAGGCCTTTCGGACTCGTCGGACTCAGGCGACGATGAACGTAATTCAGAGGAGAAGGACCTCGAGTCCGAGCACGGCTCTGAAGGTTCGGAGATAGAGATCACTCTGAACGAAGAAACGCGTGCGCAATTGCAAACTGCGATTGCCACTGTGTCCGAGACGCGTCTCCGTCGGCTATTGAAGATTCTCGTTGAAGCCGACGTCACAATAGAGGCTGCACTAACTCGCGAGTTGGTGACTCTCAAGCGAGGAACTCAAGATGTTGTGCCACGTTGGGAGACGTGCGCGAATTGTGACGAAGAATACGACATCAACACGCTTCGGGAGGATGCTGAGTGCATCTTCCACCCAGGTATGCCGGCTGGACAGCTGGACAAGAAACCTCTGACCGGATCTCTTGGTATTTTCAGGTGAACTCATCCTCGTAGAAGAAGCATTCGAGGACTGGGATGACGACTGTCACGGCCCGAAAGACACCGCGGAGAATCGAAGACAGTATCCAGAAAATTTCACTTGGAGTTGTTGTGATGAAGACGGCAGAGCTGAGGGCTGTGTGCATGGAGAACACAGGCCTGCTGTCTCTAGGAAGAGGAAACGTGTTGAAGAATAGTCAGGAAGTTCTCTCACCATCTTGCGTGCGTCCTTTGTCGGCTTTGATGTTCGCTACCTTGTTGACGCTATTTCTGAATCAAGACTTTCTTGCAACAAACAATACTGTTGATCCTCCATTCTTATGTTCCTCTCTTATTGTTACGCCGCCTTTTCTTCATCTCCGATCCGGTGTTTGCTCGTTTATTGGCTTGGCGGAACCAATAAGGCCTAACCCTCTCGATACATCAGATCCCATTCTCTGCCTTCTCTGAGACAGCAGACAATAAAAGAGGCATATCCTGCCAATTTCGATCCTTTTTCAACGCCCTCAATCCAGCGTCGTGTGCAGCCCGCCATCCACTCCCTCAGCGCACACCTCGGTGCCACTCCATCGATTCTTGTTTCACGTTCTGACTTGGTTGGGTTGATGCGTCACAGCTGAGCGCCCGGAGAAGATGCCATCCACAATCCTGCCAAACCGACTTGATTTTCATCCCCTTTCCCTGTCGCGAAACTCCTTCACCGAGATGGATTACAGCTCGCCGTCTCCCTATCCTCCAAGCTCACCCTCAGTCACGTCAGACGACGAAGACATGGAGCCGCTCTCGAAAGCCAGTCTTCGCTCATCAATAATGGCCCTCTCGGAGACGAAGCTTCGTGCGATCCTCCTCAAGTTGGCGGACAGCAATCCTCGGTTCCAGCGCGCAATCACGAAGGAGGTGGCTTATGCCCAACCGCTCCTTGACTCGCCCCCTACGACGCCGACTAACGCCACACACCATCGGAAACGTCGAAGCAAGACGCGGAATCATTGCAAGAGCCTATCAGGCGCGTCGACACCATCACAGAGCAAACGAAAGCCCACCCTGGCACTAGCTCATCTTGACGAAGCTGCATTCGCCTATCATCCCGGTGAGTTCATTCTCCGCTTCATCCATTACGTCCTCCTCAATGTCGAGTGGCGCAAGGTCATTTGGAGGAAGAGACGTACGAGTTCCTATCAAGGACGCCCGACGACGTGACGTTCCAAGTCGTACGAACGATAACGATGTGGAGTTGCTGCGACGAAGACGAACAGAGCCCTGGGTGCATGACCGTCCCTGCATTCCCGCTTCCCATGAGCTCCGACCACCAGAGCTCCGTATGCAGCATCGAGTTCTCGCACCCAGACGTGTTCCCAGACTCGGACTTGGAACGGCACCATGAGGCCCTCGCGCGTGACCTGGGTCCTCCGACGAGCGCTGCTGGACGCTGTTCCGGTGCGGCACAAAAGGACGAGCTGGTGCACTGACCAGGAATGTGATTCCGGGGACACGATCTTTAGTTGATGAAGGTCACGACGACGGGCGGTACAAATTGGACCCTCTGCGTTTGTTCTGCATTGCGTATCATGATTTCTCCCTCTTCGTACACTTTCGTTTTCACTGAAGAGGCCTGCATCAATAGGGCATTTATTGTGTTATATATTAACAAACCCTGACCAGCTGCACCCCAGGTGTATGATCTGGAGGATAGGTCGCACGTTAGTAGGCGCTAAGCACGCGCCAGCGCGCAAAGTTGAGTTGAAGCCTTTGGGCACCTCCGTCATAACGGATTGCTTCCATATAGCCCACTACATACTCGACAAATTTTGGCCTATAACGTAGTGAGGTACGAGCGTAGGGTTAGGGTGCGGTCTATGCATCAGCGGTGGCAGTGTTAGGTGAGGAGAACCTCTTTCTCCTCGACTGCCACCTGCTGCCCACGCTGAGAGCAGTCCAGCGTTGCGGGCTTTTCTTTTCTCATCGTATCTACCAACACGCGCTGTATCTCTGCTGTTCACTCTACCCAAAGCAACTTCAGGCCACACATGCCGCCACGTATCACACAAGACCCGCACTTGGTGCAACCCCCCGACTTCGAGTCGGAACAATTCCGGGCGCTTTACGCCACCTTAGCCACCGCCGAGCGCACAGTGGACGCTATCATAGCCGACTCCCAAAATGCTTGGACCCAGAACAACGACGCGCAAAGAGTCGCGTGGAACGCCCAGGTCGAGCAAGACCACGCAGAAGAAGAGGAAGCTAGGGCAGCTCAGGAGCAAGCAAAGCAAGAGGCCGCCGAAGCTGAGAAGCGTGAGAGGGAGAACAAACGGCCCAAGATAAAATCCTTCACCCCGAACAAGACGGTCGGGAAGTTGTCATCTCGTCGACCTTCCCGCTATGCGATCCACAAGATCGAACAACTCGAGTACGTTGAGCTCTACTATTTCACCAAGGAGGCCTGTCTTGAGGCCGAGAGGACGGAATACTCAGTGGCGAGGGGCACCTTCACCCTGATGGCTGACGGAGAGAACGTGCTGGCAAAACCCGCCGCTGCGTACAAGCCATCCACAAAGGTCGTCCAGGATGAGAACCTCGAATGGCGCCAAATCATCAAGGCGAAGGACTACATGCTGGAGGCCATGGTGGATGCAGGCTGGCCCGAGGAACACGTCATGGCCCTTGGTGTATTCTTTCTCGAGCTCGACAAGCACCCAATCAGCGACCTAGAGGGGGGAGAAACCGCTGTTCTACTGTACCAGGCGCGCATCCGCCGTAGGTGGATGGAAGACCTCAAGAGCACCAATGACGAGGAAGTCTTCGACATCAGTGTTGTCAATGACAAACGGCTGGATGAAATGTACAGCGAGGTGCTCAACCTCCGTCAGGCCCAAGGCATTAAACGGTCAGTCACCATTTCATTCACAAGCTGAGGGGCATGCAGCTGACAACATCTCACACCGCACTGTCATTAACCCACATCTCATCTTTGCGCCCCTGTGCTCATCATGCACACATGCCGCGCACCCTCACGCACCCCCCCCGCACCCATAACCTGCACCCATACCTCCACACCCATAACCCGCACCCATACCTCTGCACCCATAACCCGCACCCATACCTCCGCACCCATACCTTCTGCACCCATACCTCTGCACCCATAACCTGCACCCATAACTCGCACCCATAACCTGCACCCATAACCCGCACCCATAACCTGTGCCCGTAACCTACACCCACGCCCCGCATCCACGCGGCCCCATATCACACCCATGCTATGTGTCTATATGTCCTCTCCACCTATAATACGTATCTACTTCCCTATACCTACGAGCTTACTCCTACTCCTCTGCATTTCCTTTCATTACTCCATGACTCCGGCTCATTACCGTATGGTCTGCGATCGGTTATTCTTGTGTCACATAATTGCACATCCACATTTAATATTTAATGGTTAAATACTACACTGTACAACCCGGCTGGTCTCCTTGTACTGACATCCACTTGCTACCCACATTATCAGGCTCGAAGAACAGCTAGCCAGATCAAACCTCTCTAGAGGGATAAAACGTGACCGCTCCCTGTCCCCGTCCCCGGAGACGGAAGGAAAGCATCGTACTACTCAGGCCAAAAGCAAGC